CCAGAGAGGAAGTACAGGCCTCCGGCGCTCATGAGGGGGATGATGCCGGAGACGGGCGAGGTCTGGCGATCTCTGAAGGTTGCAGACTCGATCACGATGTCAAAGGACACCCTGCGAGAGAGGAGCACAGGGTCGGTGTCGCGGGTGTGGATTGTGACGTCCATGTCTCCGTGCGCCATCTTCCCCTGCTCATGCCACTCCTGGGCCAGTCGCTGATCTTTCTCGACGACGTGCATCTGCAGCTTCTCGCCAAAGCTCCTGTTCGCGCCAATTGACATCAGAGAGGTCAGCACCTCCTCTTCTACTCCGCGAAACGGTTGGCAGGTGTACGCTTTCCACATGGCATAGCTCCACTCGACGTGGCTTGGGTCATCTCCCAAGCCCAGTAGCAGCACTCTGTACCACACGCACACACGCACCACGCACACACACGCGCGCGCGCGCACACACAACCACACACACACACACACACGCTCACACAGAAACACACACGCACGCACACGCATACGATGTACACTTGAGCTTATGGTCTTCTTCTTTCCTCCTCTTCTTCTTCAGCTTCGTAGTGTGGGGCGGGGGGTGGTACCTGAGAGTGGCCTGCGGCTGGAGGCTGTAGGCGTTCTCGTGTACTCCACAGAGGGCGACCGAGGCCTCGCCTCTCCGGAGGGGTCCGAGGTACTTTTCAAACAGCAAGGCATTGGGCGACTGTGGCTCTTCGCAAAACCACAGCCCCGTTGGTAATGGTCTTGTAATTGAGGGCACTGACTCCGTTGAGGGTCCTGCTGTCTGTGAGGGGTATCTCTGGATGAAGAAGACGATTGGTTACAACACACCAGGTAACATGACCATCGACAGGTTCATGATGGGGGTGATTTGGTAGAAAGGGCGGTAGAAGTGAGTCCGCACCATCCACTGGTACTCGTTGGCAAAAATGATGGTGACGACGATGAGTACGACCACAAGCCAAGACGAGTACTTCATATGGGACGACTTGTGGAGAACACCACTTCGTTCGGGTTGAAGTGGAGAACACCACTTCGTTCGGGTTCCGTTCTGCTTTCTCTCTCAAGCTTGGAACGTATGTTGTCATGGATGTGTCACGTCCAAATATGGTTCTTGTTCTTTTTCTTGTTCCCTCCTAAAAGAGTACATCCTTGTTATGGGGCTTTTAATAATGCAAAACAAGTTACGGTTGGGTGAGCTCTTCAAAGAAAAGAAACAACCGTGAATGAGGATGATGACGATCAGATCAGATCATGCCCTCCTCTTCCTCCTCGGGCGAGATTTGGTGGCTGTCGGCGACCTCCATCACCTCCTCCTCTTCCTCCTCAACCGCTTCTTCATCTCCGTCTTCATCGGGCTCGTAGATCTCGCCTTCCTCCTCCTTTTCCTCGTTCGCCTGGGCTGACGGAACCGCAACCACTTCCTCTTCCTCGACCACTCCCTCTTCATCTTCGTCGGGCTCGTAGATCTCGCCTTCCTCCTCCTCGCCTTCATCGTTCTTCTTCTCGGCCACAACCACTTCGACCGCCGCCACCTCCTCTTCCACCGTCTCCGCCTCTTCTTCGGCGTCAGGCTCGTAGATCTCGCCCTCTTCCTCCTCTTCTTCATGCTCCTGCTTCTCGGTCGCCACCACCATCACCACTTCCTCTTCATCAGCGTCGGGCTCGTAGATCTCGCCCTCTTCCTCCTCTTCCTGCTTCTCGGTCGCCACCACCACCACCACCTCTTCGGTCGAAGCATGCTCCTCGGCCTTTTCCTCCTCGTCGCCCTTCTCGTCGGGCTCGTAGATCTCGCCCTCCTCCTTTTCCTCCTCGTCGCCGTCGGCCTTCTTCTCGGCCACAACCACTTCGACCGCCACCACCTCCTCTTCCACATCCTCGCTGTCGGCCTTTTCCTCCTCGACGTCCTCCTCTTCCTCGCCGTGCTTCTCGTGGGAATCGGCGTGCGCCACGAGCTCCTCCTCTTCCTCCTCCTGCACCTTTTCTTTGATCGCTTCTTCTTCCTCCTTCTCTTCCTTCTCGACCGCCTTCTCCTCCTCCTCTTCGGCTTCCTCCTTTTCCTCCTTCTCCTCACCATCGTCGTCGTGCTCGGGCTCCTCAACCTGGGCCGCCTCGGGCTCTTCCTTGGTCTCTTCTTCCTCTTCCTTGATCTCTTCTTTCTCCTCCTTCTCGGCCTTCTCCTCCTCGGCTTCTACCGCCTCCTCCTCCGCCTCCTTGGACGCTTCCACGTCGTCGCCGTCGTGGTGGTGCTCGGCTTCCTTCTCCTCGACCGTCTCGGGCTCCTCCTGCACTTCGGACGGCTCGGCCACGGTGGTCTCCTCCTCCTCCTCCTCCTCCTTGGCCTCCTCTTCCGCGGGGCTCGTCTCGGCGTGGGCGTGGGCAAAGTGGACGATGCCCTCTTCGATCACCTCCTCCTCGACCACTTCTTCGATCTCCTTCTCCTTCTCCTTCTCCTCCTCGTGACCGACACCGGCTTCGCTCGCGTGCCCCGCCTCGGCAACCTCCTCCTGTTCCTGCTCATCGTCGTCCTCCTGCTTCTCGACCTTGTCCGCCTCGGCCTTTTCCTCGTGGGCCTCCTCCTCTTCCTCTTCCTCCGCGGGGCTTGCCTCGGCGTGCGCGGAGTGGACCGCGCCCTCTTCGGCGACCTCCTCGATCGCTTCCTCGATGAGCTCCTCCACGATCGCTGCGGCCTCCTCCAGTTCTTCTTCCTTCTTCTTGGGCTCCGCCTCTATTTCCTCCTGTGCCTCTTCCTTGTGACCGGCGTCGGCGTCGTCGCTGGTGTGCTCGGCCACATCGCCTTCCGCTTCCTCCACCTTCTCCTCCTCGGCCTGATGGTCATCGTGGGCAGCAGCCACCACCTCCTCCTTGCCCTCTTCTTCGCTCTTCTTTGGCTCGTGTTCGACCACGACTGACTCCTCCTCGCGATGCTCCTGCTCCAGCTCGGAGGGAGCCCCGGCTTCGCTCTCCTCGGCCTTGTCGGCCTCCTCGGTCGGCTCCTCCACCGCCTTCTCCTGGCCGTCGACGTTGGCTTCGTGCTGGTGAGACTCGACCGCTGACTTCTCCTCGTCAGCCGCTTCCTCCTCCTCGTTGTGGTGGTGATCGTGTTGCTCGGATTCCTGCGACTCTTGGTCCTCCTCCTGCGCCTTCTCCTCGTGCACGGGGTCGGCCGCCTTCTCGCCGTTCTCCGGCGCCGCGACGGTCTCGTCCTCCTGGTCCTCCTGACGCTGCTTCGCCTCATCGTCGACCGATGCAGCGTCGCTGACCGATGAGGTGGCCTCCTCTACAGCCTCTTCCTTGGCCTTCTGGTCGTCGCCCTCCTCCGCCGATGCCGGCTTCGACTCCACCACCTCAAGGGTGGCGGCAACAGCGACGACGGCGCCAGTCTCCTCCTTGTGATCGTCCGTGCGGACCTCGGAACCGTTCTCCTCCTCCGACTTCTGCTTCTTCTCCTCCGACTTTTCCTCGGCGTTGTGCTGGGCAAAGTCCTCGGGGGCGAACGCGACGAAAGCGGGAGACTCGGATCCGGCCTTGACCAGCCGGATGCGGCACGTCTTGGGCCGGTTCTTGACCGACGACACCAAAGTCTCCTGCACATCGGGAAATGAAAAAGTTTGCAGAGCCGTGAGAAAGCCGGCACAGCACAGCAAAGGCACTAGGTCGAGCCCAGGTACCGAGACGAGCTTGGGGGCGATTAGCTTGAGGTTGTCCGAAGCCTTGGAACCGACCCACACGTAGATGTGGTAGAACGCGTCCAGGGCTACCACCGCCGAGTCCTGGTTGGTGACGTGGTGATGAGGGAGACGGTGCATTGCGGGTTTTGAGTCGATCCTGCTACTGCTAGGGCTGCATAGTTCGTAGAAAGTGGGCCAGCGCAGGCGTACCTGCCACACGCTGTCCTTGAACAGGACGGCGGGGATTCTCTTGGCGGCGCCCTCGTGAGTGAAGAGCTTCACGCCGCCCTTCTCATCCTCGTACACGCTGGAGCACACACGGGGAAAGTTTGAATATGAGATTGGCACTTCAAGCACTACCCAGCGATCACCCCCTGGTAGTGGAGGTGATGGAGGATGGAGTACTGGTGGAGGGTGGGCTTGGGCTTCGTCTCCTCCTGGGCGTCGGCACCGGCCGAGGCCGCAGTGGCGGGCTTGCCCTTTCCGCCCAGCGCAGTCCAGAAGGCCGCCGACTTGCTCTTGGATTCCTCCTTGCCCTCATCTGCTGGCCCAGCATCATAACAAAATAAAGAGTTTAAGTGGTTGTACGCCGGGTTGATGGTGAGGGGAGGGGAGGGAGGGAGTACGGAGAACGTGGACGCTGACATCCTGGAAACTGTGGGCGACACGCTGAGCCAGAGCCTCGGCGGCCTCCTTCTCCACGGGGTTGGCCTGCAGGCCGTGCCAAACAAACACGCGCGCCAGCTTGCGCGAGCCTTGATGTATTGGTTGGGGAAGGGAACGAAGTTAAGAAAGTCGAGATAATGCAAGATAATGCTGATATGAGGCGGTTGTACCATCGCCAACGAGGAGCACGAACGAATCGCCGCTGTTGAGGGAGCGATACGAGACCTCCATCTCGGAGACGTGGGTGGTGACGGCACCCTTCACGCGCAACAGGAACACGCTCGTGCTGGGCTTGGACGCCGCGCCGGCCGGCTTGGCTGCGGTCGATGCGGGCTTGCTGCCGCTGGTAGTGGCAACAGGTCGAACCGGGGAGGACGTGGCCGACGACGGCGAAGGTCTGCGCGGGGCGGCGACGCCGGGCTTGGCGGGCGAGGAAACCCTCGAGCCGGGCGCCGGCTTCACCGCGATGGCGGGCTTGGTCGTGCCGGCTGTCGGCCTCGACGTGGGCTTCGTGGCGGTGGCCGTGCCGGGCCTGGTAGTCGACGATGCGGGCCGAGCCGTAGTCGATGCAGGCTTGGTACCAGTAGTGCCGGCTGCCGGCCTCGACGTGGGCTTCGTGGCGGTGGCGGTGGCAGTGGCCGCGCGAGAGGGAACCGTCCGCACGGCAGGGACGGGTCTCACACCAGCGGCAGCCGTCGAGGCAGTGGGTCGCGGCGCTGGGCGTGTGGTCGTCGCGCCAGCGGCACCAGCAGTGGGCCTGGTTGTTGTGGGCCTCGCCGCGGTCGAAGTTGCAGGCTTCACGGATGCCGGTTTTACTTCACGGGTGTGGCGGCAGCGTAAGCGAAAAAAGTGGCTGTCTTCAGCTTGGCGCGAAAGAAAGAGTACCTGCTGTGGCCGTAGTGGGCCGGGTGGTGGTGGGCTTCACGGGCGAAGCAGTGGCCTGTTTTTCCATTGTGCACGCTATCGATGAGCAAGCACGAAAGAGAGGAGAATAAGAGACAACAAGAGGCGTAAACATACCGAACCGGGAGGCTTCGCGACAGTGGTCGGGCGAGTGGTGGCTAAAGCACCAAACACAGAGATCATTAAAAATGCAATGAAATTGGTAAAATTTGTTTGGAGTAGAATGCATGCGAGGCGTACTTGGCCTGGTGCTGGCAGGCCTTGTTGCGGGCTTCGCTGTGGTCGCTGCAGGGCGAGTTGCCGGTCGCTTCACTCCATTTTCTTTATCCTTTTCGGATGTGGCGGAACCGAAACTGGGCCGCTTGACCGCTGAGGTGCCGCTGGTGGACACTGTAGGCTTGGGCTTCGTCACCGCTCCCGCAGCAGATGCAGGCCTCGCAGTTCCTGTGGTTGCAGGCTTGCGTGCAGAGGTCGCAGCCGATGTCGTGCCATTTGCGGCGGGCCGAGTCGTAGAAGGGCGAGACGAGGCGGGCTTCGTCGCAGAAGAAGCAGGCTTTGTAGAGCTGCTCATGATCGCTTCGAAATTCGATGCAGAACTGAGGCGAGGGGAAGGTGCAGAATGGAAAATTCGTTGATTGTCTCTCTACACAAACCGATCCAATCGATTGAACAGAGAAAACGCAGCAGAATCCTTGCAGCTGCTTGCGCACGTTCACTTCTTTACCTCGCTTTGCTTCTCTCGATTGGCAAGCCTCAAGCGTAAAACGTCCGCCGTTGTTCTTGGGCAGCAGAGCAATGAACCCTTTCCCGCCAAATCAGAGTCGACAATATTATGGCGATAGAGAAATAGAGAAACGTAAAATGAAAGTAAGAAGAAAATTGGAAGTAGCAGATGGAGGATGAAGATGGGGAGCACGAGGCAGAGCCTGTGCTGTGGCCCATCCGGTACGGACTGGCAATGCCCTACATGACGGACAAGTACCGGACCGGGGGAGAAATAGACCTCGGTCTGCGCGGCGGATTCCTGCTCGCCAATCGCTTCCGCAAAACACAAGATGAAGAAGATCACACGAAGGAAGACGAGATCCAGGTCCTTGCACGTGCCACCTCCACTTATGCGCGTGCCATAGCTCAAGAGGAAGACGAGACACTCAGAGATGTGCCAGCTTTGGGTGCGTCTTGACGTAATCTCGAGATTTTATCTATTGCATGATTTAATTCTTGATTCTTGATTAAATGAGTCTGTGCTTGTGCAGAGGCGTGCACGCGTCTGCAGCCCCTGAGCGCTCTCGAGCTGGTCCACATGGCCCCGCAGCCATTTTTGTCCGCCAACGACCTCGTCACGCCTCCCCTTACGGTAGCCTCCGGCGTGGCGCCACAGGAACAGGTGAGCGTTGTGGTGGCCTCGCCCGTGCGTATTACCAACTGGTGCCCTGTGGCTAACTTCACACTCGCGTGGCGTGATGCTCTTTACCGGCAGCTCACGCACCTGCTGGTGCAAGAGGGCCCGGGTGCGGACTTTGTGCCGTCGGTGGTGGCCGCCGCAATGGGGCTGGGCGATTCCGAAGAAGGTGGGCGCCCTTGCGATGTGGTCTGCACGTGTGCGCTGCTGATGTGGTGAATTGTGTGCCCTCTGCTTCGCCCATCAGAGACTTCTTCTGCCGCCGCCGGCTTGGAGGACAAGTCCGAGTGCATGGCCTGCGTAGCCCCGGCCGCTGGCTTTCCGGCCTTCCTCATATTCGTCACGGGCCTGGGCCGAGACACACTCAATATCTTTTTCACCCTTATGATGCGTGTTGTGTGTTGTGCGTTATGTAGTGTTGTGTCATGTTGCGTTAATGTCGTGGTCTCGAATGTTCTCGACTCCTTAACCATCACCACATTTAAGCGCTCTGGCGGAACCGAGATCGGCCCGCTTGCCTCCCGCTTGTGATACTCGCTGCCTTCGCTCGGGTATCAAGTACGTGTCTCCGCGACTGCTTAGTGCCGACAAGTGCTTACCATCCATTCATTGCTTCGCTTCGCTCTATCAGCCAGGTTCGTGCTGTCACCGTGAACAGCGACGCGGCAGGCCCGCCGCGACCGCGCGTGGCTGTTACGACCGCCAACTCCTGCTTCATCTTCTCCATTATGAGTAATCCCACCCTCATCACAAGTGTTTTACGTCTCGTTCTATTATGGTTGTAACCATTGTACATCTTTTTCATCAAGACACGGAGAACCAGTCGTACCGACTTCAGCAGGAGAAGATCATCAGACTTACATCGCAGCCCATCGATATCGCAATCTCCCACCACACCTCCGACCTCGTCATCGTCACCAGCAATGGTACTAACTCCCTCCCCCCACTGCATTCTTGCCATTCCTCACCGCCAGTGTGTTTGTCATGGGGTGGGGCAGGAACGGTTCACCTGTGGGAAGCCAGCAACCCGGGGCGACTCCGGGTCATTGAAAAAGCGCCCACCGACGGCCCGTACGTAGTGCCCGTGTCGCCTGTTGGCGGAGACATTGCGGCCGCAGGTGTGGTGACTAATATGTGAGGGCCTCGACGTATCTGTGCAGGAGCGCCAGCATCGGGGACTACGTATGCACGTTTGGCGCGCATCCGCGCTCGCTGCTGATGGTCAAGCGACGGGTCGCGCCCGAGCTGCTCCGCTTCGATTTCGCCACCCGGAAGACGGTCAAGTCGACGTTGCCACTCCCTTCCGTGGCGGAGAGCGTCCTTGGGTACCCAATTCGCGCTACCGCGGCCCCATTCAAGTTTACCGTCAACCAACACTGTGTGTGTGCGCGGTGGTGTGCGCGTAGTCTTGCACGACATCCCTGGCATCCGTTTCACCTCGTCATTACGACTCCCCAGCACGTCCTGCTCTTTGACGAGAGGTCCGCCCATTCGTCGCCGCTAACCGCACAAAACAAACTCCTCGCTGCTGACCGCGCTATCTGTTGCATGGCATCTCGTGCTGTGCAGGGATACCGGGTCGTCTCTGCTAGCGTGGCGCCATCACATGCTGAAGGAGCCGCCGACCCTCGTCACCCTCCTGCAACCACACCCCGAGCAGTTGTCGAGTACGCGCAACGCCGCCACCCCTTCCTTCCCAGTTCTGGGTAATCACTCACATGTGATCGCCCGCCCATTCAGCGTACATACTGGTAGCCAATCGCTTGCGAGGCGAGATTTTATTCCTCCAGTACACCCTCGGTACGCGCTCACTCGACCACCAAAGCGAAACGCGCCCAGATGACTTACATGCAGAGCGAAAACATTTCAGGAATGGACTTGATGATGCCCGCGCTGGACCACGCCGAGGAGGTACCCTATTTCTCGCCTCTTCGTTTTCGTTCTTCCCCCAATGTAAGGCCAAAATTCCTCACATTCCCACCCCTTTTGCCCAGGGAAAGGGCGTGTGGGACAGAACGGGCCAGCTGTGCACGGTGTTCAGCCCCGAGCGGCCGATCGGGCTGCCTTCCGTCTTTGCTTCGCGCCAATATGACGTGATGTGCGTATTTTCTTTTGCCATACATGGCATGTCGTTCGTGTGCTGTGAGTCGTGTGCAGAGACTGATTGGGTGCTTGCAGACAGTCGAAGTATACGGCGTATGACCCGGTGCGGAACGTGCTAGCGACCAGCCTCCTGCCCAAACTCCTGCTCGGACTATGCGCCTTCGTCACAACTGAAGAAGACGACGTTGCTCGAGACGCTGCCTCGCCGCCCGCCAATCGACACATGGAAGTGTTCCAGATGTCCGAGGTGCGACGCACACAATGCACACGACGCATGGCACGCCGCACGGCGCTAACTGGAATTTCAGGCAGGCGACATTTTCATGCAGATGTTTCGGCTGGTGTCAGCAGCGCGAGAGCAAGAGAGAAGGAAGAAGGAAAAGAAGAACGAGAAAAGGGAAGAAGAAGAGCGGCCACCATCGCCGCCACCACCATCGGTGTCGCTCATGTGGGACCACACCGACGCGCGGCTGATTACGACCGACGTAGAGCTGTGGGACCGGTGGGAGGCCCGCTTCCGAGGGCAGCGCCGCCATCGGCCCGACGCCGGCCCGGAGGTCGATCCGCACTGCAAGCTCGACCGGACGGACCTCCTCGCGTACCACATCGCGGCCGAGGAATACGATTCATCGGCCCAGCACGTGCAGATGGCGCAGCGGGAGGACGAGGAGCGGCTGCGCGACAAGCTGCGCGACGTCATCGCGTTCCTGCGGCGCGGCCAGAAGACGGTGTTCGACCTCCACTGGCACCTAAAGTGCGAGCTGGGCCTCGTCGTCTCCCCGCAGGCCATCGCCCGCTTCCTGGCCAAGATGTACGCCACCAAGCACGAAAACGGAAACGAAAACGAAAGCGGAAACGAGAGCGAAGCCGCCAGGTCGACGACAACAGCGGCGCCGGCCGGGAGCGGAGTGTCATCGAGTTTCAACGACGCGCGCGGGGCCGTGCGGCGCAAGGACACGCGAACGGAGCTGTTCGAGCGCCTGTACAGCGCGCGGCCGATCGACGAGGCGCTCGAGGGCTTTGGCGAGTTCGGGCGGCTGCTGGCCGACGCTGACCGGCGCGCTCGGGAGGACGCCCAGCGCGCGCAGCGCGCCAAGGACTCCAAGGCCCGAGCGCGCGAGCGGACCGTTGCCAAGCGACAACGCCAGCGGCAGCGGCAGCGCCGACAGCAACGCGAGCGCGAGGCCGCCGAGAACGACGACAACAACTTCTCGCTCTTCCCCATGACGCCTGTCAACAGCGGCGTTCGCCACCACCAGCTGAGCCCGAGCCCGTTCGGCGGCGGGCAGAGTCCACTGCCGTCGCCCATACTCCCTTTTGGCAGCGCCAGCTGGGCCTACGAGATAGGCGGCCCGAGGGTTGAGCCGTCAGCCAACGACTACGATGATGGTGGTGGTGGCGATGATAAAGAAGATGACGATGAAGATGACGATGAAGATAAAGAGAATGAGGAGGAAGAGGAGGAAGAGGTGGACTACTACAAGATGGGCCTGGGCGACCTGGCAAAGAAGTGGCAGAATCGCGAGCGCGAGATGCGACGTAAGCTTAACCTACCCGAGGAGGAGAACGAGATGGAGGAGGATAACAGCCCGTCATCGCCGGAGGCCTCGTTTGTGCTCAATTCAAACCCAACCATCGCAGCGTCGCCGTCGCCGGTGGAGCTGCTGAGCGCAGAAGACGACGACGAAGAGGACCCGCTGCGGCTCGACAACAACTCGCCGCCTTTCTCGCAATCGCAGCCGGAGTCGCAGCCGTCGCAGCCGACCACGTCGCCGCGCCCGTTCAAGCGGCCCATGTTTCCGTCGACAAAGCGCTCGGCCTCGCAGTCGCTCATCGCCTCGCAGGGCTCGCCATCGACGAGCACATCGACAACGACGACGACTTCGCCCAGGCGCCTGTCGCGCCAGCAGCGCGCCGTTCCCGCGTCTCCGTTCTCCGCCGCATCGTCGTCAGGGCCGCCCAGGCGACAGTCTGCGCCGCGACTCCTCCAGGGCAAGATCACGGATCTCCTGTCCCCGAAATCAACCCCAACCTCGGCTGGCCCATCATCGGCCCTGGCCACGTCATCATCGCCCGCGCCGCCGTCGCCACTGCCACGGCCACAGCCACCACTACAGCCGAGTACTCCTAATTCCTCGGATTCCGACCGCGGCACGCCGGCGAGGGCGACGACGACCACGGCGGCGGTGGCGGCGATTATGCCATTCACGCCCTCGCCGCTCACCCCCGCACCGGTGCTTGCGCGCCCGCGTTCACACACCCTCGCGCCCTCGCCCTCGCTCTCGGCGCCAATGCTGTCGCCCATCGCCGACTACGCCGGCTCGCCCTCTCCGCCGTCGCCATCACCGTTGCTGTCACCGCCGCCGATCATCGCTTCTTCGCCCAAGTCGCCCATCATCAGCTCTGCGACCCGCCGATCCGCCGCCGCCGGCACCAAGCGCAAACGTGCCGAGGGCTTCTGAAGCCGAGCGCACGCGTTGTTTTCTTTTTCGGTCGAAAACAACACACGCACCGCACACGACACACGACGCGTGTCTGTTTAGTCCTCGCCCTAGTACTTGGCGGGGCTTTGCTTGGGCTGGCGCTGGCTGGCGACGGTGCCGTCGTAGGTGCGTCGGGCCTCCTCGCGCTGCTCCATGCGGGCCGCCCAGGCCGCCAGCCGCGGGTAGCGCGGCAGCACCGCGTCGCCCTCGGGCGTGGCCCGCAGATCGGCCAGCGGCGGGTACACGAACAGATCGGCCCACGTCACATCGTCCCCCACAAAATAGCCCTCACCACCGCCGCCGCCAAGCAGGGACTCGAGCAGGGCCAGCACCGGCTCCAGGGCCTCCAGGCCCGGCTGCACCTTGGCCCGGACCTCGGCCTCGAGTGCTTCGTGGTCGCCGCCAGTGCTGGCCGATTGCTGCTCGAGGGCCAGGCGCGGCTTTACGACGCCGAATTCGAGGCGACGGAAGAGGTGGTCGGCGGCGAGGCTCGCGATGGTGTCGATGCGGGCGTTGGTGCGCGGATCTTGGTCGGCCGAGCGCAGGGATGGCGCGCTCGGCGCTCGGGCCGCGGGGAAGATGACGGTGTCGAGGTAGCGCGCAATGGCAGCGCTCTCGTAGACCTCGAAGGGCTCCTCGCCCGGGCAGCGTTGGTGTGCAAGCACGGGGATGAAGCCGAGCGGGTGGTGCTTGCAGGCTTCCTCGGAGTGCGGCAGGCAGCCCACCTGGCATTTTATTTATTAATATTATCAATATTAATACTATCAATATTATCAATATTAATACTATTACGAAAATATTGAATTATAATAATAGATGAGCTGCAAATGATTTTGTCTTGATTTTATTTATTTATTTATTTAACGAAAAATGCAAAATGCAGCGCGAGGTACCTGATGGAAGGGCACTCGCTGGGAGTGCAGTGCCATGGCGATGGCGCGTGTGAAGGTGGAGAGGGGCGCCCCATACAGGCATACTTCGCTTGTCCTGAGGTCTTCCATCTGGGCTACTTTTGGCTTTTCTCGTTTTTTCTTTTTTGTTTCCCTTTTTTACCGGCAGCCTTGTTTTGTCTCTGCGTTCCTCTCATTCCAACCGTTGCGACCGGTTTATATGCTTTTATTTTTGTGTGGAGTAATCAGAGAGGCCGAGGAATGATGAATGGGCGAGTGGCCTCGCCCTTAGTGCCACGCTGGCAACGCAATGAAAACCAGAAGCGATTGCGCGGCGAAGAGTACGGGCTACTATTTCCCCCCCCCCAATCTTCAGAAATTACATAATTGCAATTTATTTGTTACCGTTTAATCGCCACCAACCCCTGAGTGCTTCATCCAATTAAATAATCTATTTGATACTCTAATTGAACGGGGCTAATTAATTATTTAAATGCCATTTATTAAAAAAAAGGCAACGTACGGCGTCGCAGCGATCGTTCCGGATGGTCCTCAACCTGCTCGCCCAGGAGGCAGATGAGGAGGAAGACCTCGACGCCTCCAACGCCCGCGAGACCACCACCTCGCCCGCGCCTCAGTCGCCGTCGCCGCCATCTCCAGCGTCGCGAGTGCTGCGAGAACGGAGCGCCGTCGGCACGCCTCCGCAGCAGGCGGCGTCGCCATCAGCGCAGAAGCGACGGAGCCCAGCCACGCCGGCGTCACCTTCGGCCCTGAAGAAGCGGCGGATGACGATGGAGCAGCAGCAGCAGCAGACGCGATCTCCGCGACCACCAGACACAACACCAGCCCGCAAGGACGATGGCGGCGAGGGCCTGTACGAGGAGGACGATGGTGGCGGCCTGGCCAGCGGCGTTGTGGCCTACGACGACGACGACGACGACGGATTCGACGGCTTGCCGGCGCAGGAGGAAGGGCAAGAGAACGAAGAGGAGGAAGAGCGAACGCGAAGCGAAGACTACGATGAAAGCGAAAGCGAAAGAGAAAGAGAAAGAGAGGAAAAAGAACGAAGGGAGGAAGAGGAGCGGCATGCAGAGAAGGCGAAGAAGGAGAAGAGGAAACGGCACGCAGAAAAGGAGAAAGCGAAGAAAGCGAAAGCGAAGGAGATCAAGAAGAGGAAGAAAGAAAAAGAAATGGAGATGGAGAAAGAAGAAGAAGAAGAAGTCGAGGAAGGCGAGGAGGAAGAGGAGGAAGCGGAGGAGGTGGAGGTGGAGGGGATGCGGGAGCAGGAGGCGCAGATCCGAGCGGAGAAGGAGCGGGCCGCGCGGGAAAGCGAGCGGGAGCGGGAGCGGCTGCGCGAGGCGAAGGGCAAGGACAAGGCCACCCGCGCGGACGACCACAACGGCGAGCCGACAACAAAGAAGAAACGGAGAACAGGTGCACACGCACACGCACACGCACACGCACACGCACACGCCACCGCACACGCACACGCACGCACCACCGCACACGCGCAGCGACGTGAGTGGGTGGCTGACTTGGGAGCTCGGCGCCTGCAGAGCCGGTGGACGACACGACCGAAGCCGAAAACGGGCACGAGGACGACGCCAAGTGGGTCGATTGGACAGACCTCGGCCTGCCACCGACGGCCAAGGTATTATTTGGCTCCCTCCGTGCGCGACACATGACACGCACAACACGCACGACACGCACGACACGCACGGGTGACTGACGTGTGTGTGGTGTTGTGCCCACGCAGGAGTCTGAAATCATAACGCGGGCGGTCCTGGACGGAATTGTGAGCTTCGAGGGCGAGGTCGACGACGAGCGAAGCCAAGAATTGGCCCGCTTCCACGACGCCGTAGAGAACGCGCTCCAGGAAATCGTACGATGCGATGCGATGCATTCATTCTTTTCCCGCCGATCATCCGTGCGACGGACTTCACATTCTAAACTCTCTTCTCTGGCGTGTGCGGCGGTGCGTGTGTGCGGTGGGTGCGGTGGTGTGTGTAGGTCGATGCGACTTCGACGTACTATGCCCTGAAGCAAGCCGAGTCGAAGAGCCGTGCAAGGGTGCTCAAGAAGCGCAGGGAGCTCCTCAAAATCCAACGCGAACGAGCCGTCGTACGCTCTCCTTGCTCACATCGGTTTGTGAGTGCAGCGCGCGCGGTGACATTCGTCTCACACACGACACGCAACACGACACACAACACACGACGCACGCAGTTGGGCGAGCAGATGCGGGTGCTCGAGGAGCAGAACGCAAAGGCCCGGGACGAGACTTCGGACGTGGCCTCACTCGACCAATACCTGAGCCAGCTGCGCGGCCTTCGACAATCCGTCGCTAAGTTGCCGCCGCCAAGCCAAGAAGTGGTTTGCACTCCTCACACGACACACACACACACACACACAACACGCACCATCGCACACGCAGCCTGCGCCTCAAAGGGCAAGGGCACACACAGCACACAGCACACGCAACACGACACGCATTGATGTTATTGCACGGGCAGTCAAGCGACGCGGCGAGTCTCGGAGCGTTGGCAACGGGCCTGGGCGTGGGCGGCACGGCGGGCAGTCTACGGACCGTGCGGGAGGTCAACGCCGACCTGGAGGCGTGCCTCAAGATGATCGACCACCTCGCCGCCCGACAACCAACCACCACTTCTTCCTCCACACGCAGGAAGAAGAACAAAGGAACATAACATGCATGTTGCAATCAATATATTGACGTGCAACAAGATGCAACTTATATGGAATGTGATTGGTTTATTTACAATGTGACCCACCCCGCATTGTGGCGGGCCACATCCACCACCGGACCACTAAGAGCCCAGGCAGTCTACGTGCATTAATGGTATATATATGTTCATGGTATGTTGTTGGTGTGTAGTGCTGTGGTACCGTCTTCTTCATCATCGTCTCGCTCACCTTCTGCTTCTTCTTCAGGCCTGGCCGACCTCGACGTCGTCGTGCAGCCAGAAGTAGGTCTGGGCGTACATGGAGGTCTCCTCCTCGGTGGGCAGCAGGTGCGGCGGGTTGTTGTAGATGAGACGCTTGCGCTCCTCCTCCCTGTCGGCAAAGCGGTGGCCGCTCTTGCGCGACTCCTTGACCAGGAACGCGGCGATGTGGTGCATTGCGACGATGGCCTCGGGCGAGTGGTCGATCTCTTCCTCCTCGGTCCACTCCCAGCCGTTGCGCTCGGGGTGGAACTGGCCGGCCCAGAAGGGGTACTTCTTGCCCTCCATGCTGGTCACGAAGACCTTGCCCTCGGCGTCTTCGTTGGTGGCCAGCACCTCGAACATCGAGCCCAGCGCTTGGTGCTCTACTCGCCAACATAATTCAAATAGTTGAGTTTATATGCGCATTTTCATCGGTGAAATGAGGAATTTGAAGAATGGACGTAGGAAGAGCTGAGAGCGGTACCTTCAAATGTCTCGGGCGTGATGCAGTAGTTGTGCATGTGCTCACCGCACGGGGTCTCGGCCAGGGTCCTGTAGACGTGTTGCGGCAGCGAGCCGAACAGGCGACTACTCTTGGCCTTGTGGGTGAACTCGAGCGGTTTCGAGACGCCCACGCACCCCTTGACGCGCTGCTTGAGGGTGAAGTTGTTGGCAGCCAGCTGGCACATCAGCTGGAAGCCCTGGCACGTTCCATAGATGGGGAAGTGGTCTCCGGCGTCGTTGGCCTCCTTCGCCCACCGGAACAGCAGCTTCGCCGTGTGGCCGTACGGCGTATTCCTGTGCGACACCAGACCAGATGTGAGTCACATTACACACATTACCCCCACCTCACCACACCACAGGCAGTAAAGAGAGAACGTACGAGATGTCGGTGATCTCGCCGCCGGTGAACAGCACGCCGTTGATGCTCTCGAACAGATGTCGCAGCTCTTGCTCTTCTGTGTCGTAGCTGGTCGCGAAGTCAAGAGTTTGTTATGTCAGTTTGCAGTTTATGCGAAATCGCACGCGTGTGCGGTGTGTGTGTGGTGTGTGTGCGACGTACTGGATGGGGATGACTCGCGCGCCGCCCGATTCGAGCCAGCGCACGAAGGAGGCCGGGACGTACTCCCGATATCGCTCCTCGAAGTCGACGAGGCGCTCTTCGCTGTCGGTGGGCTGGGTGAGGACGCCCCACACGGGTCTCGTGGTCTTGGTGGTGCGGGGACTCGTGACGTTGATCTTGATCGTACTACTGGTACTCATTTCTGCAGAACATAACAAAAATAAATTAATTAATTAAATGTCCAAAACAAAATCAATCCCACAGAAGAAAATTAAAAAAATAATTTAGAAAAAGCAAAATAGGCAAATTTAGCATAAAAAGGAAAATGAAGGTTGCTTCTGTGGAAACAACGATGTGCCGCGGGGCGTGTGGCTGGCGTAGACTGCGCCGTCCCCCTCAAACCGAACCGAACCTAACCATGGCCTGACCATGGGTGCGACCCAGGAGGTACCTTGCGCCGGTGGTGGTGGTGGAGAGGGGGATTGTAGCACAACTGCTTCGTCATCGAGTCACAAGTCCCTGTGGGCGATTGCGCCCCAAGCCGACGGAGGGGGAGGGAGGCAAGAGGGGTGAAGGCCGCAACAGTTCGAGATGCAAAAAAACAGATTTGATGCAGGAATGGAAGAAGATGAAGAATGATGAAGTCTGGAGGGAGGAGAAGATGTTCAGGTACCTGACTTGTGTGACTTGTTACGGGTACTTGAGGCTTGTGGGGTTGATGGTTGTGAAGGTATGGTTGTGTTTGTTGAAGAACAAAGAAGGCGGAAGGTGTTGCTTGAGTAGTGACAGCTGCTGTGTTAGGCCTGGGTTTGGGATATGGGTATGGTCCTTGTGGCGTTCGGCACTAAAATACTCAGAAAATAGAAACGTCGACCGCTGGCGGCGACACTTGTCAGCCCCAAATCTCCCCCCCACCGGCATCTGGCCAGTTCTCGGTGTGGACGCTCTCAGTTACTGGCACCTCGATTTCCATCGAAATCGTCCGGCTCCCGTGTCGACAATCCGGGTGCTGGCAATTCGGCAGAAATTCAGCGGCTTCCAGCTTGTCCATTTCCTGCAGGGCTTCCGCCAGCCTTCTTTCGCGGCTGAGGGGGTGGGGGCCATGAGGACGAGCTCCACATCATCACCACATCGTGTGGCCTCTGGCTTACAACCTCCTCCTGCATCCACAGACTCATCCACCACAGCACAACAAGACACGCCCAACAACAAGAACGACACAACCACGATGGAGTTTCTGCAAGGGAAAGAGTTGGCAGGCGTAGGGAGGCTCTGCCTCTGCATGGTTTGGGTGTGCCTCTTCGCCCAGCTGCTCCCACCGTGGACCCCGGCGCCTCCCACCACATCATCATCGTCTTCGCCACCAGCGCACCAGCCATCCAACAACTGGCCACTCATGCAGTATTCCGCTACATCGTCACCTTCGTCGGCGTACCAACGTCACCAAACTCACCTTCGTGCGAGTAGCCACGAACCATCGGCTGCGGCGGAGGACCCACCGACGCGAGCATACGCGCGCGAGCACTGGGTGCTGGCCGAGGTGGGGCGGACATACAAGAACGCGGTGTACATGTCCCGGGAAGCGGAGGCGAGGGACGAGAACGCCTTCATCACCGCCACCCTGGCCCTCGGGTCGCACTACCTCCTCATCGGCCTCTCGCTCTGGCTCCTGCTGGCGCCCGAGAAGGAACGGTCGGCACTGGCCGACGGCCTCTGATCCGGCCTTATGTCTTTTCTCCGCATGATCATAGTTTCTTGTAGGTAGGTATGGCTGCTCGCCTTTCACCCGGATCGGGTGGTGGCGCGCACCATTCCGTAATATTTGGTTTTTCAAATTCGTTTGCAAGCTACGAAACAAACAGTTTGTGTTACCATTTTCTTTTTCGTAGCCTCAATTTCTTGCCTTTTTCCTCTTTCGGTTGGATTGAATTGATTGAAGAAGATGAGGAAGGCGTGGAGCGGTGTGCGACAGCAACTGGCGGTGCCGCCGTGCGCGGTGGTGGGGCCATCGACGACGGGGATGAGCCGCCAATTCGTGCGGGGAATTACGCATTCGCAGCACGAGCGGGCCTACCTGCAACGGCTGCGACAGATGGAGGCCGAAGCCGCGGCGGGCAAGACATGGCGCCTCGTTGGCGGTATCGCCGTACAGAGATTGCCCCTCATCATCCCCACGCCCGATCCCATCGAGGACCAATACGAGCAGTTCCGATTCGATAGGGACAATTATTTCTCCATTAATGTAGAGCGCAATCTCGAATTGATGGAGGAGGATCGTCGGAAGGGCTCCAAGATCTCCAAGACGCAGAAGAAGAAGAAGGAGAAGAAGGAGGGCGTTTCGGATGCTGGTCCTGCAGGCGGTAAGCAGAAGGGCGGCGAGCAGGATGAAGCCGACTCGCTCTACCAGAAGGCGGAGGAGACCGCGTACAGAGAGGAGACGCTGGAGGATGTGCGGGCCAAGATGGAACGCCTGTCTCCGCGAATCACGGCGGCCGATCTGGCGAACGATCGCAAATCGTTGAACCGCGCCCTCGCCTCGCGTCTCTACCTCATCGTGCAGAAGCCAAGGACCGAGCATGCCTGGCAATTCCCGCAGGGCGGGCGCGAGTCTGGCGAGACCATGCGTCAGGTACGCGCCACTTATTTCATCACTTATTTAATTGGCATTTTAATCAGAGCGAGTGCGAGTGAATTCCTGTGAATCAAAATCGAATGCTAATCTTCCGTTCGCACAGTGCTGCGAGAGGGAGCTGCGAGAGGAGATTGGCACGAAGGTGAAGGTCCACTTCTGGAGTAACGCTCCTGCTGGCTGCTACTCCTACCCCTATCCCGACAACTACTCCCACAACGACGGCCACCATGGCTCCAAGGTGCACACTTGTTCTTTCTCTTTCTCTTCCTCTCGAGTTCTTATCTCTCGTGTCTCTTACAAGAGTAGAAGTAATAATGCTTTCTTTTATCTTCTACTTCTTGTTGTTGTTTGCGTCCAGGTGTTCTTCTACCACGCCGAGTACGTGAGTGGCGAGCCCCACCCGGACAACAAGGAGGTGGTGGACTTCGCGTGGGTGACGCGCGACGAGCTGCAGGAGTACTTCGACCCTCAGCTCTTCAAGTTCGTCCGCGACATGCTCCCCGCCTAGATGCGTGTCACCTTCTACCTTCTACCTTCTTCTTCTTGTTCGTTCTTCTTCTCTTTCCACTTTCTCAAACAATAACAGCCATCATAGTTATAGTTATCAAGACCCTCCTCACACTCCATCACATCATCAGGCTTATGCTAATACTCCGCTATATTCGGAGCTATATATGTTCAGTGTATGTATGTACATCGTGCGTTGTGGTGTGGTGGAAACAAATGTAAATGGTGGAACGACTGACGCCTCGTCTAGACGAAGACCGAGTTCAACCATGAGTCGGCCGCGGCCAGCGATGATGTTTCCACCACTCCCGCGCACGAAGGCGGCTGCTCGGTCGAAAGTTCGTCGCTCAGCTCCTCCTCGCAAGCGAGCCGACACGTCGGCATCGCTGGCGCGACCGGCGGCACGCTCAGTAACGAGAGGGAAGACAGCCACGACGTCGAGTCGTCCGTCACCTCGTCGCACAGCGACCAGAAGGCATCGTCGCAGGGGGTCGTGGTGGTCGGGTCGAGGCTCATCATCGACGACGCCGACGAACTCTCTACAACGAAGGCCCACGGGAGGAAGAGCGTGGCCTGCTCGCCGACGTAGCCGCCGTCCGATTCGTACCTCGCCGTAATCAACCCGAAGTCGCGTTCGAGGAGATCCAGGCTTGCGGGGGTGGTACCGATGGTCTCCCCGACGTCCAGCTCCTCGCCGTCGTCCTGTCCGCGGTTGTCGTCGACCATGCAGCAGTCCGAGGAGGCGTAGACCGCGTGGTCGTCGCCGGCCTCCCACAGGCGGCCTGATCCCTCGTCGGCGCTCGTGCTGGCCTCGAAGTGGTCGTCGTAGTCGTTCCCCTCGTGGTGTTCGTCGCCGCTGCTCATCGAGGCTTCGTCGTCGTGGTCGTTCTCGGGTAGCGGCTTCGTCTCTTGAAACTCGTCGAAGGCGGCGCTCTCGCTGTCTTCGTCGTCCGCGTAGGGCGTCTCGGACTCAAGCTGCTGCGACCAGCCTTCGTCTTCTGAGTAGTCTTCGTGAGGGGCTTCGGTACCGCTGCTGCTGCTTGTCGCGGCCGTCTCGTGGTCGTCGTCGGCTGTGGTGACGCGACACCTCTTCTTGTCGCGCGCCGTACCTTCGTCGTCGTCCGAGTAGTCAGGCAGAATGGAGTAGAGCAAGTCGGTGAGCGAAACAAGCTCGGTCAACACCTCGACGACCTTGCACTCCTGCTCCTCGTCGCTCGGGGGCACCTGCTTCTTGCTGCCCCGGCAGCGTCGCGCTAGTCGTCGCTTGGGTGTCGTAGTGGCCACGTATTCATCTTCCTCCTCCTTCACCTCCTTGTTATTCTTTCGCCAGCCGCCGACCGCTTCCGATGCCGCCACAAACGCGCCCCGCCTCTTCCTTCCGTTCACCATCTTTGACATCTTGTAGCGATAGAAACGTAGGCGTTGAAGCTAAGTAACTTCAAGCTGACTTGTAAGTAGAACCTCGCGTCGAGGAGATGGTGCCGGTGCGGGGCTTGTTGTCGGAGGTGTGTATGTTGCTGGTCTGGTTTGAAAAGAAAGACAAGAGCGAACGTAGGCCGAACATAAGGGGCAAGGCAGGCAAACCTCTTTCCTTTTTGGTGTCGTCTTTTCGCTGACCAGCTCCTGGTTGGTCCCGCGGAGTTTGACCAGCCAATGGGCGCAAGTGCCAAGCGGGTGCCCCTTGGTACACAACGACCACACCGTTCAAAAAGGGGGCCCTGAGCGGTTACCATCCCCTGACACTCTGCAGGGCAAGGCCCGTTTCTGGCCATGATCACCAGAACTGGCTTTCCGCTGGGTGGAACCCACTTGAACAAGTTCTTGCCGCAGCGCGGAGTGGCCACATCCCAGACACATACCCCAGAACAGGCATAGCAAAAGAGGTCGGCCCCTCATGGTGTGACATGTCGGTTGGTGTGGTGGCCGAGGAGGGACTGAAGGGGGGGACAAGGTTTGTTTGTGTAAATGAATAACACGAGAGGTTGTTATTGTGTGTGGGGGCTACGCTGCTACTGTTGGGCGGAGGAGGTTGCTGGGGGCTTCTCCTCTTCGGCGCTCATACGATCAAAGAGTCCCGCGAGGGCCTTCTTCTGCTTGTCGCTCTGCGCCTTCTCGAACTGCTTCAGTCGCCTGGGCACAACAACAACTACGCGGTGAGCACCTCACAGCGCACCCTTCGGTCGTTGCGACAGAACAAGCGTGGCCGTCAGGAAGGAGAGCGAAAAGAAAACCTGATCTCCAGTTGGATGGCCTTGTCGCTGGGGTCCAGCTGAGCAGCTTTGTTAAGGTCCACAGCCGCCTTGTCCGAATCACGCAGCTTGAGGTACGCTACGTTGCCGACGCAGCACACGACATACGCAGTTAGGGCGATGTAGAGATGGCGGCCAGCAATGGGGTGATGTGTACCCTGGCCTCGCCTGAAGAGCGCCTTGACGCTGCTGGGCTCCAGTTGGAGGGCCTTGTTGCAGTCGTCGATGACTCGATCGAACTTGTCCTGCTTGAAGTGGCACAGGGCCATGTTCAGGTGCAGCGCCAGGCTGATGGCCTTGATCTCGCTCGTCTGTCCCGACGACAGCGCCTCCTGCCTGCACCACGTGCACCAATACGTCAACAACAAATGTGCACACGCACACGCACACGCACACGCACCACCGCACACGCACACGCACACGCACCACCGCACACGCACACGCACACGCACACGCACACGGGTACCCGCTGTTCTTGCGCATCATGGCAAACTTGCCGCCGCTACCGTCATCGCCCAGGCCCTTCACGTAGAGCCACGCCTGCACATAAAAACACTCGAATTAGATTTGCATGTGTAAAGCAACAAATTCGTAGAGTTGTGCACTGACCTTGTGGTAGGCGAGGAGGGCCTTGCCATAGTCTTGCTGCTTGACGAAGCTGTTGCCCTCCTCCTTCAGCTGTTGCGCCGTGGCGATCTTGTCCTCGTTTGTCTGCGCATAAATTAAATAATAAATCAACAATCAATAAATAATAACAAAAACCTAAAACGACAACACAACTGACCTTGCCGCTCGACATGCTGGGTGTCTCCTTGATTAAAAAATTGCGAAGATTGAATTATTGCCCTCAACCCAATAATATTGCATTTCTTGGTTTCAGAAAAGTGGTGAAAATTTTCAAACACTTTTGGCAAAAATTAGTGCCCTGAAACGGGCTTTCTGTTTGTTGTGCTAGGATGCAACACAGAATAAGGTGGTGAGGATTGAGAAAGGTAAGCACCAGCCGCGAATCACGACAACCAAGTGCTGTGGGAGGACGACGCATACAGGCCACACCCACCTGGCAGGGCATGATTGGCCAAGTGGTTCCCTCTTGGCGACCTATCCTTGGCAACAGCCTCCCTCCACACGAAAAGGCAGTGCTGCTGCACCTCACTCTACGCTCCACCACTCAACACACACAACCACCCTCTCTTTCAATCAACAAACACACACAAGATGAACATCATCACTGGCACCGACGAGGAGAAGCTGAAGGCCCTGAGCGAGCGCACGTACAAGGAGCAGGCCGTGTGGTTCCTCAACGCCTTCTGGACGGGTGTGGGCCACAGCGAGGCCGAAAAGCTGTGGGACTTCGTCCACCAGTGCGAGGAGCTCGACAAGGAGAACAGGGCGCTGGGCAACCATCTCGACGAGTTCACGGCCCACCGCTTCCTTGAACACTTCAAGGAGACCCTCACCATCACCGACCTGCGCGACAAGCTGTTGGCCAGCGGCGCCATCCCCACCACCAGTAAGTTCCTCAAGGAGGTGCCCCTCATCTTCTTCCTCATCGTCAAGTACGTAGAACGACCCCCCTACTCATCACTCTAGGTAGCTCTACAAAAAGTCTACTGTATGTGGACGTAGAGATTGACTCACTGTGTTGTACAGGTACAACGTGGACTTCCACCACATGGTGAACACGGCCCAGGGCGCCGCCGAGGAGACCGCCAAGGCCCAGGGGGTGCTCGAGGCCGTCATGGAGGCCTTCGCCAAGAGCGCCGCCCAAGACCGCAAGGCCGCGGCCAGCTTGGAGGATTCCACCCGCCGCGAGGCCCACGCCAAGGAGGCCGCCGCCGCCGCCGCCCAGCGGTACGCCCCCCCCCCAATCTACCTCAAGCGCGTGTTTTTATTTCTCACGGGTGTGCGGCTGTTCAACGGAACAGTGACGCCGATGCCAAGCACTCGGCCGCCGAGGCTGCCCATAAGGAGGGCGTGGCCCAGAAGGCCGAGCACGAGGCCAAGGAGCGCGAGGCCGAGGCCCGCGCTCGTGAAGACGAGATGGTTGCGGCCAAGAACAACCTCGAGGAGGCCCTCAAGGACCTCCACCAGCAGGAGTCGTCCTACAACGCCCGCACGGCCGAGCTGACCAAGGCCAGCCAGGAGGGCTCGGCCATGGCCCAGAGCAAGGCCAAGGTGGAGCTCGCCACGCACCTCGAGGCCGACCACTTGCCCCTGCGCAAGGCCAAGGTCACCCAGGAGGCTGCCCTCAAGGCCACCGAGAAGGCCATCGTCGTCAGCAAGGCCGCCGCCGACGTCGCCTCCGCCGCCCGCAAGGAGGCCGGAAGCGCCCTCTCCCACGTACGTCAGCCCAACATATGATATGTTGAGTGTCTCATGCTGACGTGTCGTGTGTCATGTCATTTAGGCGCAATCGTCGCGTGCCGCTGCCGATGCGGCGGCTGCCCAGGCGTCGGCTGCGCGTGCGAGCGCAGAGCAGTCTGCCAAGGAGGCCGTGGCCGCGCGTGCCCAGTCGGAGGCCGACAAGCAGCACGCGGCGGCGGCGCTGGCCGATGCCAAGAAGAAGGTGGAGGAGGCCGAGGCCTTCCTGGAGCAGGCCAAGAAGGTCATGCCGGGCGGCACCTCCTGGTGGATGGAACGCGAGCTGGCCGAGGCCCGTAACTTCCTGCCCAAGGCCAAGGGCGGCTACATCAAGAGGCACATGACCCTCGACAAGGCCGCCAGGAAGGCTTTTGCCGCCTCCATGAAGGGCTAAACTACGCTCAATTTAATGTCGTAGTCTCTACACAACATGTTGTGAAACATGTGGTGCTTCTTTGATAATAAACTGTGATAACATTCTCTGTACATACATCAAGATACCAGAAAATCGTGTCATTCGTTGATGCAGGGGAAGACGGGCTCGGCGGTGATGAATCGACGCGCGTTGGCCAGGGTGATGAGGGTCTGGTGGTAGGCGCGCGGCATCTCCACAGGCCGCTCCAACTCGAGGTAGGAATAGCCATCGTCATCGTCTTCATCCCCCTCGTCCATGTAGCGCGACTGGAACTGGTGCTGCCGCTCGAGCGAAAAGTTCAGCCACACGTCCACGCCCTCCTCGAGAAGAATGAGACGGCCCCGCACACTGAACCGCGGCCCTGGTGACTGTTGATGTCGTTCGTGTCGTGTGTGCGTGTGCGTGTCGTGTGCGTGTCGTGTGCGTGTCGTGTCGTTGGTTGTGTTTGTGTGGGTTAGATTCCATGTGGTGCTTGGACAGGGGGTGGAGACAGGGGAGCGTACCAGGAGTCCCGATGCTGAAGAAGACGAAGACTCGATGTTGAAGTAGGCCGTGGCCGACCGCTTGGCCATCTTGACCAGCTCCGAGTCCTTCATCCGCACGCTGTCGTTCCTGCTGTGCAGCGACCGCAGCCCGTTCCGCATCATCTCGCCCCAATTCCACGTGTTCTCTGAATACCTCTTTCCCTTCTTCGTTTTCGTCTTCGCTTTCGTTCTTTTGTCGTCTCGTCGAGTCGGCATCGTCGCTCGGTCGACGCTCATCGAGCGCGGGCGGCGATCGTAGGCCTGGGTCCTGACATCCGGATGCGCGCTTCTGCTCCGCCGGCGTCCCTGGGCTCGGCCGACATCACGTCGACGCGCCGCGCCGTGGCCGCGGTTGGCCGCCGGGCGCGGGCGGCGATCATCGTCGCTCCCGCTGCTGCTGCTGCTTCGGCTGCTGTCGGAGCGCTCGAGGTCGAGTTCGTAGGCGCGGGCGTGGAGGGCTTCGGTGAGGGTGGTGCGCCGACGGTCCATCTTTTCGAGCTTCTTCTGGTACTTGGCCTTCTTCAGATCGTTCTCCTTCTTGGCCATCTTCTTTTGCGCCTTCGCCATTTTTTTGTCCCTGTCATCCAACGCGACACACACGACACACGCGACACACGACACGCACGACGCACACGACACACGACGCACAACACGCACAACACGCACACAACACACGCGACACACAAACGCGGCCGCTCACCTCAACAAGGACAGAACAGTGTGAGACACTGAGCGAATGGAGAGGCCTCGCGTACATTTTCTTTTTCTTTTTCTTGAGCTTGGCTTTCCTCCGCTTCCGGGCGGCACGTGTTTTGTCGGCCGCGGAGGTGGAGGCCTTCACGGGGAGACACGCCAGGCAACACATGCCCTTCAAGCAGCCCTGCAGAGGGACCACCGATCGGTGTTGGTTTCGCATCGAAGCCACACAAGCACGCACACGCACACACGCGCGCATACGACAGCCAACAAGCACTGGCGTGGCGGTGGAGTACCATGCAGGCTGATCGGCCGCGTTTAGATTTGAGGCAGACGCAGCAGCACGAGCAGCAGCAGAGCAGGCTGATCACGATCACGACGAACACGATGATCTTGTCCATGCACGAATTATCCACGTAGCACGCGATGTCGAAACTGCACCGCAAGTCGTTCAGTGTGCGCCTTGTGTGTCGTGTGTGTGTGTGCGCGCGCGCGACGTACATGCTGTTGCACGCGCTACAGCTGGTGATTGCGTATTTGTAGCCGCCGTCGGCCGGCTTTCCTCCTCCGCTTCCGTCGCTGCACTGACCTCCCAGGCAGGTGATATTGGTGGCGAACACCGTCACGTTCACCCACACCGAGTCCACGATCACCCCGAGCGAATCATACAACGACACTGCGACCATCAAGAAAAATCGTAACACATTAATGTAAACAGAAATAGACAAGTAAAACATGTTACTTAAGAACATATAGTGAATGATGAATGATAGGGTGGCGTGCCGTTGCAGCCAGTATTGAAGCCCAGGTTGGTGAGACTGTAGAGTGCGAAGGTGAGGTTGGCCGATTGATAGGCCGAGATGGAGCGCATCTTGGCCTGCACGGCCTGGATTCGATCGCCGCACTCCGTCACGGTGATCTGCCACACACGCAACAAACCACACTCGACTCAGTCACATCTGATGCACGTGTCATGTTGGCATCTCCGGGCCTGGTGGCTGTCTTTGGGGGGGGGACTCACCGTGTAGTCCGCCTGGATGGTGCCGTTGTTCATCACAACCACGTCGAGCTCTCCCTGTGTTGCCAGGCCCTCAAAGCCGGTGATATTGGCCACCACAATACGACCGGGGCTCCTAGGATGATGACGACGCTGAAGGTAAGAGCAGTACTCAGAACAATAAGAGTAATGACTGACCGGTTGATGGTGTAGATGATGTCGTCGGCGTTGAGGGTGAGGGTAGTGACGGTGGCCCTGATCTGGTCGAGCGCAAAGCTGAGGTAGCGCTGGTCGTTGGTTTGGACCACGGCCTGGTTGCCGACGAAATCGCCCCAGAACCGCACAAAGTAGCGGCCCAGCTGTCCCTGCTCCCACTGCAGAGCCGAGCATCATTGTCAGCAACAACAGCTCATACGACACACAACACACAGCGCACGCATGACACACGAGCGTTCGCCGCACACATGACACAAGCTCACACTGACATCAAATGCCCACGTACCCTTGCGAGGTCCTCTCGGTGGTAGTGGTCGAGCTGGTTGCCGAGACAGGCCTGGAGCCAGTTCCCGCAGGCACCGCCCTGGTAGCGGAACGCCGAGAAGCTCACACCGATCTTGTTGCAGGTGAGGCCCGAGAAATCCGCGCTCGAGCGGTCAAGCAACATCCAGTAGTCCGTTCCTGAGTGGTTGTCAAAGTCTCAACATCGAGCTGTGTCGCGTGTCGTGTGTGTCGCGTGTGTCGTGTGTGTTGTGTTGGTACCGGCTACGACTCGCGGGTGCGTGGATGGCGAGGATGGTACGAAGAGATATTTTTCGCTGAGGACCGGATTATCGCTCCACGGCGCAAAGTCGCCCTGCAGCTTGGCGAAGATATCGCCGCCGGCAGCGGTACCGGTGGTCTGCGAGGGCGACAGGCGCAGGGTCTCGGTCACGTAGCCGCCGGTCGTGTTCCCGTACATGTCGGTCATCGTCTGGTACTTCTTCACGCTCAGCACCACCTCGAAGCTCACCTGAGCCGCACCTGTTTTTTGTTTTACAGGTTTAATAAGAAATAAATAAATTAGACACTGTTAGCAATTATTATTTTTATTATTATTATATAAATATAAAAATAAGGAGCCAGCTTTCGTACCGATGGAGAAGACGTCGTACCAGAGTTGGTCGAAGCGGAGGCAGTGCGCGGAGCTGCCGTCGACGCCAAAGGCGAACAGCGAACACGTGAGTCCCGCTCGCGTTTGCTCGTTGGACAGCCACAGCACCTCGCTCAGGTCACACGAACAGCAGAACCCCTGCAAGCATCGTGTGTGGTGTGTGTGTGTGTGGCGTGTGCGGCGTGTGCGGCGTGTGCGGCGTGTGCGACGTGTGCGTGTAATGTTGGGGTCAGGTCTGTTCTACAGCTACGCCTGGGAGGAGAGGTACCTGACTGTCCCGGACCACCGTGCCGTCTGCGTTATAGAACCACCCGCAAGTGGGGCTCGAGCTCGACGGCGAGTCGTTGCACTCGTCGAACAGGAACAGGATGTCGTCCTTGTAGGTGATCGTCTCGTAGGGCTTATTGTTCGTGCGCTGCAATCAGGAATGTTATGTTATTTCAGGAATGCACGCACACGCACACGCACACGTGTGCGTGTGCGATGGTGGGGCGAAACGCACGCCAACGTAGGTGATGGGGTAGAGGAGCCGCGGGATGGTCTTGGCCCACTGTATCTGCACGGGATGCTCCAGCGTGCGTAAGACCCCGTCTTCGTCCTGCGTCGAGTCCAGCACCAACTCCAGCTGCTCCGTATTGTTCTGAAACGTTTTAAACGCCACACCAGCCAAGTTTAAATAATCTAGAACAAATAAAAAAATAGAAGCAGAAAATAATATAGCATTAAAAGTAATATAAATATATATTAAAAACGGGTACAGACCTGGCCAGAGTCGACGGTGAGGGTGACGATCATGCGGCGGTCGCAGGAGATGGTGGGCACGTCCGTGGCGCCGTCCTGCACGCACCGTTCCACCCGGCTCGACGCCAGAAGCGAACCCTCGATACTCACGAGGAGCTGTGGAGCCCACAACACCACGACTAACCACAGCACCAGCTGGTCTGTCGGCACCGCAACCCGCGCTATTCCCATCTTTCGATTCATGGCTGGTGCCTCGCCTGGTGCACCAGGCCAGCCCCGGCCCCCAGGTGCCTGCCCGCTGTGGTGGCCATTGATGGTTTCCTTTCAATAGGGAAAAAAGGAAACCTATTTTCTTTTAAATTTGTATTAGTTTTGTGTCGACCGGGTGACGTCACCGGAGAACAGGCGAAAGCGGAGGCGCCACCACACCACCACTTTGAAGATGAGGAACCCATCGAAAATCAATGTGCTGAGCACAGTGGTGCTCTGTTTCTTTATGGTTTCAGTGTGCCACGCTCTCCCAGCTTCTTCTTCGTCAGCAAAGACGAAGGGCCTGGCCATTGACTGGGGCACCGAGTGGGTCAAGATGGTGCTCGTGGCGCCGACCGTGCAGGGCAGCCTGCGGCCGGCGGTCGAGGTCGTGGTCGACGAACAGAGCGAACGCCGCACGCCGGCCCTGGTCGCGTTCGACCCGCCGCCGGCCGCCACCGGGCGGCTCCTGGTCGGCAACGCGGCCGGGCGCGTGGCCGGCCGCCGGCCCGACGCGGTCCTGCCGGCGCTCAAGCGGCTGCTGGGCGGATCGCTCGACCCATCGGCTGCTGCCACGTCAGCACGATCCTACGCCCGCGACTTTGCTCACCACTTCACGCCCCCGCGAGCGCTCTCCACCGTACGTGTGCCGTGAGTCGTGCCGCGCCGTGTGCGATTGTGCGATGGTCTCATGTGTGCGTGTGTGTGTTGTGTGTCGTGCGATTGTGCAGGACGAGAGCCGCCGAGGTGCGGCTGTGGTGGAGGAGCCGCTGGCGGGCCGGCGCGTGCGGGTCGAGGAGGCGGTGGCTCGTCTGTTCGAGCACTGCCGCGATCTGGCCGGCGGCCCGGACGAGGTGGCCGAGGTGGTGGTGACGGTGCCGCCCTACTACACGTTCGCCCAGCGGCGTTTGCTGGCGCAGACCCTGCGCCTGGCCGGCCTCGAGCCGCTGGTCCTCGTGAACGACCTAACCGCCGGTGCCTGCCCCACATTCTGTGCTCACAGTGTGCTTTACATTCCATACAGCAGTTGTGTGTCCTCACCTAACTTGGCTTGCCGTGTGCGGTAATGCGTGTGCGTGTGCGATTTTGCGATGCAGCGGCCATCGACTACGCCTCCACCCGCCAGTTCCCCTCCAGGTACTGGGCTACGCGTCACCAATCACACATGTCATGTCTGAGCCTAACAGGCCATATGCTAATATACACAATGTTCTATATATTCGCAGGGAGCGCACGGTTTTCTTCGACGTGGGCGCGCACGCGGCTTCAGCCTCGGTGGTCGAGTTCAGGACGGTGGACGGCCAGACCCACATCAAAGGTATGGTTCACTAGCGTGCCTTCAATTCTGTGTCGTAAACGCTGTAGTGGCTGATGGATTGGCACTGTACCACAATGGTAGTGCTGGGTACGGACAGCGAGCTCGACGTGGGCGGCTTCGCGTGGGACGGGCGGCTGGCCGGCCACCTCGCCCAGGTCTTCGGCCGCGATCCCTCTTCCCTCCCACCGCGCGCCCTCTCCAAACTACTCAAGGAAGCACAACTGGTACAATTATTTTATTATATTAAGAATTCTGTCTTACAACAATTAATATTATATTCACTTTTATTTCTATTTATTATACTAAAATTAATTTGCAGGCCAAGGAGGAGCTGTCGAATGCGCCCACGGCCGAGGTGGACATCGAGAATCTGTACGAGGGCAGGGACCTGGTGACGGTGGTCACCCACGAGCAGCTGGAGGGGCTCATCGCCGACCTCCTCCCGCGCGCGGCGGCGGTCATTGGACGCGCCCTCGCGCAGGCCGGCGTCGCCCTCTCCGACGTGTCCGCCATCGAACTCTTTGGCGGCGCCGCGCGGTACCCTGAACGTACACTTCCCCTCACACACTGATTTAATCGTTGCACACTCTTACCGCACACGCACACGCACACGCACACGGTACGACACACGCGGCACGACACGACACGCACCGAACACAGTGCAACAGGTGGTGCGGGGCCAGTACCCTGGGGTGCCGCTTGGGCAACACATCAGCGGAGACGAGGCGGCCGTGTTGGGCGCCGCCACCCAACTGATCCTGACCAAGGACTGGGGCCGCCTCATCTCCCCCTCCTTCCCGCGACTGGTCGTCAACGACCTCCCGCCACCCAGCGTACCCCCCCACAATATATATAAAGACATATATAGAACATATAACCATGTTTACGACGATATTAAAAGCATGTTTGTGGGGGGGGGGGTGAGCAGGGCGCTGGCGGGGTCGAGGTGGGCGAGCTGGACGGGGAGGCGCTGGAGGAGGTGCAGCGCGGGCTCGAGGAATTTGCGACACGCGAGCGAGAGTACCAGGAGACGGCCAACTGGCGCAACACCCTCGAGGCCTCCATCCTCGAACGCAAGAGCCAGGTACGCTTCCCCCCCCCTCGCAACCCTCTTCGCGCCAATTCTCTCATCCGACACGACACGCGACACGCGACACAACGCGACACACGACACACGACACAACGCGACACACGACACGATACGACACTCGCTCGACCAACAACACAAAGCTGGAGGAGTCTGAGGACTTGCAGCCCGAAGAGGTCAGGGAAGAGATTGTCGAGCTGCTGCGATCAGCTGAGGAGTGGCTCGAAGACCTGCCCGAAAACGGTAAACCTCCCTTCTGGCACCGCTCTGGCGTGTGTGTCGTGTCGTGTCGTGTGTCGTATTTCGCTCAATCCAACCACCGCACACACAACGTGATGCAGCGCGTGCCGAGGAGGTGCGCCAGAAGTTCACAGAGCTGCAGGAGCGCCTGGCGGAACTCACCGCCCAAACCACGACCAACCAAGACCAACGGCCACGAAGAGACGAGCTCTAGAAGAGGCCTCAAAAGAAAAAATAGCACATGTCATCATACCACACAACATGGTCTACGGAATGCAAAGAATGTCCAAACACTACATGACCTGGGAGTCCTCCTTGGCATCGGCGTCGGCCGCAGGCTTGGGCGGGCGGCGGCCGCGAGTCGCAGGCGCAACCGAGCCGACCTTGGACAGACTTCGGTACTTGAAGGCCTTGGGCCGGAACTTGCCCGCCAGATCCCGCTTCGACGTCTCGTCCGGGAACCCAAACCCGTCGCCCCACGCCGCCTGACCAAGACGCGTGGTTCAGTGTGTGTCGTGTCGTGTCGTGTCGTGTGCCATGTGTCGTACCTTGCGGGCTTCTTTGTAGATTGCTCCGTCGGATTTGGCGATGATGCGCGTGGTGATCTCTCCGTCCTGGCCGCAGGTCTTCATGATGACGTGCCGGCCCCGCTTCTGCGGGCTGATCAGCAGCCGGTCAAACGCCTCGTTCTTGTCGACCAGCAGATTGCCCTGCACCAATCACGGCGGTGGAAACCCAATGATCACCAATCAGCAACACAAAGTTGCACCACACAACATTAATGCATGTTGGTTGATTTTGGTTGGTTGGTTACCTTGGTGAGAACGACGTAGGAAAACTTTTCGTCCTCCCAGTTGATGGAGGTGTTCTGCTTGGACTGGGTCTGGACGGGGATTCGTTGCATGCGCTGCGTGAAGTGACACCACGAGTCCTCCCCCATCGGGCACACCTCCGCATGTGGACACTAATGCGCCAACGTCAGCCTAACTAACTGGCGCGCGTGTGCGGTAGTGTGTGTGCGTGTGCGTGTGCGGTCGCGGCAAGAGCAACGGTACCGGAGCCAACACGTTGGGAAGGCCGTGGGACAGGTCTCCGAGTACCGTGCTTCGGGCCAACTTGATGTTGTGGAAGCCCACCGGCGTGCCGGGCTCCACGAGAATCTGCACAAGCACGACACGACACGACACGACCAACGACACGGAACGGCGTGAGAAAGGCATGACGCGGGCAGGCGGCGTCTGAGAGCGCTATGGTACCATGATGCCGCCGCGTCGGGTATGCTTCCAGAGGGCATTGATTTTGGCCAGGCGCTCCTCTTCGCTGGGCAGCTCGCTGAGCACGTACGACGCGATCACCACGTCGTACCTCTCGTTGGGGTCGGTGGGCAGCAGCCGCTTCCACTTGACCGGTTTACCTGTCGACACCACACACACACACGACACGACACGCACACGTTTGATGAGGAAGACAGAGAAAGAGCGGAAGAAGAGGTGGTGGTACCTTTACACAGTTCGTTGGCGACGTCGATCATGGCCTCCGAGGGCTCGACGGCGAGGATGTTGTCCAGCTCGGGCCACACCTCGGTCGCCGACCACACGGCCGTCCCCGGACCCGACCCAAAGTCCATCAGCGACTTCGGCGTCCACTCCGGTCGCCGCAGCTTGATCTGCGCCAACACACACCACTCTGTTAACCACCACACGACACACACGACACACACACGACACACACGACACACACGACAAACCTCGTTCATGACGCGAAAGGTGCAGGCGTAGACGCCTGGGAGACGGTGGGCGGCGTAGGCCATGGCCTCCTCGCGCCGGTAGACGACCGGGTCGGGCATCACCGACTTGGGCTGGCCCGGCACCAGGCGCGTCCGCTCCCGCAGCCGCTCCGACAGCAGACCCGCCGTACGTCGCAGTCCCGTTCTTCCCACCTCTGCCCACACACATAACACACTCGGTGAGTGCCGTGTGTGCGATGTCGTGCGCGTGCGGTGTGTGCCGTGGTGCGATGTCGTGTGTGCGGTGTGTGCGATTGTGTACTCTTGAGTGTGGCGCCGATGCGCTTCTTGAGGGCGTCGGGCAGAACGACCATGCCCAGCTTCATGGGCTTGAGGTGGTCGTGCTGGGTGCGCATGCGCCGCGAGTCCAGCCAGTCGTGGGCCTCCGCAGAGCCCTCGATGGCGTCGCCCAGCGCTCCGGTGTGCTCGTCATCGGCGCCGCTGCCCTCTCTTCGTTCGCCTTCCTCCTCGCTACGGCCGGCAGCAGGCTCTACAAAATCATCATCTTCATCTTCTCTATCTGTGCTTCCATCGAGCTCGTCTTCTGCCAGCTCTTCCATCTCATCTTCTTCTATGCCGTAGTCTGCTTCCACGTCGCTCCCGTCGTAATCATCAGTCCCCTCATCAGCAGAATCGTAATCTTCCTCGAAATCGGATTCAGCATACTCTGCATCGTCATCATCTTCGAGGGCAGAGGACGCTGTGGGTCCCCCGGCGCTCGCTCCGGTTGCCAGCCACGCCTGATGCGCTGGCACTGGCCCCCATCCGCCACCATGGCTGAGATGAAACGCCGTGATTGGAATGTGGCTTGCATTTGGCCGATGACTTCGCCCACCTCCCACGCCTCCCCCTGCGCGCCACAAGACGTGACTATGATGCTTGGCCACAGCCAACCCTCGTTGCATCTCGCTTGATTGTTGGATTTTATTTTATTATTATTTTATCATTACTTGTTTATTCTCTCTTTTCTTTGCTTTTTTGTTCTCATCTTTTGCCGCTGCCACAATCGCGATCGGCCTACTTAAGATCCATCTCCTTCTTGGTCCGGCACCACCCCTTTCTCTTTTCACGACGGCAATTGTGTTCATCTTCTTTATCCACCCCCGACCAAATTATTTAATTTAATCCTGACTTGTACGATCCAGATTTTGTAGAGAAAGAGAGATGAAGAGAGTACGAGAGAACGCCAACCCCACGCAAGGCGGCCAAGGACAACAAGGAGGGGAGGAGCCCACCGGCGAGCCACAGAAGAAGCTCAAGCGAGCGGAGATGTTCGGCGGCGCGCGTGTGGTCGGGTGGGGCACATGGGATGAGTGGCGCACCGTGCGGGCGTGGCTAGGCTCCTCCGTCCCCGAAGAGCAGCAACGCGGCTTCCGCCGCATTCGCGCCTGGCGCGCCCGCGCACCGCTTCCGCTGGCCATCGAAGCCACCGCAGCCCTCCTCGAGACACACGCCATGGACACGTACGTTGTGTGCCGTGGTGCGCGTGCGGTGGTGCGCGTGCGTGTGCGTGTCACCAGTGCATTTATTCGCATCACCACCAGGTTTCCGCCCACGCGGACGACGAACGAGCTGCGGCTGCTGTACTCGATGGCCATCGTGCGCATGGTGAACGGTCTTGTCGAGGTGGAACAGAAAGGTGAGCCTCGTGCGCAATGTGTTGTTGAGGCTCGTGTGTGTGCCGAGTGCGCTGTGTGCGCCGTGTGATGAACTCACGCCGTTTGCCTCCCAATTGGATCAATCGGCAACCATCAGGCACCTTCGCCCGATCTGTGTGGGGTATTGCCGAGCGCCTTGGCCTTCCGCGCGTGCTGGTCGATCTGCGCCACACGGCCACGCACAGCGTGCTTCCGTCACTGCCGTCTCTCCGCATTGCTGCCGCGCAGGTACCTGCGTGAGCGCGTGTGCGTGTGCGTGTGCGTGTGCGTGTGCGCTAGACTGACAGCTGTGACTTGTGTTACACCTGCTCTGCGTTGCGCAGGCATTGGAGTGGCTGGATGGTAACTACTGGCAGGAGCAGGAGGATTCGCTCACTGAAATGACCGACCGCATGAGGAGCCACCTCACGCGCTACGTCGAACTGAAGGGCAACAGAACGGTCGAAGTCCCGCACGCTCCCGGAAGCCAGGCCAGTACGCTTCATTATTATTCTTATTATTCTTATTATTATTTATTTTTATTTACTGCCTAAAGCAATGACCAATCGCACCGACACACAGTCCATTGCGTGACGGATATGCTCGAGAGCACCAACTCGAACAAGGCTCGCGAGCTGCTGGTGCCCATGCTCGTGAGCGAGTTTCTGGCGCCTCGGCCCATGATCACGTACGTCCGCCCGTGATTGGGGAGAGAGACGGAGGGAGAACTGGCCACAGTCTCGTCAACTGACTCTGTTCTCGCCGTGGCTCTGATCTGACGCGCAGGGAGATCATGAGCCTGCACAAGAGGCAGCGCTCTTCAAAGCTAAGTGCAGAGTTCACGCGGCTGAGCAACCGCTGGAATCTGTAAGGCCAACTCCTCCCCCCCCACTCTACCGCTTTTCGTTTTTTGCATCTTCGCTTTCTTCGCGCGACTGATGATGACAATAAGACTGACGACCTCCGCACCGGTTGGTGGCTGCCGACGCTGAACAGGTTGCTGGAGGGCTGTGTACAGAAGTGGGGCCACTTCCTCGGGACTCTTCTGGCCACCATCACGAACAGGATTGTGCAGCTCTCCGAATCCCCCGAACTTACGGTAATGTGCACACGCCACTAGCGTGCAGTCACACACACACACACACACACACACACACGGCACACACACACACACACACACAAGGCCTCGCGTATCTATGTGTAACATATCTCACAAGCGTTCATTTTGCGTGGAGTAGCGCAAGGCGGAAACGGAGATCTGGCTGTGGCTGAAGTGGGTCGAGCATCTGCTCTACGCGAGCTCCTTCCAAAACCTGGTCTACGAATATGAGATCGAAGTGCCGGTGGTGGCGCTCATGCAGGCCGCCGCGCGACACGTCTCCCAGTGGTGCGTTTTTTTCACCGCTACACGCGACACACGACACACACGACACGGGCCAAATGGCTAACGAGCTGAATTGCGTCCAGGACGAACAAGCTCAACGGCCTCTTTCTCTCGTGGGTGGCCGATCCAAAAATGAGAGAAAAGATGACCCAACTTATGGATCTCACCCGCCCTCGGGGCAGTACCGCCGAGCAACCGGGTACGGCACGCACCTACTTTGTGTTTATTACTGATGACATTAGTATTTATTTGTTTGTTTGTGTACATTGTATACACAATCAAAAATATGTTGGTGCGATGGCCTGTGGCTGACGAGGTACCAACAGGTGCCCTGAGCCTGGAGGTGTTCGAGAGCCTTCTCGAGCTCATCAAGCAGCGCGGCGTCACGGCTATCACGCCGGTGCAGCCTGCTGGCACTACGGCCCACGGACCCTGGGCCAGGTACGAAAACAACATTACACAAAACCGATTGAAACCTTACCTAACGTCGCATACATGACCGTTCGGCATTGCACCACCAGGTGTGAAGGGTGGACGCCCTGTTCCGTGGGGCTGAGCGTAACCAACGAGTTCCCCGATCTGCAGCTTCCACCGGCGCTGGACGTGAACGGAGGTGCGGCCCTACACAAGCTTGCCACACATTACGCTCGAAAAACGAAAAGCCCAAGCAGCACACGTTCGCTTACGTTACGTTGTGGCGCCACTGACGACTCCATAAATCCCACACCCGCAGCCATAACGCTCGTGCCCGCCGAGAGGCCCGTGATGCCGCTTGTGGTGCTGCCCTACTCCGCGGCTGCCGCAGCGCAGAGGTACACTTGCCAAAGCCACTCTGGCCTTCGTGTTTATTTGTTTTGTGTATTTCGCACGCTGTGATCACATCACCATCTCACCCGCTTTTCTTTTGTCTTCTCTCAAAGGCGCATGACTGCCAACAGAGAGGAGGATGACGACGAGTTCAAGGAGGCAGCCACGTCTACCACCACCACGGAATGGGGTGGCTACGCGCAGGAGCACGAACCACAGGAAGAGGCAGAGGTGCAGGCAGACCCACAAGTGCGTTCAGGCCCTGTCACGGCAGCTGCCCTTCTCTTCTCGCCCAAGGAGCTGACCAGCTTGTGATGGGCCGAGAGAGACACAAAATCGTAAAAATTCCAAATGCGCTAAATTTTAGCGCAATTTCGCTGAGCTGCCTTGCAGCATTCCCCCCTGCTCACAATTCGCGCAGGAAAGCTGCAGGGCGACCACAATCTCGTCGTAGAGCTCAGGTTGTGAGGTGTCGGAAGAAGCGACAGGAAGGAGGCTCGTGACTCGAGCCTGCGCATCTCTGGCTGACTGTCTATCCGGTTTGCGATTTGCGAGGAAGAGGAAGAGTTGTTTTGCACACCTGGGCAGGGAAATCGTTACTGTGCATCCTTAGGCTCTCAACTGGGCGCCCACCAGTTCCACCAGATTACGCGAGTAGAGGTACACTTCTTAAATTATTTGGCCTTCATTCATTCATTCCTGTGGTCTCGGGTTCTCTGTGGATGATGAGCTCTGAATGATTATTGTCTAATTTTTCGTTTTTGTTTTGTTCAACAGCGCAAATCAATTTAGCCATTTCGCCAGCGACCCGGTGGTGAGCGCACAGAAGTGACGTGACATCCCACCAAAATGGAAGGAAGTCATCCACAAGGAAGCGCGGCCCCTTCATTATCAGCCACGCCCAACTCGAAGAAGCGACCCTTCCCCAGTAGCTCCTCTACATCGCCCCTCATGCACGGCGCAAGCAACAGCCATCCCCCACAATTCATGGCTGGACCTTCTCCAGGCGCACCCTACGCCACAGCACCCACGCCCTCCCTATCCTCTCATCTCCTCTCCCCCTCGATGCTCCACCCGCCCCCTACCGCCCCCTCTTCATCTTCGGCCTACAATTTCTCATCGTCTTCGACTTCTCTCTACGCCATCGATGGCATCGGCGGCACCCCGCAGCAGCAACAGCCGCCATCTCAGCAGCATTCCCACAATCACATCCCTGGGGGCGTACAACACAATCACGCGCCGTATCAACACAACATTGGCGGAGGCCTGCTGGCGCCGCACGACGGCGGTGGCGGCGGCGTAGGCAACAAGCGGCTACGTTCGGGCGGCGCGGCGGGCGCGTCGCCCTACGGGTCGCCGCCCTCTTCGCCAGCGGGAGGCGGCCTGGGCGGCGTCGGTGGTGGCGGCCACATGGGCGGCCTCCACTCGCACCAGCACCACGCCGAGACCACGCGGGAGAGCATGGCCAAGCTCACCAAGCAGACCGCCGACCACCTCACCTCCCTTGTCGCCGTACGGACCCTCGCTCCCTTGGCCTTGGCCTCTGCACTTTTGCTTTAGGCTCACGCCCGGGTTCACACGGTGACAGTTGATGGAGTCGACCGACCCTGAGGGCCTGGCGGCGAGCCAGCTGGTGTTGGCGCTCGACATCGTGCTGCGCTTCAACAACAAGATCGGTGGCGCGCACGGGGTGAAGACCGGTGGCGGTATGGTGGGCGCCACGCACTCGGCGCATGGCCTGATGCCCCACTCGGGCGCGTCGCGTCCCCTCACCGGGCTGGCCTCCAGCGCCCCGCAGTCCTACGGCATGCCGCAGCCCCAGGCCTTGTCTCAACAGGTTCTCCCCACTTTCCATTCGATTTTTATATTTTATTATATTCTGTTAATATCATAACAAGTTACAGTATTAATATTTACTGCCTCATTTGTTTCCTTTATACACTCATTTGTTGCATAGCAACATAGCACGTGCCTTATTCTTGACTTAACTTGGCAACATATTTTGCTACTACGAATTTATAGCAGATGTATGGGCTGCCGGCGTCGCAGACGGCACCCGCGCAGATGTACGGGTCGCCACAGCCGCTCTACTCGTCGGCGCCCGCGGGCATGGGACAGCACCAGCCCCACCAGCAGACACGGCCCTCTCCCAACTACCCTCAGTTCCGTGCACCCACCGGCGCTGCGTACGTAGTCTTACTCCAGGCTCGGCCTTTTTTTAATATTATTATTATTATTATTTTGCAAGCCTCGTCACTCGCTTTGTTGTCCATTTTCTCCATCTCCGTGTATTTATATTCCCCTTTCTTTTTATATTATTTTTTTCCGTGTTTGATTAATCACAGGACGATGATGAATGGCGCCATGACCAGCACATCGACGGTGGCGCAGACCAATCAGATGCCGCCTTCGACGCTCTCGCTGGACTACTTCATGCTGCTCCAAACCCTGGGTACGCAACTTAGTCTCCACACACACACGCGCACGCGCACACGACACCTGTTTGAGGCCTAAGAGAGTGTTGCGTCTACTCGCGCGCAGGCACGGGCACGTTCGGCCAGGTGCGTCTGTGCCAGCAGAAGGCGACGGGCAAGTACTTCTGCCTCAAGATCCTCAGCAAGGAGAAGATCGTGCGCCTCAAGCAGACCGAGCACGTCAAGAGCGAGAAGTCGGTCCTCGCCCAGATCTCGCACCCGTTCATCGTCAAGCTCTACGCCACGTTCCAGGACCAGGCCAACCTGTACTTCCTGCTGGAGTACATCTCCGGCGGCGAGCTGTTCTCGTGCATCCGCCGGAACGGGCGACTGTCGAACAGCACCGCCCGGTTCTACGCCGCGGAGATCGTGCTCGCCATCCGCTACCTCCACAGCCTGCACATCGCCCATCGCGACCTCAAACCCGAGAACCTGCTCCTCGACAGCGACGGACACATCAAGCTCTCCGATTTTGGCTTCGCCAAAGTCATCACCGACAAGTGCGCGCTCCTCTGTTGCTGCTGTGTGCCGTGTTTGTCGTTGTGTGTGTGTGGTGTGTCGTGTGTGTTTGTGTGTGGTGTTTTGCCTGGGGCTGACGCGGACTCCTTTCGCCAGGACATGGACGATGTGCGGTACGCCCGAGTACATCGCACCGGAGGTGATCCTCAGCAAAGGTCACGACAAGGCCGTGGACTGGTGGTCCCTCGGTGTCCTCATCTACGAAATGCTGTCTGGGTACTACCCCCCCCAAAACCAGGTTCATCATCTTCATCGCCTCACAGTTCTCTTGCTTACAACGCACGACACGACCCACATGACACGCGCAGCAAGCCGCCATTCCACGGAGAGCACACGTTCGAGATTTTCGAGAAGATTTTGTCGGCCAAGGTGGACATGCCGGCCTACTTCCACCCGGAGGCGAAGGACCTCATCGAGAAGCTGCTCGTGGTCGACGTGGCCAAGCGGCTCGGCGGCACGCGCGGCGGCGGCGCCGAGGAGGTGATGTCGCACCCGTGGTTTGCCGGCATCGACTGGGACGCCCTCCACAAGAGGCAGCTCCGTGCGCCCATCAACCCAGGCATCACTGGCGAAGGTACACTCACTCACGCACCGCACACACACGCACGACCGCACGCGCACGCTGTGGAACTCACATGATCTCGTGTGGCGGTGGGCAGGTGATTCGCATAACTTCCCGCGTTATTCGGACCAGACCGTGGAGCACAAGGAGTTCAAGGAGAACGAGCTCTTCAAGGACTTCTGAAGACGAGACAGAGAGCGAACAACGAACGCCAACCAACAACGAACAAAGCCGCCTTTGCGCGTACCCCACCCGAGAGCGATGTACAAAACTACACCCAAAGCCCCCAGCCCAGCACAATCACCGTCTTCCCCTCTTGCGCACCGCACGATTTGCGATTTTCCCCCACGACGCCACCATCTTCATCACCATCGCCATTGACTCAAACTCTGTACCAACCAACGTTCATAAAACAAACACGTTACAGTCACAACAAACACGGGACACAACGCGATATGGGCGACAAAAATGTTTTTCATTCTTCTTTGTATTTTACTCTACATTGTACAAAGCCGTATGGCCTCGTTGTGTGTGCTGCACGTTGGAACGCCTCAGTAGTGCGGGTAGGTGGTGGTGACGGTCGTGGTCTGCGCGTAGCCCATGGGCGCCGGGGCGCCGTAGCCCGCGGCGGGCGGGTAGTAGGGTGCGGCCGCGGCGGGCTGCATGGCGGGGTAGCCAGGGTGGGCGAGGCCCTGGGGGGCGGGCGGGTAGTACGCCCCCGTAGCGGGGGGCTGCTGCGAGTAGCAGGCGGCAGCGGCGGCCTGGTGCTGGTACTTGAGGGCCTTCTTGTGGGCCTTGTGAGCGTCCTTGTGGGCCTTCTTCTCGGTCTTGTGCATCTCCTTGTCGAGCTTCTTGTGGACCTTGTGGGCGTCCTTGCCCTTGGCGTGGGCCACGATCACGTGCTGCGGGGCGGCCGCCGCGTAGGAGGTCGGGCACGGGGGGTAGGGGGCCGAGTAGCCGGGGGCCGGGGGGTAGGGCGAGGCGGCGGGCATCATAGAAGATGGATGGTGATGATGATGGGCAGGCGGGTAGGCCGCCATCACGGGGGCGGGGGCGTGGCACTGCGGCGGATAGCCGGAGGAAGGGGGGTAGGGGTGCGCCCGTTGGGAAGCCATGTGTGCAGGGTACATCTTTTAGGATTTGTGTGGTAGGTGGAGAGGTAGGTAGTTGGGGGGTGGGTTGTACTGAACGAGTACTGTGTTTGGAAAGGAACTGGGCAGAGAGTGCCGAACGGACGAGAACAAACTGGTCGCTGTGTTTGAAAAACAAAAGTCCGTGGGGTCACGAAGGGACGAGAATGACTTTCAGTGCAAAATGAAATTTTCGAATTAGTTTGGATTTTCTGAAAGCTTCACACGGAGAAACGAGGAAGGAAAAATGGAAGAAAAGAAGGAAAAATGGAAGATGAAGAGGAGTGGCGGTGGCTGACGCTGGCGCCTCCGTGTGGGTGCGGCAGCCGCCGTAGACAGCGGGCCAGTTCGAAGCGTCAGCTAGAGGATCGTCGCTTCCTTCTGCCCTGCCATCGCTGCCATGAATGGTTGCACATCTCGAGCGTGTTCGTGCTACAAGCACACTCACATTTTTTGTTTTATTTTTATTTACTGTGTGTGATGTGTGCTGCCCACCCCAGGTGGCATGGGACATGCGTCGGGGTGACCAGGGAGCACTTGCCCCGGTCCTATCTCTGCCACGCTGCGGCCATGGCCCTGGGCGGCGATGCCGATGCCAGCGAAAAGTACGACCATGGCTGCTTGTTCGTGTGTGCCCTGTGCAGCCCGACTCTCGCTTCCGAGCTCCACTACCGATGCACAGGTGAGGGCTGTCACTACTTCTTCCTCATCAATAACTTGGAATGCAATGGAATGTTGGCTGTTCTTTGCATTCCTCACCTGCACCACCTGCTTTCAACAAGACGGGCTGCGGGTGAAGGTGCTGGCGTGGGGCCGTCGGCCCTTTGCCGAGGACCGGCTCGCCGCCGAAGGTCGATTCACCGAACTGTTCCTCCCCGCGCTCCGCTGCTGCGACCGACCCGTCTGCCCTCCGGCCGGTACGTCACCTTTATCGTCATCATCATTGGTTGGTTGGTTGGTTGCATCTGATCTAAGCTCAATTCGTATTTTGTCGACACGGCCCTGTGTGTGAAGATGAGTGGAGTTGCCTGCTGCGGTGTGGCCGATGCCACGAATGGGAACACTGCAGCTGCGCGCTCGAACGACAAACTGCACAGCGCGCGCGAAGGCCGGGGAATGCGAGCGATCGCGATGGTGATGTCAGGTGGCTGCGCCGTTACCTGTCTCATCACATCGCGAGCTCCGCAAAGAGCACCGCCGCCACCACCACCACCACATCATCGTCGACTTCACCGTCAAGCCCGTCCGCGGCGCTCATGGGAGGCCACCACCCGCTGGCCTACTTCCACGCGCAGCAGCGGCGCCACGGCCGACCAACGGCCAACGACCTGACGTTCCTCTGCTCTGCCTGTGCCGGCCGAGGTACACCGCGCTTCGTCCAGTCGTGGTTTGGTCATCGAATCTAACCTGCGTGGTGTCGTGTGTAGATGGCCTGGCGTTCAGTGAAGCGAGGGAGTGCGTGGCAAGGCGACGCAAGCGGGTCGTGAAGACCAGGATCGAGCGGCCGCCGAGTCCCATCACCAACCCGGAAATCTACGAACAGCTGCGGACCGGCGACTTTTCGCTGCTCGACGCCATGAACAGACCTCCGGCTCCGGTTCCGGCCGTCGCCCTGCCGCGGCTCATCCGCGACCGAGAGCTGCTGGCGGGTGCCGACACCAGCGCCGCACTGCGTGGCCAAGCCGCGGCGGCGCTCCTGCACCGACCGCTGCAGGTCGCCCATCGCGTCCCAATCCATCAACTCACCGGCGAGCTGCCCTGGATTCTTCACCAACTACAGAGGTCCGTACCTGCGTCGTGTGCGGTCGTGGCGTGTGCGATCGTGTGCGGTGGTGCGTGTGACGCTAACGAGCTACGCTGCAGTCGGCCGATGCTGCTGGTCGGTACCTCGGGCGGCAGCGTGCTGAGCTACACCGCTGACCACTCGCAGCTGCGGCTCTGCGTCGACACCGAGCACCCGGACATCGCCTGCCTCGCCGCCACGTCAGCATCGGAGGACCTCCTCCTGTCGTGCGCCTGGGGCAGCGGCGACCTCCTCGCCCACGACCTCCACACCGGCCGACCGGTCGCACGAGGGGTCGGCCACACCCGGTTCTGCCGATCGCTAGTCGGCGACCCGGCCCAGGCGGCCCTGGTGCTCAGCGCCTCGTACGACGCGACCGTGCGCCTGTGGGACCTCAGGGCGGCTGCTGCAGGGCGCGTCGACGACGGCCCGTTCGGCGGAACAGGCGCGGGGCCGGGGCCGATGGCGGAGGTGGTGGCTCTGCGCGGCCACAAGGGGAGCGCGACGGCTGCCCACTTCCTCCCCGGCGACTCGCACTACGTACTGAGTACGTGCAATCGCACGACCGCACGACCGCACACAATGTGGAACTGATAATGGTGCGTGTCATGTGTGTGTCATGTGTGTGTCGTGTGCGTGTTGTGTGTCATACGTGTGAGTGTGCAGGTTCGTCGGCGGACCACAGCCTTCGGTTGTGGGACGTGCGGAAGCCGGGCGCGTGGGTGCTCAAGGTGGACACGGGCCACTGGCTGTGCTCCCTCGCCCTTTCCCCGAACGGCCACTATTTGGCCGCCAACGCGCTTCCCGGAAAGGTTCACACCATACACACGCGCACGTCGCATCGCACACGACGCACCTCCACCGCACGCACGACCACACACTCAGCTCTGTGTGTCTGGGCAGGTGTTGGTGTTCGAGACTTGGCGGCTTTTGTCTCCTCGGGGCGATGGCGTCGACGCGCCCAAACACGTGCTCTACGGCCACACCAACATCCGCTGGGCAACTCAGCGGCCCTGCTTCTCGCCCGACAGCCGGACCATCGCCATCGGTTTGCCCTCGCCCCAATTTTTCTTCTCCCTCCCCGCTCACACGGCACCACGACACGCACACGCACACGCTACAGCGTCAGAGGATGGGAGGGTGGTGACGTGGAGTACGGCGTCGGGGGAGCTCCTCGAGCGCCAGGCCGACTCCCATCCGTCTGGCGCCTGGGCGTGGGACGTGGCCTTCGACCGCCACCGGCCCGAGGCCGACGACATCCTCTTCTCCTGTAGCGACGACGGCTTCCTCGCCTGTCTCCACCGGCACTGCGGTCATCCAGCAGCAGCTTCTTGACCGCGGTTCAAGGGGGTGATGGACCACGGGGGATTGCGTAGTTCTTTAAAATCGCCCAATCGGACCTAAAAAGCATATTACCTATTTAAGCAAATGTCGACTATAAGGCCTCGAAAGACATTAATGTCGTTCGGCCACAGAGGCAACTGCGTGGACCACTAAAAACGAAAACCGCATGCAGGATTGCACGGCCATGGGCCACCGCGCTTGAGCCAGCCCCGAGATACAGTTTTTTTCTTATCCATATATGTATTTTGAATTTATTTATTTTTGGTGGCATAAACACTCCTTAGTTGAGCGCGCCCGAGTTCTTCTTGCGCTTGCCCGTGCGGTGGCGGCTCTCGTTGGGGTTCTTGCGGAGCTTGCCCACCACGTACTTGGCCTGGCTCTGGGCGCGCGGCTGCAGATAGCTCTGGTCCTCGTCGAAGATGTCGTCGCCGTCCTTGTTCTTCTTCTTCCGCCGGCGCGTCTGCTCGAGCAGCTCGTCCTCGCGCAGAATGAGCTTCTGCTCTTGCCGGCCGCCCTTGGGCAGCGGCAGCGAAAACTTGGTGCCGCGGGCCGACACCGGGCGCGACACGCGATTGGCCAGCAGGACCGGCTGGCCGGTGCGCTCGTCCAGCATGTAGGGCACCTTGCGCAGCGTCTGGTGGCCGCAGTTCGGGCAGAACACCTTCTCCATCTCCTTCGTCGTCCTATATTGTGTTTAATATTATATGATGTATCAATACATATATATACACATATAAACATAGTATAATAAAGTGAGTTAAACTGACATATGGCACACGCACGCAGGTGGAGAGAGAACGCACTTGAAGCACGCATGGCATTGGAGGAGATAAGTTCGGAGTCTCTTGATCACCATACCATCGGTCGACAGCAAATGCAGGCCCATCTAGAGAGACCAGCGAGGGAAGAAGACCATCGTTACATTGGGAGGGGGAGGGAAGTAACTAGGAGGGGTGGTGATGGGAGTGAGAGCAGAAGCGCTGGGTGTACCTGGATGATGACGTTCTGCATGGCGTAGTCGGTGGTGATGCAGGCCACGCCCACCTTGGCGCGCTGCGCCAGGTCGTCGAGGCTCGCCACCTTGGACGCCGAGCGCTTCATCTGCCCAATGTTGTCCGGCGTGATCCAGCCAGCGTTGTCATCGTCGACCGCCTTTGGTACCACATGCACGGCACGGCATGGCACGATACGCACACACACACGCACACGCACGACACACAGTCAGCTGTGCGTCTCACGAAATTCAGCTGAACGTCTGAGCGCGTGCGCGGTACCGGTGGTGCCGGAGTGGTACTGTTGCGTCGCGACGACGGGTGGCTGCCCGGCTGCTGGGTGGCGCCGTGGGCAGGCCCGTTGTTGTTGTTCTTCTTCTTCCTCGGCTTCCGCTGTGTCTTCTCCGCCTGTCCCTCTGTGTTCTGCTGCGGTGGCGTCGACGCGTCGACCGCTGTGGTGGTGGTGACACTGTCGGCAGTGGGAGCTCCGGTGGTAGCAGCCGCAGCTGTCTCGCTCGCGGGCGCCGCCTGCTCAGTGTCCGTCGTATCAGTCTCAGACGCGCTTGTGTTCACCTCCTCTCCGCTTTCGCTCTTTGCCTCCTCCTCCGCCTTCACCTCAACCTTGTCGTTTTCGTTCTTCGCCTCCTCGACCTGCGTGGGCGCGCCTGCCTCGCCTTCCTTAGTTTCGGGCGCGACCTCCGCCGCCGGGACAAGGGTCTCAGCCGCCGTCTCCTTGGCCTCCGGCTCGCCGGTAGCACCAGCGTGCGGGTGCGGGTGTGCGCCACCGCGACCGCCGCCACGACCTCCCCGGCCACCGCGGCCTCCGCGACCACCGCCGGAATGCGGCGCGGCGGTTTGCACCACGTTGCCGCCCCACTGCGCGTTGGAGCTCTGCTGCTTCTCGGCCTGCGTCTTCTTGTTGCGCGCCTGGCGGTCCAAGCCACCAACACATCAAACGAAACAAGAGTGAGCTTTGAGGCCGAGGCGACGTGCGGGAGACGAGGTAGGACGGACGTACGACGAGTGTGGGCGGGAGAGGCGCGGCGCGCAGGTGGTCGGCGCCGTTGTGTTCGCGTTCGAAGGTGCGCGTGAGGGCGATGACCTTCATATCGACTGCAGACAAGCTGGCGTAGTCACCTGTCTTCTTGGCAAACTCGACCACTACACGCAGAATCAAATTGGCCAAAAAAATTGAGAAAAATCGCGATTCGTGTAGAAGAATAAGTCGAGAGGGAGTTGATATGTACCAGCCTTCATGTCCCTGGGGTCGGGCTCAGTGGTCTTGATCTCGTAGGGGAAGGTCTGCAGGTAGCCGCGAGCCCTCTGGTCCCGAATCTCCTCAATCACCTCGGCGATGGTCCAGAATTCGGTACCCAGGCGCTCTACGCGCACGCCCTTGATGATGGCACCCGAATCCAGCACCAGGATGGTGCGCTTGGGCTGCTGGTGCTGCAGATGCTGCTCCACAAGCGAAGGTCGGCTGGGCAACTTCTGCGACTTACCGCTGCTGCTCTTCACATCTCCATCTTCCAATTTAATCTCGGATGGAGAGAGAGGCTGCGCAGATGGCTGCTGCGCTCCGGTTACGACCGTGCTGACTGGCCTGGGTCCAGGCGCGACCGGCTTGCGCGGTGGGGCGGGCTGGCTCAAGACCGCCGACCAGTTCCGGAGAGGGGCGGGGGCGGGCTTATCCATGGTTTGTGTCGCTGCTGGCGTCGATGCTGGTGCAGCGTCCGCCATGTTGTTTCCGAAGTGAAGAAGATGACAATTTGTGAGATCAGAGATGGAATCGCAACCGGCAGCACGAAAAAAGCAGGAAATCATTTAAAATAGCGAAATAGAGGAGAGAAATTCAAATTAAAAAGGTACCGAACGTTTGTCACAACCTTCACGTCAGCGGATAGTTGTGTCTTGTCTCGTGTGTCGTGTGTCGTGTGTCGTGTGCATGCGTGTCAACCGCACATGCACACGACCGCACACACGCGCGAGAGGAGTGATGTGGTCACTTCACATACCGGTCCAGCAGGGAGTGCCACAGCGGGTCATGGTGGCGTTGTCCTCCTTGATGCGCGCGAACCCAAAGTCGGCCACCTTCACGTTCCACTCGTCGTCCACCAGCAGGTTGGACGGCTTCACGTCCCGGTGCACGATGCCCGCCGGCTGGCGCGTGTGCAGATAGGCCAGCCCGACGGCGGCCGAGCGCAGAAGCCCGAGGCGGCGGTGTCAGGGGAGGCGGATGGAGGAGTCGGCGATGATCTCCTTGAGCGCGCCGCGCTTGACGAACAGCGAGTGCAGGTAATTGATGCCCAGCGCCGCGCTGTGCAGCAGCTTGAGCTTCTGCGCCCAGGCCAGCTTGACGCTGTTGTTGGCCAGGATGTCGCGCAGGCTGCCGTTCTTGACGAACTCGGTCACGATGCACAGGTTGAGTCGCTTCACGCACGCCCCTGTGTGCGGGTCGTGTCGTGTCGTGTGTGCGTGCGTTTATGTCAGCGCGTGTGTGAGTCGTGGAACGTGTCGCGTGTCACGAGCGGCGCCTGCTCGAGTTCCGCGCCGAGATGGCCTTCCTCTCCGAGCTCCACCACCCCAACATCGCCCTCTTCATCGTTACCCCCAGGCTGCACCTCAACACCCAATCATCACGCCCCTCCATTTCGCATTTACGTCCTGGCACCATCGCAGAACCAGCCCTCCCACTTATCCTTCTCTATGACGAAGCACACCGTCTCCATGTAGTCGACGTCGCCGAACTCGGAGAGGGCTGCCTGCCTGGCCCAGCCTCGGCAACAATCCCCGCCCGCGAGGACGATGTGCTCGAGCAGATCGGGATGTTGCCCTCGCAGCGCTTTGGCTGCTCTCGCCTGCCCTCTCGGCGTGGGTTGCGTCAGACTTTTTGAAGAAATGCCTTCCTGATGCCCAGCGAGTGTGCAGTGACCAGCTAAAGGCGATCAGCTGGATCTGCTGGCTTCGCCCTGAGGTCCAAACCCTGGTGAACCTCATAAAATAGGGCAGGGGTTGTTGATGTGATAGTCCTCTGCAGGCAACAACTCGGGGAGGTGCTCAAGTTGAAGCACTGGCGTTGTGTGACCACCCTGCACATGTCCTACTTCAAAGGTCCACAATGAAGAGAACGCAGCTGGTGCTCAACGTGGAGCAATGCCAGCGCAGCAGCACTGCAGCCCCTACATCCACACCAGCTGACTCTTGCTCCTATTGGACAAGGTCTTGCTCTCTGGTGGGCAACAGCGCAGCACCTCTCTGGCCATGACCACTTGGGGTGCAACTGTTCTCTTGCACAGCCTATTGGCAGAAATATATCTACAAAAAGAGTGTGCACAGCTCTTGCGCCCAAAACCCATACCAGAATACACATGGGTGCATGCAAAAGGTGTGTGCACAATGTAGTTGATGGGGCCAAATGCACACAAGGTGCATGCAGAAAGAGTGTGCAGGCTGCAACCCACCATCTTGGGTCCATTGGTTGGTGGTAGGAGTTGTTGAAGGGATGGGTCACTGTTGGCCTTGTAGTAGATGTTGAGTTGGCCATTGTCCATTGTGGCCCATAGAGTCAGTTTGCTTGATCAGTTCTGTGCTCAGCCTCTGTTGGTCATCCTGGCCATCTGGCCAACTGGCTGAAGCTTGCTACATCTTGGGACCAAGAGTTGCACAGTGTCACTCTCCACCAGGAGTGTGGCAGTGCACCCCTTGAAGGCTGCCTTGGTGGCCTCACAGCCCTCATCTGTGAGTTGCACTTTGGCCAGCTGGGCTTGGTTGGAAGGATGGGTGATGAAGGTGTGATCCTTGAGTCTTGATGACTTTAACATAGACATGGCCATCCACAGCTTAGGAAACCTGCCTTACCATGGTGAGGCCATGCACCAGATGCTTGAGCTTGATGACCCAATCAAGACAAAGTCATCAAGATGCAGTTGGAGAAGGATAATAGTGATGTATGGTGCAGTGTGTACTCTGGGCTCTTGTCCTCTAGTTGTCTGGTCTGGCCCTTATGGCACCCCAGCATCAGCCATCTTTGCCTGCATTGTGTCAAAGATGTCCTGCTTGTGTTCCCACCATTTATTACCAGGTTATTTCCTGGTCCTAAGCAGACAGGTGGGATTGATTCCTGTCCCATCCAGCCTTTGTGAAAAGCCTCACAATTCTTTAAACAATTTGCTGTTGTTGGGTGGGCATGAACAATCACCAGATGTCAATAGATGACCTTTCTGGCAGTCCCCCAGGTACATAGCCCACCAACTTTGGCACAGCACTGAGGCTCTTTTTAATCCAGCTTGATTTTCAATTTCACAATCAGATGTCCTCATGCCCTGCAGTGTACAACACAAGGGTGCATGGGGACCCACAATCTTGCACAGTTGGACAAGATGGGCCTCAACACCAACCTGTCCTTCAATTGCAACACTCTACTTGATGAGGACAAATGGTTCTGCAATGATTGCTCAATGTTAGTCTTGTGAAAGGGCAAAGCAGAGCATAAGCAAACATGCAAGCACAGCAACTGCATTGAACAACTTATCATGTGCCAGACATTGCCACATCTGGCCCATCTGCACAAGTCAGCGCACCACGGGGAGCCAGGCAACACATGGAGCAGTAATCACAGGTCAAGTTGCCCACCTTCACCAAGCTACCTTCTTCACCTTTTCTATTGGGGCTACCATCACTGATCATCTTTGTGCAGCCACAGGATCATTAATGAGCCTGGCGACAATGAAGGGGATGCACCTGTGGATGGTGATGACGGCAATACAGTAGCACTACTGATGATGTGGAGGAGCTGGAAATGGCCGAGGAGCTGGGCGGATTCGGCACGGTGCACAAGGCGCCACCATCGGAATGCTAAACTCGTCTGAGCTTGGGGTTTGGGCGCCAAGACTGGCTCGCCCATGATTCCGAAGTTGATGATCTGCAAAAAGGGTTTAACGCTAGTGAGCTGATCAGGAGTGGTGAGGAGAAGGAGTACCCACTTTTCATTAAGTCCGACTGCCAAGTCCTGGTCTCCGCCTGAGTAGTAGGTCATCTGAAAGTTGAGGTCGAACGGGTAGGCCTGTACCCAGATCTGCCCGATGTTGAAGACCTCCCCTCGGCCAATGATCACCTTCTTGCTGAAGGTTTGCTGCCCGTTGCAGAACGAAATCCCGAAAACAACCATCACCAACCTATGGCGAAGCGGGTCAACATCAGTCAAGGCGTGCCAACACTGGTTTAGGTTTAGGTTGGAGCTTACCTCTTGAAGTAGAAGGGCAAGGGTACGTAGCCCTCTTGCTCGGTCAGCTCGAGGGCGTTCTCGTTGAGCAGGCCCCAGGCCAGCATCTGCTGGGCGTTGGTGAGCCAGTTGCAGTCGGACCCGTTGTGCACAAACCGCGTGGTGACGGCATGGGCCACGGTGTCGACTGGTTGCCTTTGTGCAGCTTGACCACCAGGAAACGAGGCGTCAGCTGATCGTCACCTCCGCCACTGCCGACTGCACTGATGTGGTGTTGGCCTCGACCACATTGCCTGCATTCCGCCACCACTACGAGTTTCAGCCACACGACTGCACATGCACGACCGCACACACACACTCACAGCACCTGCCTTGTTCTTCATGCGAGCGTAGGGCACCGACCAGTTTGGAGAAGACCGAGTTGGCGTAGGTCATGCTGAAAGGGCTTGCCTGCATGGATGTACTTGTTGGAAAGCAGTGGAGGTACAGCCGTGGCTCCGATTTGCGTGGGACCGGAGGTGACGACCGTGGAGCGGGCGGGGATGGAGCCGAATTGGAACCACTTGCTGGCAAAAGAGTCGTTGGTCATCTTGAAGGCCGGATTGAAGTCGGCCATCGCGTCGGCGAACACGTCGGAGATGGTGGCGGTCGTCGCCGTAGACCAGGAAGATGGGCAGGAAGGGATTGAGGGCGGCGCTGGCCGAGCGTTCCTGCTATTGTACCCCACAGATTTCGCCTTGCTGCCCGAGAAGCGGCGCCAGGAGGAGGGATCCTCCGCCGGACATCCTTGAAGGACTCAGCCCGCACTGGCGACACACAGTGGGTTTTCATGATTGTTTTGTCAAACCACGAGAGAGAGAAGACGAACAAAGCGAGGCATGGCGTGAGGTACCCCAAGGCGGCAAGAAGGAAGCAGGTGAGCGGCTCGCAACCTTCATTGGGGTAGTGTGAGCCATGAACGTCAAACACGTCACCCCCAGCATACCGTAATTTGGCCACCAGTTTCGGTTGCACGTGGCTCTTTAAAATCCGCCAATTGGGTGTCAACATATCCGATTGGTCCAGTTCTTTGTCGCTTTTTGTGGTAGATGCATCTCTGGCAGTCCTTCTCCCACACAGAACAGCGCACGATGGCACGCATCGTGCCCGCACATTTGCTGTGTTTTCTTGTACTCGCCTTCTGCTCAACACAAGGTTGCTCCTATCTCTCTCAGTCCTTCTCATTTCAGTTCTAGTTCTGGTTCTTTTGTTGTTCTCAATTCTCCATTTCGCACCTGACGCAGGGCGAGCGCAGACCTTCATCTCAGCCGCCGGTAGCGTCCAGGTGGGCGCTCTCATCTTGTCGGCCATTCAAAACTACCAGGTACCCCAGTCCCCCACCCTACACCTTCTTCTCGTTCTTGTCTCGCCCTCTGCAGAGTACCGAAAAGCGCCGTTCCGGAAGGAGTTTACGTCCGAACTGCGAAGGCACGAAGTCACTGTTGCACTCACACCGTTTGGGGATCACGCGACATGGCCACCAGTTCGTGCAGGAAGACTTCACCCTGCTCTTCAAGCAGGACCAGACCGCCGAGGCGGCCCTGCAGGGAGTCGTGGCCGGTACTATGGTGCGTGCCCGCGAGGCAAACTTGCTTTGTGATGACTGTCCTAGGAACGAATTAATTAGATGGCATGGTGCCAGACTCGAAAAAGAAGATAGTCTGGGTTTTTGCGCTTTGCTTGCGACCAACACTCTCTCCCTCGTGATGACAGGACTTCGCGGCGATGGACGCGCCCTATCCGCCGGAGTGGCTCATGGAGCGAAACGCCATCCACCTGCCGGTTGTCGGCCAGCCGATAGTGCCCGCCTACAACCTCGGCCCCGACACTCCACCCAATAATCAAACCCTGGTTCGTAGCTGTTACTTTGAAATTTTTGTAATTTTTTTATTATAACAATTCAATGACATTTTTAACATTTTGTGGTTTACCGGTTAGGTGCTGAGCGTGCCCGTGCTGGCGGACATATGGTCGGGCAACGTCGTATTCTGGAATGACTCGGCCATCGCGGACCTCAACCCGGGCGTCGCTCTGCCCTTCCAGCCCATCGTGCTCGTGTTCGCCAACGACAGGCGCGGCAGCATCTCCGACTCGTTCGCCAGCGCCTTGGCCTACTGGAATCCCGCGTTCGCCATGTCGATCTACTCCACCAACGACTCGCTGGCCAGCCGGTGGTCCCAGTTTGGCTCTATCGCTCCACGCTCCTACGTCGTCGAACCCGGTGAACAGCAACTGGGCGCCGTTTTGGTACGTGGGTTGCAATTTCTTTTATGTCCGACTAGAGGGAGGCTAACTTGCTGGGAATCACTTCAGGCGATTCCCTACAGCCTCACCTACACCACGGCCGTGTTTGCTGGCCTTGCGAGCCTGCCCTACGCCCAGATGCGAAACAAAGCTGGTACCCCCATTCATTGCACCGACAAAATGAAGATATCTCAATCAGTAATACTCAATTCGTGTCTGACCGCAGGAGCCACGGTGAGTCCGAGCAAAGCGGCCGTACAGTCGGCGCTGGTGGAGGTGCTGGATCGAGTGACCTCGTTGGCGCTCGTGGTGGACGTGCACAACGGCAACCTGTCCACGTCGTGGCCCGTGGTCATGTTCAGCTTCGTCACCACGCAGAAGCACGTCAACTCTTCGGACTGCAACTGGATCACCTACGGCCAGCAGTTGCTCGCCTGGACCCAGCTCAACGAAAAGGCCATCAGCACCACAGAGGCGCTGGGCTTCGTGCCGCTGCCCTTGGCCTACAAACGGTACCATCACCATCAACTCGTCACTATCTCTTCTAATTTATCTGTTTCTGATTGTACCCGCACAGGTTGATCATGGACACCTATGGCCTGCTCTCGTGCAACGGCAAACAGACCTTTACCAGCAAGGTGGTGATCGGCAAGGGTGACAACTTCAAGATCGGACCCATCTGGACTCGGGCCTACCCCTTCGACAGCAATTTCCAGATGACCTTCTACACCGAGACCAACGCTACCAACGCCCTGGCCGAACTCACCGCAAGTACGCGAGAGCAATGGGGCCCATCATCACAGATCTGATTGTGCGCCAGAGTTGCTGACTCTGCTCTCTTTCTACAGACAACGTCGACTTTAGCGTGATCGACTACGACGTTGCCGAGGGCCGATCGGCCCAAGCGAGAAGAGAAGAGAGGGTTTCCTCGCCTGATGAGCTGAGCCTCCCGCTGGTCGCATACGCCATCGGAGCTGGCTACAACGTACGTTACACCCACCGGCTTTTCTTCTTCTTCTTCTTGCAAGCTTGGAAGTGTTGGTTCGACTCAACTCAATTGAGCAGTTACGAACTGCTGACGGCCCCCCAATCGCTGGTGCTGAACCTTACCACGCTGGCGGACATATACCTGGGCACGGTGGACAGGTGGGACCACGCGGCCATCCGCGAGCTCAACCCGACCCTGGCCCACCTCCTCCCCGCCCAGAACATCACCGTGGTCCTGAGCACCTACGACGCTCCCGCTATCACGCGCATCATGACCGAGACCCTGCGCAACGTGAGCCAAACTTTCAGAGAGCTGGTGGTACTCTGACACACACAACACCGCATACGACGCACACGACACACGACGCGCACACGACACACGCAGGCTAACGCGCCATCACAATCAATTGCAGGTGGGCACTGGTGCATCGGTACATTTCCCGGTGGAGGACACAGGAAGGGTGGTGCGGGTGGATGACGTGGCATCTGCGCTGGACCAAAGCGCGTACCGACTGGCCGTATGGCCGCAGGAGCCCATCCGTACGCGGCGCTACTTGGGCTTCGCCGATCTGATCAACGTGCGCGGCGTCCGCGTGTCGGCGTCGGCGGCGACCATCGCCTCCAGCCTGAGCGACTACCGCGCGCTGCCCCTCACTTCCTCTCTCACCAACGGTTCGTGTTCACACGCCCGCGGCACATTTTTTCGACCAGTGGCGGAGTTGAAAACTCACTTGCATTTTTCCTTTGCTGGACACTCAATGCGATCATCGCAGGTGGCGGGCGTGACAGCTGGCCGATGGTGAGCTACGACTACTTCGTGCTGCGCACCGCCTCGATCGTCAACTGCTTGAAGGCGCGCTCGCTGGTTGACTACCTCTATTGGACCCAGGCCTATCCTGAGGCCCTTGCGCTGGCTCAAGAGTGCTGCTCTCTCATCTTATCCCTTGCGGTCTGATTGGTCGTATGCTAACCAACTGCTGCATGTGTACAGAAACTCGCTCACTGTTCCCGATCATGCCGAGGCTAAATCCCGATTGGCGCAAGTCATCGCCAGCACCACTTGCGGCGGCGCGGTGGTGAGCTCGTTCGCCGCGTGCGTCAGCCAGGGCGCCGTGTGCTCCGATCGCGGACTGTGCACCACCGACGGTTTGTGCGTGTGCGACCAGGGCTTCACCGGGATCCACTGCGAGTACCTCAAGTCCGACAGCTCTGGTGATTCGACTGTGGTGCTGGCGGCCGTGCTCGGCTCAGTCATCCCGGTGGTGGTCGTGGGCCTGGTCGTGGCGCTGCTCGTGGTCGGGTTGGTGGTGTGGACGCGGTGGCGGCGGGAGAAGGAAGACGAGTGGGAGGTGGACATGGAGGAGCTGGAGATGGCCGAGGAGCTGGGCACGGGCGGGTTCGGCACGGTGCACAAGGCCGTGTGGAAGGGCACCGAGGTCGCGGTCAAGATGATGATCACCTCCACCAACGCCGCGGCGACCAGAGAACTCGAGCGAAGCTTCAAAGAGGAGGTATGCAATCGCACCACACTCCTATCGATCGACAGTGTTTGGGTGGCAGTCGCTAAGCTGGACTGATGGTTGGGTGGTGGGGACAGGTGCGAGTGATGACGGCGCTGCGGCATCCCAATGTGGTGCTGTTCATGGCGGCGTGCACCAAGCCGCCCAAGATGTGCATCGTCATGGAGTTCATGGCCCTCGGCTCCCTCTTCGACGTACCCACCTCCCCTCCTCCACCTCCTCCGCACATTCCACACACATTCTCAAGCGCACGACTCATCATGATGGATTGCTGGTGCAGTTGCTGCACAACGAGCTGGTGCCGGACATTCCATTCAGCTTGAGGGTCAAGATCGCCTACCAGGCGGCCAAGGGCATGCACTTCCTCCACTCGTCGGGCATCGTGCATCGCGACCTCAAGTCGCTCAACCTGCTGCTCGACTCCAAGTGGAACGTCAAGGTCTCCGACTTTGGTCTCACCCAGTCCAAGGAGCAGCTCGCCCGGCAGGACCACAACAACCGCCAGGCCGAGGGCAGCCTGCACTGGATGGCACCCGAGGTGCTCAACGAGGCACATGAGATCGACTTCATGCTGGCGGACGTGTACGCGTTCGGCATCATCCTCTGGGAGCTCTTAACCCGCGAGCAGCCCTACTATGGCATGACGTACGCCTTCTTCGCCCGTTTTTAGCCACTGTTTACTCGTCAATACGATGGTGTTTGTGTGGCTGGTCGTATAATGGATGAATGTGACAAAATTTATAAACGTGCAGGCCTGCGGCGATCGCGGTGGCGGTGATTCGCGATCACGCGCGGCCACCTCTGCCCAAGGAAGAAGACATGGACGCCGCCACTCCGATCGAGTACATTGAACTCATGAAGAATGCTTGGCATGCAGATCCCGCCATTCGCCCGTCATTCCTGGTACGGAATCGTGATGTGTTTCATAAGTTTGGCGCCGTGTGCGTGCGTGCGTGCGTGCGTGCGTGCGTGCGCGTGTGCGTGTGCGTGCGCGTGTGCGTGTGCGTGCGTGCGTGTGTCTTGCGTTGCCTTGCATGGTCTAAACAGCAAGACATGAAAATGCAGGAGACGATGACGAGGCTCAGCGCAATGGGCGAGAACGGTTCGTGGCTGTCTTCGATGACGTCATCCTCCACGCAGAGCTTCTCCGACCGAATGACCGCCGTCGGCGGTTCGCACAGCAGTTCGCTCAGCCGCCGCTCGATCTGCTCCACCTCGTCATCGGGCGAAGGAGGCTCTCGGTCGAAGGACTCGGGCACCTTGCCCGCCGCTGCTTCGGGCGGCGTGCGCGCACCTGAGGGCGAGGTAACGATCGTGTTCTCGGACATCACGCGCGCCGCCTCGCTCTGGGAGTTCAACGCCGACGCCATGCGCGACGCCACGCTGCTTCACAACGCGCTCCTGCGCGAGCTGCTCACCAAACACCGCGGCTACGAAGTCGTCTTCCTCCGGTACTTGCCCCCTTGGTTGCTTGGCAACTCCTAATAATTCACATGGTAACATATCTACATACCTTTTAAATGGTAACACAACACACAGGGACAGGATCAGCGGGGAGGGGTCGTTTTGTATGGCCTTTGCCAGCACGCTCGATGCGGTCGAGTGGTGCATGGCGGCCCAGCAAGCCCTACTGGACGGAGTGGAGTGGCCCAAGGCGCTGCTCGACCACCCGGGCGCCGCGGAAGAGTGGGACGACATACACGAACGGTACCACTACGCCACCTTAAACCGAACAAGCACGCACAAGCGCACGTTGCGCACATTCCGCACATTTCACACAAACAATGCGGCAGAGCGATCTATCGAGGGCTGCGGGTGCGGATGGGGGTGCACGTGGGTCAGCCGCGCATGATCCGCGACCCGAAGACCCGGCGCGTGGAGTACATCGGGCCGGTGGTCAACGCCGCGGCGCGCATCACCGCCATCACCAACGGCGGCCAGATCGTGATCTCGAGGGAGGCCAAGCTGAAGCTCAAGGGCAGCGCCCTGGGCGAGGAGCGCAGCCGCTACATCAACCTGGGCAAGTTCGAGATGCCCGACAACCCCAAAGGTGCCCACTCCGCCCATGTTTCACGCCAATTTCAACGTGTTGGTAGCTGAACGGAGCTATGCGTGTGTGTCGTGTGTCGTGTGTCGTGTGTCGTGTGTCGTGTGTCGTGTGTCGTGTGTCGTGTGTCGTGTGTCGTGTGTCGTGTGTCGTGTGTCGTGTGTCGTGTGTCGTGTGTCGTGTGTCGTGTGTCGTGTGTCGTGTGTCGTGTGTCGTGTGTCGTGTGTCGTGTGTCGTGTGTCGTGACAAAAGGCTCGACGCTGTTTGAAGTGAAGACGCTAGGACTGGAATCGCGCTTCTTTGTCGACACGGAAGTTGTCGTTGGCGGCGATTCGGATAGCGACGGGGGCAATGCAGTTTCTCTGCGCTCGGTGTCGTCGAACATTCACCGGCAGGACAGGTCGGCAGAGGCCGAGCTGCAGCTGCACGTGGGCGAGGGGCTGGCCTTCAAGGAGGACACCTTCCTCACGTCGGCCAACCTCTGTCGATGGGTCATTGACTTCAACGAGATCTCCCTCGGCAAGCAGGTACAGCCTCCCCCAAAGCCCCCACCACACACAACACACAGCACCCAACACTACTGCAGCTTTTTAACTCCGACACATACATACGCTGTGGCGTGGCCAAAAAGGTGGGGCTGGGGTCGTACGGGGTGGTGTTCAAGGGCAAGTGGAAGGGCGTCGACGTGGCCGTCAAGCGGTTCATCAAGCAGCAGCTCGACGAGCGGCGCTTGCTCGAGTTCCGCGCCGAGATGGCCTTCCTCTCCGAGCTCCACCACCCCAATATCGTCCTCTTCATCGGTACCCCAGGCTGCACCTCACCACCCAATCATCACACCCCTCCATTTCGCACACACAGTGAACACGACACACGCGTGTGACACGTTCCACGACACACACACACGCTGACATAACCGCACGCACGCACGACACGACACCTACACAGGGGCTTGTGTGAAGCGACCCAACCTGTGCATCGTGACGGAGTTCGTCAAGCGCGGCGCGCTCAAGGAGATCATCGCCGACTCCTCCATCCGCCTCCCCTGGCACCGCCGCCTCGGGCTTCTGCGCTCGGCCGCCGTCGGGCTGGCCTATCTGCACACGCGCCAGCCGGCGGGCATCGTGCACCGGGACGTGAAGCCGTCCAACCTGCTGGTGGACGACGAGTGGAACGTGAAGGTGGCCGACTTTGGGTTCGCGCGCATCAAGGAGGACAACGCCACCATGACCCGCTGTGGCACTCCCTGCTGGACCGGTATGTGAAGTGACCACATCACTCCCCTCGCGCGTGTGTGCGGCGGTGTGCATGTGCGGTTGACACGCATGCACACGACACACGACACAACACGACACACGACACACGACACACGACACACGACACACGACACACGACACAACACGACACACGACACACGACACACGACACACGACACACGACACACGACACACGACACACGACACACGACACACGACACACGACACACGACACACGACACACGACACACGACACACGACTGTTTTGCTGACGTGGTGCACATGCGTGGATGGGTGGAACGGGGCTGGCAGCGCCGGAGGTGATCAGGGGGGAGCGGTACTCGGAGAAGGCCGACGTGTACTCGTTCGGCATCATCGTGTGGGAGCTGGTGACGCGCAAGGCGCCCTTTGCCGGGCGCAACTTCATGGGCGTCACGCTCGAGGTGCTCGAGGGTCGCCGCCCGACGGTGCCCGCTGACTGTCCCAAGGCCGTGGCCAAGCTCATGAACAAGTGCTGGCACGCCTCACCGGACAAGCGGCCGAGCATGGACCACGTGGTCGCCGCGCTCGATGGGCTCCTCGGCGCCAGCCACACCAACGACGCGTCCGATGCTGACGTGTAAAGTCACCTTTTTTTAAAACCTTGCAAGGATTTGTTTTCATAATTTAAAATATAAAAAAATAGTAAAGATGGCGGCGCTGCCGAATGCAAGGAACAGCAACAAGAAGCCTCGAGCAAAGCTGCTCGTCGTCCTGCCACGCGCCTCCTTCTTTTCCTCCCGAGGTACACCCTTACACATTTTATTGATTATAAAATCAAATCTAGCAAACAATTCATGATTAAAAATGCATCGCAGCAAGCGAGGGAGAGGAGCGGGCGGCTGGGGAGAAGGAACGAGAGGAGTCGCGCGTCGATTGGTTGGAGCGCAGCGTGCCCGGCCTCAAGTGCCTGCCTGAGGGCCACCGCCTCCTCAGCCGCCGTCTGCGCCACGCCGGCGGTACCTACCACCCCTTGCACCCCCAACCCTCTTCCTTCTCTCTCACGTCAACCAACACGCATCTGCGATGTGCGTGCGCGTGTGCGGTCGTGCGTGTGTGCGTGTGTGCGTGTGCGTCAGGCGAAGGCAGGCAATTCAAGTCGAACGTGGCCTACCGCGCACACCCGCTCCGGCCAAAGGAGTTCATACCCGTGGCAGGTTTGACCACCCGCGCTCGCACAACTGCCTGTGTCAGTGGCGAGTTCTTTGCTGAGTTCATCTGCGCTGTGTCGTGTGTATCGTGTGTATCACCTTTCTCTTTCTTTTGTAGAATTCCATCCGTTCGTGCTGCGGGACAAGAAGCGGGAGATGCAGGAGCTGCTGACCGGGCTCGGCGCTCGCGAGATCGCCCTCGAACACACGTCGCGCAGGGGCACCCTGCGCTTCAAAGGTACGTCTCCACGTATCACACGCCGGGCCGCTTCTATGTTCTCCGTCTCATCGCCATCACACACCGCACACACCGCACACACCGCACGCGCATGTCGCACGTGCGTGCAGGCTCCGAGTCGAAGCGAAAACAAAAGGCCCAGGGGAGCTACATCGAAGAGGACAAGGACGTCGAGCTGAGGCTCGAGCAGCCCACGATTCCTCTCGCTGTCGACCAAGTGCGTTCTCTCGTGTTGTCTGCGTGTTGCGTGTGTGCGGTGTCTGATGTCATACCCCGTCACGTATGCAGGGCAAGGGGCGGTGGTACCACGTGGAGCCGACGTGGCAGGCCTGCACGGCGCTCCGGCGGCGGACCGTGGAGAGCAAGGAGTGTCGGGTGCCGCTGACCATCGCCTCCGATTACGACGTCACGCCGGACCTGGCCGCCGCTTTGCAGAAGTGCGAAGTCCACCTCGGTACGAAAGGCATTCTTGGCATTCCACTTTCTTTGTCGATAGCAACTCACCGTGGTGTGGGCGATCGTGTGTGGATGCAGGCGAGGGGGCGGGCGCGGAGTTCGTCCGCTTTGAGGCGGTGACGCGCGAGTACCGCGTGCGGTTCTTCACCCTCAAGCACTACCAGAAGGCCAACAAGGAGGCCGTTCGCGCGTGGGCGCCGGAGGACGTGGCCGCCTTCTTACGCGCCGCCGACCTCGACCAGCACCTCGACCTCTTTCAGGTTCGTTTTGTGTTTCGTGTTTCGTATTTCGTATTTCGTTTGGGTAGACTCAAACTTTAGCCCAAACACGAAGGGCAAAGGCGGGGCGGAGTTGGTGCACATGACGGACCACCAGCTCTCCAAGATCTATCGCCTCAAGCAGGAACCCGCCGTCCGCGCCCAGCTCCTCGATGCTCTCCAACGGTGCGTGTGTGTCGTGTCGTGCCGTGTGCGTGTGCGGCGCGTATCGCTTACCTTTTCTCACGCGTCGACAGAATAATGGACTCGGTGGAGTGTCGACACCCGGCGCTCGCCGCCGCCGGAGACCACAGCGGGCCGTTGTGCGCGCCCTGCCGGAAGCGGCTCGGGGTCGCCTCGCCCGCGCCCGCCCCACGGTCGCCCCGGCCTGCTGACGTCAGCACCGCCAGCAATCTCAAGAATGCCAAGCGGGCCTACGACAGTGTCGACAGCGACGACGACAATGATGACGTGGGCGGCGCCGGCTATGTTGACGTCCGCGCGATGGACAAGCTCCGACCGCCGCCCGCCGCGACGCAGCCCAACTACGTCGAGGCGCCGCCCGCCGGACCGGCGGCTGCGACCAAGCGCAACGCGAAGAAGGCGGCGGGGGCGGCCAAAAAGCGAAACAAGAGCGAAGCGGCTGTGAATGCGAAGGGCAACGGCAACAGGGGAGGGGCGGCGCCGGACACGGACGACGATGATGAGGAGGATGCGGAGGCAATGGAGCGGATGAAGGTGCGAGCGCGGGCGGTGGCGCGGGAGAACGGCTACGTGTTCCGCGAGATCGACTACCGCGAGCTCGACCTCGAGCAAAAGATCGGCGCCGGCTCCTTCGGCGAAGTCTACAAGGCCACCTGGCGTGGGGCTCCCGGTACGCCTGCACGCCGCGCGCGCACACACACACACACACGCACACCGCACACGCGCGACCGCACACACGTGTCATCGATGAGTTACGTAGGTAGTGACCTTCGTAATGTTATTACGTTAGTGGCGGCCAAGAAGATCATCAACATGGACGACGATGACGACGAAATGGTGGACGAATTCATGCGCGAGGCCGCCATGATGGACCTCCTCGGTACCACTTCCTTTCAACCAGTCAACGCCCACGACCTGTCGCCCTCAACACACGACACACACGACACACACGGCACACACGGCACACGACACACGACACAACACGACACACGGCACAACACGACACACGATACAACACGACACACGACACACTACACACCACACACGACAACACGGCACCACCAGGGAATCATCCGAACATTGTCAAGTTCGTTGGGGCTTGTCTCGGGGTACGTGGTGCTGTCGTTTCGGTTTCTGCTCAGCCAATCGGATCGCGTGGATAAAAGCTAAGACGCTCCAATCACATGCGGCGGGCGGCGGTTGACGGTGGTGGTGGGTTGGGCACAGCCGTTCTGTCTGGTGTCGGCGTTCTGCGCGAACGGGAGCCTCGAGGACCTGCTGCAGAAGGACCACGACCTCCGGCTGCTGAGCAACCGCACCCTCGTCCGCATGGCCATGGACATCGGCGCCGGCATCCTCCACCTCCACCGCGAGGGCGTCATCCACCGCGTACGTCGTTTGTCCCGTGCGCGCGCGTGTGCCGTGTGCTGTGTGTGCGGTCATGTGCGTGTGTCGTGTCGTGTCGTGTAGTGGGCTCATGCGAGAGAGTAGGATATTGCGGCGCGCAACGTGCTGGTGGGAGAGGACTTCACGACGGACTTTGGGTTCGCGCGGATCAAGGAGAAGGGCGGCGACGGCGGCAACACCCAGTCCACCCTGGGTCCCGTGCGCCACATGAGCCCCGAGTCCCTCAAGGAGCGCCGCTACTCGGAGAAGTCCGACGTCTACTCCTTCGGCGTGTTGCTCTACGAGGTCCGCGTCGTGTTGCGTGTCGTGTTGCGTGTCGTGACATGTGTGCCGTGTGCCGTGTGTGCGGTGGCTGACAGTTTGTGGTGGTGGTTGGGGGGGCAATCAGATGTGGATGCGGGAGGCGCCGTACATGGGCACGGGCATGGACCTGCTGCAGATCGCCCTGCGGGTCATGAACGAAGGCCTCCGCCCACCCGTGCCCCCCAACGCTCCCCCCGCCCTCCAGTACGCGTCTTCTCTCAAATTACACGTGTGTCGTGTCGTGTCGTGTCGTGTCGTGTCGTGTCGTGTCGTGTCGTGTCGTGTCGTGTCTGTGTGTTGAGATTGACTGAAGAACGTTCACAGGGCATTGCTCGAGCGGTGTTGGAAGGCCGACCCGACGGAGCGGCCGGACTTGGCGGGCGTGCTGGTGGCCCTGAAGGACCTCTACTGCGAGCTCTGACCGCAGCGCAAGAGAAGAGAGAAATGCGCAGGGAGAAAAGATAAAGAAACAACAGGTCGTCACAGGCCGACGGGGAGCGGAGCGCCGATGGTGCGGGCGTGGTCGCGGGCGAGCTGCTCGAGGTGGGCCACCATTTGGTCGTAGGGCACGAACTGCTTCTCCTTCGTCTTCCGGTTCTCGAACTCCACCCGGCCCTCGTTCTTCATCGCCTTCCCCACCAGCACCATCCACGGGAACCCTACGTGCCACCACACCACTTGAATTAATTGCACATATTTAAAACAATTATTATTATTATACGTACCGAGGAGTTGGGCGCGGTGTAATTTGGCGCCGGGGCTGTCGGCGGAGTCGTCGAGGGCCACGTCGTTGGCGAAGTACGGGCTGCGCTGGAGGTCGGCGTAGAGGTTGCGCGCGTGGGCCTGCACGTCGGCGTCCTTGGGCGTCATGGCCACCACCACCGCCTTGTAGGGCGCCACCGCCACCGGCCACACGATCCCGCGCTCGTCGTGCGACGTCTCCACAATCGACGCCAGCAGACGCGTCACGCCCAACCCGAAGCAGCCCTAACCCGTGCGTGTCGTGTGCTGTTAGCCACCGCACACACGCACACGCACACGCGCGCGTGTACCATTTCGGCGTAGTTGGTGCCGGAGGGGGTGGCGACGCGGGCGTCGAGCTTGGCCGAGTACTTGGTGCCCAGGTAGAACACGTGGCCCACCTCGATGCCCCGGCTGCCCACCAGCTCCCCCTCGCACCCCGCCTCGGCGCACCCGTCCCGCTCCTCCGTCAGCGTAAAGTCGCCCACGGCCTTGGCCGCATCGACGGCCTCGGCCGCCAGCGACTCGTCGACCAGCACCACCGGGCGCGCACCGGCGTCGGCGGCGGCGGCGGGCCGCACGGTGATGTCGACAATCTCGCCAGAGGGTGCGAGGGCGTGTCGGAGGAGGTGGGCCTTGACCTTGAGCTCGTTGACCTGCCGGCCCTTGGGCGCCACCACGGCCCACTCGCGCGCGGCACCGCCTTCCGCGCTGGCCGCGGGCGCTTCCGTGGCCACACGCACGACGTGGACCGAGTAGGGCAAGCTCTCCGAGTCCTTTTAAAACCGCACACACCGCACACACCGCACACGACGCACACGCATGAGTTTCGTTGGTGGTGGCGGTGGTGTGGGGTCAGTACAGCGAGGCCGGCCTGCAGGGCGGGCCAATCGAGCGTCCGGTGGTCGAGTCGGCGGTGGTGCTCGTGGTGATGGAGTAGTCGGCCCCTGGCCTTCTCCGTGTTGGCCGCGTACGTGCACGAGTTGCACCTGCACACGACACACACGACGCACATATTTATATTTATATTTATATTTATATTTATATTTATATTTATATGAGGTGCACGAGTGTACCTCAGAATGGTGTCCTCGCCGATGTTGGCCATGACGTGGAACTCATGGGAGTGGTCGCCGCCAATGTTTCCACTGTCCGCTGTGGGATGGTGGTGCGTTAGTTCGTGCCGACGTGATCTAATAAATAAAAATACATACAATTTCGAGTACAACTTTACATCTTGCATATATAATGTAACATTTCAAAACATATATATATATATTAATACGAACCGGCGGCGATGACGTAGTCGAGCTCGAGCTGGGCGAGGATGCGCTTGTAGGCGCCGACGACGTGCTGGTAGGTGCGCAGCGCGTCGTCCCGGGTGATGTCGAACGAGTACATGTCCTTCATGATGAACTCGCGCCCTCGCATCAGCCCGAACCGCGGGCGCACCTCATCTCTGTACTTCAGTCCTGTGCATGCGCGTGTGCGGTCGTGCGTGTGTGCGTGCGTGAGTGCGTGTGCGGTCGTGCGTGTGTCGTGCGTTGTGAGTAGACACGCACACACGCGGCAAACGGCGCGACTGTACCGATTTGGTAGAGGAGCAGCGGAAGCTGGCGGTAGGAGACGGCCTCGTTGGCGAAGAGCTGCGTTATGAGCTCCTCGTGCGTGGGCGCCAGACAGAAGTCGGCCCCGCGGCGATCCTTCAATCGAAACAGCTACACACACACACACACCACCTCACACAGTGGCCAGTCAGTCTCGTATGCGGTCGTGTGCGGTCAGTGTAGTGTCGTGTCGTGTGTGCGATGGGAGAGTGGGTGACGGACCTCAGGCCCGGACGATTCCCAGCGGCCGGTCTGTTTCCAAATGGCGGCGGAGAGCAGCAGCGGCATCTGCAGCTTCTGCCCGCCTGCACGCGGAGGAGACATCTATATTAGATTCGTGTGTGCGGTGCGCAATGTGTGTGCGGTGTCGTGTTCGATGCGCTGCGTGCGGTGAGTGCGGTGCGTGTGTGTTTGTGTGTGTGCACCATACCTATGCCGCCCATTTCGCGGTCAACGAGCGCGGTGAGCTTCTCAACGGCCCGCACGCCCATCGGCAACAGCGAATAGATGCCACTCCCGGCCTACCAAATAAATAAATAAAATAAAATCCATAATTAAATAAATAACTGGGTGAGTGAGTGATGTGGCGGGGGAATGTGGGGTACCTGGCGCATGATGCCGGCCTGGAGCATGAGACGATGGGAGGCCACCTGCAGCTGCCCGTCCTGCTCGCCGCCGCCGGAGCTGCCCTGTGCTCCCGAGCCCGTTCCGGCGCCCAGCAGCGTCGACACCCGATGTGCCACCGGCAAGCTGTGTTTATTATTTATCAAATAATAATGGAAATAGATGAGCATGCAAAGAATATAAATGCAGTTTGATCGGTGAAAATAAGAATAAGACTAATTTTAATATATTAAAATGTCGTAATTTTATGGGTACGTTGCGCCGGGGCTGGTGGTGAGCGAGCGCCGGAGGAGTGGGGCGCGCTGTGGCGGATGCCAAAGTGCGTTGGTGCGCGAGGCCACCAGCCTCCGGGCAGTGACGCACAACCCTCGCCGCATCTTGCTCTTTGTGCAATTTGTGCCGACGAGAAAAGAAAACAAAGGAAATTCTATTTTCACAATCTGACAGTCGCTGGAAATTCTTGGAGAGTTGGGAGCGTTTCGCCACAACCTGGTCTACAACAACGGAGATCGTTCGTTCGGCAGAAATCAAACGAAAGGTCACGTGTGGTCGTCTCTTCGCCTCAGTTCGCGGACCTCCTGTAAACTCCACCAGAGCGAACCAACAACACCACAAGCACTCTTAGGGCCAAACAACAACAACAACCGTACCCAAGTCTTCACACCAGTACATGGACCCTTATCTCTTAGTTTTTCTTGTTCGTGCGTGCCGCACACAACCTGCAACCTCCTCCTTGTGTCTATCTGTGGAATGCACACACTCATGCTGGAATGTGTGACACCACCAGCCAGCTGAACAATGAGTACCAGTACCGTCGCGCGTAGCAGGAACGACCACTCGTCGGCCGGACAACACGGGCGGGGCACCACGCGCCCCATCTTCGGGGTGCTCACCCAGCCTGTCGACACTGAGGAGCGGTTCATGACCTTCACCAAGGAGTACAGCGAGTACATCCCGGCCTCCTTCGTACGCTGGCTCGAGTCCGGCGGCGCCCGCGTCATCGCCATCCAGTTGCGTCCTCCCCTCAATCAGTCAAGAAATCGAGAGTTTCTTCTGATGATTTCTTTCTTTCTTTCTTTCTCTGGTCGTTGCACAGTTACGACACCGACGAGGAAGAGCTGCGACACCTTTTCGATAGCATCAACGGCTTGCTCTTGACTGGCGGTGAGATCCTCGATGTCGCGTATGTCCACCACCACTTTTGCATTTGTGTTGCGCTTGTGAGTGTGTCATGCGGAACTCACGCTGGGATTGTGTGAGTGTAGGAACTCGACGTACGGAATGACGGCCCGAAAGCTGTTCCAGTGGGCGATGGAGTCCTACGACGCCGGGCAGGAGTTCCCGATTTACGGGACTTGTCAGGGCATCCAGCTGCTCTCCATGCTCACCTCTGGCAACTCTGAAATCAAAGAAGACTGCAAGGTACACACAACGCCGACACAATTGGGGTTCAACACACGCGGTGTAGGTGCTCACGTCAAATGTTTGACACCCCACGGAGCAGGCCACGCTGGGCATCTCGAAGCCGCTCCACTTCACCGAGCACGCGCGAGAGAGCAGACTCTTCAGCTCGCTCTCGCCTCAACTGTACGACATGCTCGCCACCAAGCCCTGCGGCGAGCACCTGCACAGCTCCTGCATCACCACCAAGGCCTTCAAAGGTACTCCTACCACACACACACACACACACACACACACACACACACACATTGATCTGGCACCCGGCAGAGCACAAGGGGCTGCGCGATATGTTCAACGTGCTGGTGGTGAACCACGACGCAGAGGGGTTGGAGTTCGTGTCGTGCGTCGAGGGCAAGCGGTATCCGTTCTACGCCAGCCAGTTCCACCCCGAGCGGGCCGGATGGGAGTGGAACGAGGAGGAGCAGATTGACCACTCGCCCGAGGTCGTGCTGGCCTTCCAGCACCTGGCCTCCTTCCTCGTGTCGGAGGCCTGCAAGAACGACCACCGCTTCGTTGATCGGGACGAGGAGGAACGGCGGCAGCTCTACAACACGCCGCCACACCTGGTCGCCACCCAGAAGGAGTCCAAGATGTACGTCCAGACCTACTTCTGGAAGCACGGCGAGCGATGCAAGTAAACGAGAACTATCAGTTCCGTTGCATTTTCTTTATTTTTGGTTTATCTTTGTTTCCTTTTGCATGTCACACAAACCATATTTAGACAAAGAAAAAAAGGAAAGGGAAAAGCCTTGACGAAAGAGGTCAAGTGGTAGATGGCTTTCATCTGGCAGCCGTATTGTTGTCGTTGGAGGGCAGGTAGTGGGTCGAGGGCTCAGAGTGTTTGTTGCTCCACTTTGACGTCCTGGAACAGGGCGATGGGCTGCCAACCGGCTTGGGTGTCCTCCGCTTCCGCTCGTCCTCTTCCATTCTCGTCCTCTTCCTCGCCGGTTGGTAAGGGCCGTTGGTGACTCTGGCCCGAGCCGGGCTCGGGGGCAGTAGCGGCACAATGTTGTAGCGGAAGAAGTTACCGAGGACGACCTGGCACAGCACGATGTAGAGGACGTGGATCTTTTCGTAGAGCTCGATCGCCTGGGTCACCCTCAGGAGGACCTGCCCGACTTTCGGCGCATCTTCCCTCTGCCACTTCCTCTTCCTATCGCCTGCCCTCGTGGTCTCTTTGTCGCGGCCCTCCACTTCGGGCTGCGTCTTGCGTGGAACGAAGCAGACACAGAAGAAGGCGACCCAGATGGAAACGGCACCACAAGGGCCGACGAAAGCCAGAGCCACCAGGAACGCCAGGAAGAAGAGGGAGGTGGTCTTCAGAGAAGGCGACATGATCGAGCTATCAACACCTTTCGGGATGGTGTGGTGGTGCTGTTGTGCGGCTTAGGTGGTGTGATGGGTTGCGGGAACAAGACAACAAACGGCCACTTCCGAAAACCTCTGGTGTCCGTTTCGCCTGTTTTCTGGGCATGCAAGGGTGAAGCTGATTGGCCAGTTGTTCCCAATCCAGTCTCGCTTTTTGGACTTCCGTGTCGACATGAAACGTTTCTGTTGCAGTCTACTGATGGGGCTCGTTACACTGCACCGCCCGAAATGGAATGAAGAAATTTGTTTGCGAAATTGAAAGAAAAATTTGCACCTCTTTCCATTTCGGCGGTACAAAGCCGCTTCTTCTTCACCTTCTCTTGGACGGGGCTCAGATGGCCAGCGTGCCGAGATCTGGCGGGCGGTCCGGCTCGGCGCTGGAGTTGTCGTCGGCTGGAGCGGCCTCCTTCCTGTCGAGCAGGTCGCCCACGTCCTTCTCGAGCTTGTTCTTCTCCTTCCGTTCCTTGTTCGTCAGCGTTCGCTTTTCCCTGCGTAGCCACACGGCCACATATATGTGTCAGGCCCACGACACACGACACGACACACGACACACAGACACGCAGACCACACACATGACACACGCAAACACGACACGACGCGAAGACGAACCGAAGGATGCGGAGCCGCTCTTCGGGCGAGGGCTCGTCGGACTTCTTCTTCTGCTTCTGCTGTTGTTGGGCCGCCTCGGCCTCTCGTCTCTTGCTGTTCTGCTCGTCCTCCTGAGCATCACCGCGCCTCCGCGCTCCGCCGCCTCGTTGGTGGTGGTGCGTGGGCGTGACGTAGTCCCGCCAATCGGCCGATTCTTCCTCCACCTCCACACGTGCACCCGCGCCACCACTATAGTCGCTGTAATCGCTGTAGTCGTTGTAGTCGGTGTAGGCGCCATAGTCAAACTCGGCCTCGGCCTCGGCGTGCTTCTCGTCGTTGTCGTTGTTGTCGTCGTTGAGCTTCTCTTTGTCGCCGGAGACCATTGTGGTGTCGGGTAGGGCGACCTTCTCGCGTTCGTGCGGAGCGAGGAGCAGGAGCAGTTCAACGGCCTGGATGACGTCGCCGTACAGGTCGCGGAGGGTGGCGCGCGCCACGTCGAGGCTGCAATCCGTCGCCGCCATCACCGTCGCCTCGCCCTCGGTAATATTCAGATCACCGCCTCCTCCCGCCTTGGGAGAACCAAACGACGACGCTGACGACGACGTTGGCGACGATGCAGTCGAATAATATGAAGGTGCTGGCGTCGAATATGACGATGACGATGACGAAGAAGATGATGAAGAAGATGATGATGATGATGATGATGATGAAGAGTAACTCGTGCTTGGCTTCCCGTTGGTGGACGTGTGCGCTGACGAAGAGGAAGACGACGACGATGAAGAAGACGAAGAAGAAGAAGAAGCGGAGGCGGTGGTGGTAGCTCGCTTTTGTTGTGCCCACTGGGCCTTCTTGGCCTTGTTCTCCAGCCGCAGTTCCTTTTTCGACTTCTTCTTTGCGGGCACGCCACTGCTTGCCGGGGGCGGCGCTCCGTCTTCCTGCCCCACCACCTTCACCCGCGCCGCCTGAACCCAACCATCCACCCAGCGACTCGTCTGTTAGTACGTGCGTGTACAGTGTGTACAGTGTGCGGTGTGTGCGATGTGCGGTACCTCGAGTTGAACTGAGGGCACGCCGGTGTCGGACTCGCCAATGGGACGCACTTGGGTGAACGGAGAAAAGAAAGTGAGACGGTCGCACACAGCGTACACATGCCACATACGACACACGAACACAAGGCCGAAGAAGGGTAAAGGCGAACACGTACCGCTGGCGTAGTGGTCGCCATCGTGGTAGCTGAGGTGGATGGTCTTGCCACCGGCGAAGTTGACGATCTCCCAGCGGGGCGAGTTGAGCTGGTGGATGGCGATGTTGATCTGGAAGAGCAGAGACATGGCCTGCAGCTCGATGTTGCCACCCCACGTCTTGTCCTGCTTCATGTTGCGCAGATACTGATACACGCATCACCGCACACACACACGCACACACGCACCCCGCCATGGCGTCAGCAGTCAGACACCGCCCACAAGCCAAGCCACGATCGATGTTGGCGACGAACCCTTTCAAACGGAACGTCGTCTGTACGTGTAGAAGAAGTGTTCACAAGAAGTAGTGGCAGAAGAAGAAGAAGGAAATGTGTAGTGGATGAGCAGCGAGTAGCGAGCAGAGAGTAGAGAGTAGAGAGTAGAGAGTAGAGGGGAAGAACAACGCAGCTTGAAGGGCAGTACGTGCCTTCGACAAAGGGCTCGTAGTCGGGTCTGTGCTCCTCGATGTAGCGACACACGGCAGCGCGCACCGAGGCGTAGTTGTTGGGATGCCCGTAGAGCTGGTCCGACACCGCCCTGTTTTCCATGCACCCACTCACGTCAGCGTGCCCTGTCGTGCGCTGCTCCTATGCGCGTGTGCGTGTGCGGCGAGCGCGCACCTGAAGAGGCAGTTGCCTGTTGATGTGTTCACGTGGTAGACGTAAGCACAACGTTATTGTTTGCGAGCAAGGTGGGCAGCAACGCGCTTTGTGAGGGGGGGGATGTAGAGAGACGTGCCATCGCCTGCGATGGATTTGATGCGGAGCTGGAGGGCGCGTAGCTGGTCGCCGAGCTGGCGATACTGGGCCTCCCACCCGGCGTCACCGTACTTGTGCTGCTGCCGTCCATCTCGCCCGTTGCCCTTCCACCCGCCACCACCTCTGCCACCCTTGCCCCCGCCTCCATGACCTCCTCCCTTGCCCTTGCCCATTTTCGTTGTTGATTTCGCACGCAGAAATCAACAAATTAAGAATAATCTGCAGGGGTACAAGGTGCCACGGGGCTAGACGCAGACAAACAAAAGATGAAGCCGCAAGTGCGTGAAGGGCGGGTGTGAATGGAGCATGCAAGAAAGCGAGCAGAAAATACACGAAGAAGGCACTTCAGCGAAAGGGAAAAACAAAACAACGATTTCGTCAACGAGCGGGAGGCCGTTTTCTCCTTACAGGGAAGAGACCAGGTTTCAGGCTGGATCTGGCCACCAACAAGGTTCTGGCGAAGACATCGCACACATTTCCAGGCCACTTGTTTGTTCTCTGTTAGCCTTTCACATCATCACCAGACATGTCTCCTTCCCCCGTTGTGGCCTCCATGGTCTTTTTCCTGGTGTTCTTGCTGGCTCTGGCGTTCCTCGGTCCCTTTGGCGCCCTGCCCATCTGGGTCGCCTTCTCCTGTGTCAACTGCTTTGAACTCGAGTCCGCCCAAGTGGAGAGCGCGGCCCTGGACATCGAGATGGAATCGGGCTGCTCCAAGAACACCCTGATGGTCGCACCCAAGCTGGTCTAAACAACGAGCATCAAACCGAGGACCACGTGTGGTTCACCACATCCACGTGTGTCAACAACAGTGCCAGATAGAGCTTTACAATGATTAAAAAAACAGTGTTGCAGCACAACAAATTGACGTGTATGGCCCGAACCAAAACAGCCAAGTGGCTTACTCAAAGGAGATGGACGCAAGCGAGCAAAAGCGGCTTCATTTGTTTGGGTAGGGGGGCGGCAAAGGTCAGACCACCCCGTTGAGGCAGCTCGCTGTTCACTTCTTCTTGCCCAGACCACCGCCGGTGTTGGCCTAGAGGAGGAAGGGAATGGCCACAATGAGCAACGTCGTTTTGTTTGGTTTCAAAAGAAACGCAGAGAAGAGAGGAAGAGAGGCGACAAACCTTGAAGAACATGATGTCGCCGTCGACGACGGTGTAGTTCTTGCCCTCCTGTCGGTACTTGCCGGCGGCCTTGACGGCGGATTCGCTGCCGTGCTCCTTGAAGTCGGCGTAGGCCATCACCTCCGCGCAGATGAATCCGTTCATGAAGTCCGTGTGGATCACTCCGGCAGCCTGAGGCGCCTTGGTACCTTGCTGCATGCGTTCACACAACACGGAACACACCGCACACACACCACACAGACAAGCGATCACAGATAATGACAATGTTCAGTCAGAAAAAAAACGCTCCAACGAGGTCGAGCACAGAGAGGAACCTGAAGTGCGTACCCTGATGGTCCAGCACCTGACCTCATCGGCACCGCAGGTGAAGAAGTAGATGAGGCGGAGGGCCGAGTAGCCGTTCTTGATGATCTTGGGGATGGCGGGGAGGGCCTTGTGGGGCTCCAGGTAGGCCTTCTGGTCCTCCTCCGGCATCTCGAGCAGCTTGGACTCGAGCGCGCCCGAGAAGGGGATGATGAGCTGGTCCTTCTGCTTGGAGTCGACCCACTGCTTGATCTTGGCCAGCCAGCGGTTCTTCTTGTTGAAGTAGTCGTTCTCGGACATGTTGACGAGGTAGACGACGGGCTTGGCGGTGATGAGCTGCAGCTCGTTGAGCCACTCGATCTCCCGCGCGTTCCAGTCGCCGTACCGGACCTCCTTCTTCTCCTCGCGCAGGTAGTTGAGCAGCCGGCCCACAAACGCCAGCTCGTCCTGCTTGGCCTTGTCCTTGGCCGCGCGCCTCGACTCCTTCTCGGCCTTGTCGTAGTACGCCTCCACCATCTCCACGTCCTTCAATCGCAGCTCCTCCGAGATGATCTCCATGTCCCTGTGCCATGCCGTGCGTGTGTCGATATGAGTGCAAAGGCAAAAATGCAAAAAAAAATGTAAAAATGTAAAACGTGAACCGAGCTCGAGTAGCACGAAGGGGGTACCTGACGGGGTCGAGGGCGCCCTCGACGTGGGTGATGTCGCCGCTCTCAAAGATGCGGACGACGTGGAAGATACCGTCCACGGCGCGGATGTGCGACAGGAAGGCATTGCCAAGACCCTCACCGCTGGCGGCACCCTTCACGAGACCGGCGATATCGGTAATCTGCACAACAACAACAACCAGAAGTGAGCGTTGGGAGATGAGGAGCGCGCGCTACGCGTAGCTTGTTGCTTCATAGCCTCTGAATAATCAAGTGGTGCGAAAGATGCAGGGGGCGGAGAATGAAAGAGCGAAGGCGAATGGAGGCGACGTACCGCAAGACTGGCAGGGACGACGGAAGCGGGCTTGAACACATCAACGAGCCAATCGAAGCGCCTGTCGGGCACGGGCACGCGGGCCTCATTGGGATCGATCCTGAAATCGAGCTAGAGTTTTAGCATGTGGGCAAACATTATCGAATTATCGCAGCCATTCGTGAAAATTCGAGAGTCAATTGCTAAATTAATGAAGATGATCCTGCCGCTGATGATAAAACAATTGAGCTGAGATGCGTACGTGCAGAAGGGGTAGTTCTCAGCAGGGACGGAGAGCTTGGTAAGAGCATTGTAGAGGGTCGACTTGCCCACGTTGGGGAGACCGACGATTCCCATCTTCAAGTTGGCGGTGGGCCGGCCCAGGAGGGGCTTGGGGGTCGCGTCTTCCTTTCCCTTCTTCATCTTCCTCTGCTCGTCTTGCTGGAGATTCGATCACGAAGATGCGACAAGTCACGCCAAGCGCCCTCTGTTTCACCCCCAAACAACTCCGGAAAAGAAGAAGAAAGAAATCAGACAAAGAAAATTTGAAGAAAAACTGTTTGCTGGCAGCAAAAGAGTTCACAAGGAGAGGGAGGGCGTGGCCACTGCAGCCGCGGACACGGGGTGGTTGCTCTTGTGGAGCATCATGAGGGACATCTGGAGGGGGAGATAGATGAGGGAGGCGAAGAACAGCTTTCGGGCCGACGTGGTGTCTCTCCGCGTGTAGAACTTGTGCGCCATCCACAGCAGATACCTGATGATCAAACACCACATGTTTCAATGAGTGAACCGAGCATTCCTTATGCATTCCTGGGCAGTGGCTGATATCGTTCTAATTACCCGTTGCAGAGTGTGGAGTCGATGGCGTAGACCCAGCTCGTCATGCCAGCATAGCTGGAGACAAAGCCCAGAGGAAGCAGCATGGCCGAGAAGACGTAGGAGAGGCTCATCACCCTGCGACCGAACGTTCGGTCAGAGAGAATCGCGCGACTTCTAGAGAAGAAGAAGAAGAGGGGTCACGCGTACGCATCGACGTTGGTGACGGAGAGCATCTTGTAGCCTGCTCGGGCGTAGTCCTCCTTCAGCGGAAACGAGAGCGAAAGGAAGTGGGGGATTTGCCACAGGAACAGGAGCCCTCCTGGAATTCCGAGCAGGCATGCGCGCGTCAGCTGAGCTGATCGTTTTGCCCTCTTGTTGTGGTGGTCGCTAATGGCGCGGCTGTGCGTACCAAGTGCCCACGCGCCCAGGTCGAGCTTTCCCTTCGTGACCGCCACCCAGCCGATCATCGGTGGAATGGCGCCCACCACAGATCCCACCTGCACCACACCCGCACGACACGCAACACACACAACGCCACACAGCACACAGCACACGACGCAGTGAGCACCACGACTAGAAAAGAATTTCATGAATGCAAGCGGAGGAATGCAGACGCGTACCCAGGTGTTGATGGGGTGCATCTGTTTGAGGGGCGTGTAGACGCCGGCGTAGAGCACGATGTTGGCTAGCGCGAGTGCAGCGGCGGTGTTGTCGACGCGCGCCATGAGCAGTGCGGGACCGACGATACCAGTGATCACGCCGAACATCGTCGCATGCGTGCTGCTCATTCGCCCTGCGAAGGAGAAGAGGTCGACCGGATGTATCAGTAACGGTCCACAGGAGGTTCACCGCACCGCACCGCACCGCACGCACGGCACGGCACGCACGGCACGCACGGACACGACACGACCAATGGCCAATGGCCAATGACACGACACGACACGACCAATGACCAATGACACGACACACACCTGACAAAGAGCGAGAGAATGTCGAACGTACCTGAGGGCAAGGGGCGAGTCGAGGTGCGGACCATCCTCAGGTCTAGCTTGGCCTCGATGATGTGATTGAAGGTGTTGGCGGATATCACCGCCAGGCCGGTGCCCAGTGATGTCAGCGCAAACCTGCTCGTCCCGGGTTAGACACCGATGTGATGTGTCAGCGCCGTGTACGTGTGTGTCGTGTGTCGTGTGTCGCGTCGTGTGTCGTGTTCGAGAGAGCGAGCGAGAGAGAGAGAGAGAGAGAGCTCTGTAGTACCGCTTGAGATCGAAGGACGAGAACGGGGCCATGTAATAGCCCGCCATGGTAGTGATGACCACCATTGAGCCGAGCTTGATCTTGCCCAGCTCGGAGTACATGGCCAGCGTCTCCCGGATGCTCTGCAGGAATGACACCCTGCATCCACCACCGCATTAGCCAACGCGATGCACACGTGCGTGTGCGATGGTGTGCGGCGATGCGTGTGCATGTGCGTGTGCGGTGATGCGTGTGCGATGTGTGCACGAAGAACGTGAAGGTGGTGCAGCCGTGCCTCTTGGTGTGGGCGACGGTGTGTGGGAAGGAGGGGAAGATGCAGACACCGGACGCGGCCTCGCCCGGCTGCTCCGCCCTGGACCAGGCGCCGTTCCATCCCCACGACCGTTCGCTCGTGCTGCACCCTTCCACCGCCAATCGCACTGAGACGCAGATGATTGCAACGAACGTAGAAAGTGAGAAAGTTCCGGCATTAACCAAAAGACAATGGCCAAGTCACCACATCAACAAGATGGAGCAAAATCGCAAAAAATCACCATGGAGTATTTAAAAATATGCAGAAATCTGATCGGCGCGAGCGCACCGGGATTGAAAGCCGAACGGCCGAGAGCGTGCACTCCAAGATGTGGAATTGGCAACATTGGAGAGAAGATAATCGGGCTCGCTTAGGTCGCTTTAGGGGTTGACGATCGCCCTCTTCGCCCGTGTCAATTCGTTACGATTACAATCTCCAGCGCTGCAGATTTCTTCGAAGCCAAAGAGAAACAAAAGAAAAAAGGAAAAGAATATTCCTTTCCATGTCTGCCGTCAGCCAGGACAGGACTGTGGAGGCCTCAGAAGGGGAACTTGTGATCGGCGGGGGCATCGCGCAGAGAGTTCTTGCGAGCGACGGTGCAGATGGAGAGGAACGAGCAGGTGTTGGAGGGACTGCAGATGCTGGGCGGCATGAGCGTGGCCTTGGGGATCGGGCTCGTAGAGAAGGTCTCCTGCGCCCAGTACTGCTGATCGTTGGGCTGTGTACGTAGCGCACGGATCAACAGCTGATCCTCACATATATTTGGATCAATGTAGTGTACCTGCTGATCAAGAAGCACAGGGGTGGCATTGTCCACGCTCTGGTACCAGAAGTTCTTCTGAAGACCGTCCTGTTCCCTGTAAAAACACCAGATCAGAGCACAGCGGCGAGGTGAGGTGCAGTGGGCACACAGTCAGGCCAGGCAAGCAACGTACCAGGTGTCGCACTTGGTGTTGTTGATGACGGCAGTGCCCTGGTAGGTGCCATTCACCAACCAATCGCGCTTGACTATGCCACAGCCATTGGCCGCAGTGCAACACATGCAGCACTGAGCACAGGGTTGCGCCGTCGTCGTCAGTCCTGTCGTGGTGGTTCAAGTGGAAGAGAGAGGGTACCTCGTTGAGCTCGGGGAAGTGAAGGTAGCGATAGCCCTGCCACACGTAGTGGCTGCAGGGAGTGTTGGTGAGGGGGTGCACACTGAGCGACAAAAAACACTCCGACCGTTAGCTCATAGTGGCGTCATCATAGCCACATCGAAACACAAGAGTACCTCTCACAGTAACGGTCACCATTTCCATTGGCGCGGTCGGTGCGTGCGGCCTGCTGCGTCGAGTCGTAGTAAAAGTAGCCGGTGGTGTTGGCCTGGAAGATGATCTGGGTGGTCTGTCGAGGATGGAGAAGGTTACTTTCTTACTTCCTTGAACAAGGACAGTGGGGAATGGAGGGAGATCAAAGTACTTCGAAGAAGGCGCTGGACCACACGGCAGGCCACAAGGGGGCGGTCGGCGCAGCCTGGGCGCAGGAGAGAGCAAGGAGAATTGTGGCCACGAAGGCGAAACAGGCAACACCGCGGGCAGTCATCTTCGCACGACCTTGAGCACAGAAAACAACACGAAAGCCACACCCCGGGAAAAGCACTTGTCGTGTAACAGGCCTGTAACCAATCATACCCGGATTTTTCTCGGCACGTCTCTCCCATTTGATTTATTTATTTATTTATTTATTTATCCAAAAGCGTCTTTGAACTTTCGATCGATGGAGGCACCGCACCGAGACGACCCTTCGCTGTCGGAGGAGGAGCGACTAGCGCCCCTGCTGGGCAAGGTACACGACCCTGGACATTTTTCTTTCCTTTATTTGTGAGTATTTATTTATGTGCAATTAATTCAAATAAATAAATGGTAGGTGGAAGCATGTGTGCAGAAGCTGCTGGAGGACCACAAGGACGTGGCTTCCGAGCATGGTCACTGGAAAAAGGTGAAGGAGAAGCGAGGCATCACCGTCCACCTCCGCCACGAGGAGGTCCCGCACCTGCCCGCAACCTTTTTTCTGCCGTTTCTATTTTATTTATATCTTTTTTTTTGGAAGCGCAGGGGAATCCCATCAAGGCGGGCAAGGCGCGTGGGCTCATCCCAGGCAGCCCGAAGCTGCTCCTCCGCATCCTCCAGTCCCTCGACTACTATCCTCGTACTGCTCCACTCCCCCACCACTGGGCGTTGCAGCCTACCACCTAAACCTTGTGTGTGTCGTGTGTCGTGACGGTGTACATGCCGTGCTATTCGTGTCGTGTGTCGTGTGCGTGTCGTGTGCGTGTGCGGCCGCCTGTGCAGAAATCGATCCGCTGTACACCGGCGGGCGTGTGGTGGACAAGTTCGCCGATGGGAAGCACGAGATCATCTACGCCGCCTACTCCTCGGGCTTCAACCTCGTCGTTTCGCCTCGCGACTTCCTCTATCTCGAAGGTTCGCCTCTACAATTCCCCACAAAAGCCTTGGCGCCTTGGCGCAGCAAAGTGGTTGGTCGTTGTCTGCTCACAGTGGCCGCTCTCCACCGAGCTAGGACGGCGCGATTTTGAGGGCGATACGAGGGTGATTGCGTGCATATCAATCGAGAGGGACGATGTGCCGCATGGTACCGCACTACTACTTTGCCTTGATGATCAAGGCCTGATCAGCCGCGACTCTTTTTAAACTTCCCCTCTTCGTTCGGTCGTGATTGCTCAATCAAGTCAAGGGACACGTGCGGGGGCACATATTCGAGTCGGGCTGGGTCATCGCGCCATGCCAGCCGACAGCGGTGCGTCTCCTCGCTCCTCCACGTGGTGATCAGGCACAGAGCAGAAGTGAAGCGTCACTCACCTCGCTTCGCGGCTCTCTCTGACGCCTGTGCTGCTCAGGCGGAGATCAAGGCGGCCGGCCTGGCGGACGTGGAGTCGGATTCCTGGTGCGACTGCCTCTTCTTGGCCCAGGTCGACATCAAGGGCTGGATTCCCACTTGGCTAGGTACCTGGTCCACGTTTTGCCTGCCGCAACACACGCCAACAATCACCCTAACACTGTGCTGACGACCACCTGATCCCAGTGAACCGACTGAGCGGCGAGCTCGGCGATGCGCTCCACAGGCTCCGGAAGTTCATCAAGGAGAAGGGCCACACGGTGGTCTTCGAAGATGACGGCCATCACTCGTGAGGTGTTGTGGGGCCGTACAAGAACGTAAGCCCGCGATCGCCCTCGTGCGCCGATCAGTGCGCAGTCACGCGGTCCCAACTGCTTTCGTCGGTTTACGCGTTGTTGTCGACACAAAAGTTTCAATTATTTCGGCAATTTGGCGTCGACAAATACTTGCTCCCTGCAAAGCGGAGGGACGTTCGTTCTTTCGTCTTTCTCTCACCTCCGGCCGGTGCAGAGCAAAGCAGCTCCTCTCCTTAGCTGAGCTGTGTCCCTTCCCCTCACTACCATCTCTCAAGGCATATACTCCGGAGCTCGGTCTACTCCGCAGCAGCACACACCTCGAGTGCAACACACAGAACACAACACAGAACTCAAGAGAGATGGAGAAGCAGCAGATCAGTGGCAGCAGGGGAGCGACGCTCGTGCTGTCGGACGGGACGCGCTACCGGGGCGTGAGCTTCGGCGCCGAGCGGAGCGTGGGCGGCGAGTGCGTCTTCCAGACGGGCATGGTGGGCTACGTGGAATCGCTCACGGATCCATCGTACCGCGGCCAGCTGCTCGTCTTGTCCTACCCGCTCATCGGCAACTACGGTGCCCCTCCGGAGGATGAGTACGTCCACCTCCTCCCTGACGTGGTTGTTGTTGGAGGATGACGTGTGGCGCGCTTCCCTTTCCGTAGATCATCACCAGCAAGAGAGATGAGATTAAGTGAGATTTTGAATTGGTGCCAAATCTCACGCACAAGATTCTGCCGATTTTTAAGAGTGAATTAAATTGCCTACGATGTGATGGGTCACAGAAGGAAAGGGGAACAGATTCAATCGCAGCGAGTAGCGCATGTAATTTGATTTATTTTCTTGTTTATTTCTTTGTTCTGTGTAGCGCCATCTTCCTCATCTTTCCTCACTGACGAGAACGTTCACGCGCTACGTTTTGCACAACATAGTGTGGACGAGCATGGGCTGTCTCGCTTCATGGAGTCGGACCAGGTGCACATCTCTGCCCTCATCGTGGCCGACTACTCCGCCCACTACAGGTGCCCCCTTGCCTTTCTTCTCTCCTTGTGGAACCCACTTGCTCATTCCGTGTGCGTTGCATTGTGTCGTGTGTGCGTGTGCGTGTGCGTGTGTCGTGCAGCCACTGGAATGCGCAGCAGTCGCTGGGCGATTGGCTGAAGGCGCACAAGGTGCCGGCCATCCACTCGATTGACACCCGAGCGCTGATCAAGAAGATTCGTGAGACGGGCTCCATGCTGGCCAAGATCGTGCTGGACGGCGACGACGAGCAGGCCGTCGAACTCGAGGACCCCAACCAGAGGCACCTCGTCGCCGAGGTCTCGCGCAAGCAGCCGCAGACCTACGGCAGCGGAAGCATCAACGTGGTGGCCGTGGATTGCGGCATGAAGAATAACCAGGTGCGATGCTTCCTCAAGCGCGGCGTCAAGGTCAAGGTCGTGCCGTGGGACTGGCCCCTGCTCGAGGAGAAGGACGCCCACGGCTTCTTCCTCTCCAACGGTACCCAACTGCCAATCTTCATTATGCACCACCAGTTTTTCATCTTGCTGACCATGTGTGTCGTGTGCGTGTCGTGTGCGTGTCGTGTCGTGTCGTGCGATGGTAATGGTTGGTATATGCCAGGTCCTGGCGATCCCACCTTCTGCCAGAAGACCATCGAGAACGTGAGGGCACTCCTGGCGCGCGAGTCGGCGAAGGAGGACCCCATCCCGGTGTTTGGCATCTGCCTGGGCAACCAGATCATGGGCCTCGCCGCCGGTGCCAAGACCTACAAGCTCAAGTTCGGCAACCGGTAATAACTCCACCACCACCACCTCACCTAATGACCCTTTGCTTTGGCTCTGCACCCCGAGCTCACCTTTTCTTATTCATTTCTTCTTCTTTTCTCTCTCGCTTGGCAGTGGCCACAACCAGCCGTGCGTGGACGTCAACACCCAGCGGTGCCACCTGACCTCGCAGAACCACGGATTCGCGATCGACTCGGCCACGCTGCCCGAGGGCTGGCAGGAGCTGTTCTACAACGCCAACGACAAGACCAACGAGGGCATCCAGCACCTCACCCGGCCCTTCTTCAGCTGCCAGTTCCACCCCGAGGCCAAGGGTGGGCCGTGGGACACCGAGTACCTGTTCGACTACTTCCTCGCCAAGATCACCAAGCAGAAGGTCGACCTCCCCATGGCCCGCGCCTCGCCGCCCAAAAACGAGAACGTGCTCAAGGGCAAGCTCCACAAGGTCCTCATCCTCGGCTCCGGCGGTCTCTCCATCGGTACGTCGACGAGCCACATTCATAAACAGTTTTCGTTTTCGTTTTGAAATTGTAATTGTAATTTTTGGTGGCTTGTTGGAATTGCTGCAGGTCAAGCCGGTGAGTTCGACTACAGTGGGTCGCAGGCCATCAAGGCCCTGAAGCAGGAGCACATTCAGACCATCCTCATCAACCCCAACATCGCCACCGTCCAGACTAGCCCCGGCCTGGCCGACAAGGTAACTGGCCACACAGGACACACACGAAACACGACGCTACACACACACGACGCACACTTCTAACAACTGTCCAACCCGCCAGGTCTATTTCCTGCCGGTGACTCCCGAGTTCGTGGTCAAGCTGATCGAATGGGAGCGGCCCGACGGCATCCTCCTCACCTTCGGCGGTCAGACTGCGCTCAACTGCGGTATCGAACTCTACAAGCAGTACGTGCCTCACTTCAGGAATTTGCAGAATGCCTCTGTGTTATGTGGTATACGTGCTCAACATTCCTCGTGTGGCTCGAAAATGACGATGACCACAGGGGCGTGTTTGAGAAGTACAACGTGAGGGTGATGGGTACCCCGCTTGAGGCCATCATCGCCACGGAGGACAGGGAGGTGTTCGCCCAGGAGCTGGTCAAGATCAACGAAAAGATCGCGCCCTCCGTTGCCGCGCGTTCGCTCGACGAGGCCCTGAAGGCCGCCGAAAAGATCGGTAATGACACGACACGACCAACGACACGACACACACTTCGCGCACGGCACTAATGGATACGTTCGGCGGGATTGAACGACAGGTTACCCCGTGGTGGTGCGGGCCGGCTTTGCGCTCGGCGGCTTGGGCTCGGGCTTCGCGAACGACGTCGACGAATTGCGGAAGCTGGCCACGATGGCCTTCGCGCAGTCGGAGCAGGTCCTGGTCGAGAAGTCCCTCAAGGGCTGGAAGGAGATCGAATATGAGGTATTTACTTGACGACATTTTAATATGCTTGTGTGTGTCTGTGTGTGTGTGTGTCTGTGTGTGGTGTGTGGTGCGTGGTGCGTGGTGTGTGGTGCGTGGTGTGTGTGTGGTTCTGTACTAACATGTTTGGAAACTCTCTCTCTCTGTAAAGGTCGTGCGGGATGCGTACGACAACTGCGTGACGGTGTGCAACATGGAGAACTTCGATCCGCTGGGTATCCACACGGGCGAGTCCATTGTGGTTGCGCCCTCGCAGACCCTGTCCGACCAGGACTACTTCATGCTGCGCGACGTGGCCATCCGCGTGGTGCGCCACCTGGGCATCGTGGGCGAGTGCAACATCCAATACGCGCTCAACCCCGACTCGGAGGAGTACTTCATCATCGAGGTAAACGCGCACCAGCCCCTAATGCGTCCTCGCGACAAGCTTCTCAACGTGTGTGGTGTGTGTCGTGCGCCGTTCAGGTGAACGCGCGTCTGTCGCGCAGCAGTGCGTTGGCCAGCAAGGCCACCGGCTACCCGCTGGCCTTCATCGCCGCCAAGCTGGCCCTGGGCGTGCCGCTGCCCTCGCTCCGCAACTCGGTCACCAAGACCACCACCGCCTGCTGGGAGCCCTCGCTCGACTACGTCGTCGTCAAGATGCCCCGCTGGGACCTTCAGAAGTTCCAAAAGGTAAGCGTGGGTCGTGGCATCTATATAAAATTTTATTTCTATTTATTTATATCTTAAAGTATGTTGATATTTATTTATACTGACTTGCGGGATCACCAGGTGGACGGCCAGATTGGCACATCGATGAAGTCTGTGGGCGAGGTGATGGCGATCGGCCGTACGTTCGAGGAGACGATCCAGAAGGCCATTCGCATGGTCAACGGCTCGCAGTGGGACGGCTTCCAGAGCGGCCTCGCGCCCGCGTGCACCGACGCCCTCACCAACCCCTCCTCCAACCGCATCCTCGTCATCGCACAGGCGCTCCACGAAGGTGCGCACCACACACACACACACACACACACACAATAACAATAACAATAACGACTCATCGCTTTGTGTCGGACTGCGAAACCAGGTCTGAGCGTGGAGGAGATTCATCAGCTGACGAAGATCGACCGCTGGTTCCTGCACAAGCTGAAGAGCCTCTCCGACTTCGAGAAGACCCTCCGCCGACTCGACGGCGGGCTCACCTACGACCTGCTCGCCCAGGCCAAGCGTCTGGGCTTCGCCGACAAGCAAATCGCCAAGTTCCTCAACTCCACCGAACTCGTCGTCCGCAAGACGCGCAAGGTGACACACACACACACACACGCACACGCACACACACACACACACGACAACAGCAACAACAACAACGACGACGACGACGACGCATAGGAAACGACACGATATACGACGCAGCGCTAACTGTGTGAAATGTAAACAATTCCAGGAATTCAACATTGTGCCCAGGATCAAGCAGATCGATACGGTGGCTGCCGAATTCCCGGCCTATAACAACTACCTCTACGCCACCTACAACGGTATCGAGGACGACGTTGAGACCCCCGGCAGCGCCGGCGCGGCTGCGGCTGCGGCCGTCGCCCCGGCGGTGGCCCCCACGGGCAAGGCCGACGAGGCCGAGCGGCCCATCATTGTGCTCGGCAGCGGTGCCTACTGCATCGGCAGTTCGGTCGAGTTCGACTACTGCGCTGTGCGGTGCGCGCAGACGCTCAAGAAGCTGGGTGTACGTGTTTCTCCGTGATTTCTCGCTGTTGTGCAACGCAGCGCTAATGTCTGTTGTTGGAACAACCAGAAAACGACGATCATGATCAACTACAACCCGGAGACGGTGTCGACCGACTACGACGAGTGTGACAAGCTCTACTTCGAGGAGCTCTCGTTCGAGCGCGTTGTCGACATCTATGAGAGCGAGCTGGCCGCCGGCGTCGTCGTCTCCATGGGTACGCCTCACACATTCCTACATTCCTGGCTTTTTTAGTTTATTGAATGTCTGAGGAACCATCCTGGAATGTTGCGATGCAGGCGGACAAATTCCGAACAACATGTCGATGGCCCTTGGGCGCCAGGGCGTGCGCATTCTGGGCACGACCCCGGAAATGATCGAGAGCTCGGAGAACCGGTTCAAGTTCTCGCGCATGCTCGACCTCGAGGGCGTCGACCAGCCCAAGTGGAAGGACTGCACCCACCTCGAGGAGACCAAGCGCTTCTGCGCCGAGGTGGGCTACCCGTGCCTGGTCCGGCCGTCGTTCGTGCTCAGCGGCGCCGGCATGACCGTCGTCAACACGCCCACCGAGCTCGAGACCTATCTGAGCCTCGCCAGCGTCATCGACACTGGCAAGGAGCAGCGCGTCGTCATCTCAAAGGTAACACACACACACTACACGCACGACACACACGGCACACACAGCACACACCACAACAACAGTTGGATGCTTATCAATGTGCGTGTGCCGTGCTCAGTTCATCATGAACGCGAAGGAGGTGGACCTGGACGCGGTGGCGCAGGACGGCGAGATCATCGCGCTCGCCATCTCGGAGCACGTCGAGAACGCCGGCGTGCACTCGGGCGACGCGACGCTCATCCTTCCCGCGCAGGACCTCGACCAGGTGACCGTTCGCAAGATCGAGGCCGCCGCGCGCAAGATCGCCAAGCAGCTGCAGGTGTCGGGTCCCTTCAACATGCAGTTCATCGCCAAGGACAACGAGATCAAGGTCATCGAGTGCAACCTGCGCGCGTCCAGGTATGTGTGCATTCCTTGCATTGCTTGGATTCTTTTCTGTTAACTCACCGTGTGTCGCGTGTGCGGTGTGTCGTGTGTCGTGTGTGAAGGTCGTTCCCGTTCGTGTCCAAGACGCTGGGCATCGACTTCATCGAGCTCGCGACGAAGGCCCTGCTCGGCCTCCCGCTCACCCCGCAGCCCCTGCCCAAGGTCAACCACGTGGGCGTCAAGGTCCCTCAGTTCTCGTTCTCGCGGTTGCCGGGCGCCGATCCCGTGATGGGCGTCGAGATGGCCTCCACCGGTGAGGTCGCCTGCTTCGGCAACAACAAATACGAGGTACGCGTTAGTTAGTTCAATGACGATTGGTGTGACAATTAGCTCTATCGGTAGCAACTCACGAACATGATTGTAGGCCTACATGAAGGCGCTGCTGTCGACGGGCTTCAAGCTGCCCAAGAAGAGGAACATCTTCCTCTCGCTGGGTCCCTACAAGGAGAAGCTCGAGTTCCTCGACAGCGCCCAGAAGCTCGTCAACATGGGCTACAACCTGTTCGGCACCGGGTACCAACAGCCTTCTTCGCTTCCAATTCCACTCTCACTGGCGAGAGACTCACACACGCACGCACCACCGCACACGCACGTGACACAGGGGTACGGCCGATTTCCTGAGCGAGCACAGCATCCCGATCAAGGCGCTGAGCTGGGACCAGGAGGCCGAGGAGAGCAACCTCGAGACGCTCTCGGCGCACCTGTCGGCGGCGATGATCGACCTGTGCATCATCCTGCCCTCCAACAACCGCAACCGCCGCCCGGCCTCGTTCATGAGCAAGGGCTACATGGCCCGCCGACTCGCCATCAACTACTCCGTCCCATTGGTACGTTGCAACAACACCTATTCACCTTTCTTTAACGTTTGATTCCTGTTGGTTGGATATATTTGATTGCTGACCAATGTGGGGGGCAATATATAAATATGTTAATATAAATACAGATCACCAACATCAAGTGCGCGAAGCTCTTCATCGAGTGCCTGCGTGTGGTGCCGGCCGATATCCCTATCGGGCTCGTGGACAGCCGCGCCTCGAGCCGTACGGTGATCCTGCCGGGCCTGATCGATGTCCACGTGCACGTGCGCGAGCCTGGCGCGTCGCACAAGGAGGACTGGGACACCTGCACCGCCGCCGCACTCGCCGGTGGTATCACCACGGTACGCGCGACCGCACACGACGCATGCCACACGCGACACGACACGACACAGAACACGGAAATGAACGGTCGAGTGTGTACGTGCTACAGATCTGCGCGATGCCCAACACGAACCCGGAGGTGATCGACGCAGCCTCGATGGATCTGGTGACGGGCATCGCCAAGAGCAAGGCCCGCTGTGACTACGGAATCTACTTTGGCGCCTCGTCCGACAACGCCCACGTCGGACCGCAGTTCGCCAACCAAGCCGTACGCGCGCCCTCTTTCAACCATTTGTTGTAGATGGCACGCGAGCCATCATTAACGATGCCCAACGCAACTCAACAGGTCGCGCTCAAGATGTACCTCAACCAGACCTTCACCCGTCTGCGCTTGGACGACATGAGCACGTGGATGGAGCACTTCACCCATTGGCCCAAGGACCTGCCCATCGTCGTCCACGCTGAAGGTAAGCCCACATTGATTATTCATTTCTATTTATTATTTTTGATAATCATTTCCTTATTGTTCTTCCTATCATTTTATGCCAAGTCTGTGTACTAACCGTGGTATGCTAAAAATGTCAGCGACGACCATGGCGGCGGCCTTGATGGTGGCGACGCTGCACGACCGCGCGCTGCACATCGCCCACGTGTGCCTGAAGGAGGAGCTGGCGGTCATCCGCGCGGCCAAGGAGAAGGGCATCCGCGTGACGTGCGAGGTGTGCCCGCACCACCTCTACCTCGACAAGGAGCACGCCTGCGAGGCCCACCACCTCACCGACGGCCGCCGCGAGGTGCGCCCGCGCCTGGCGACCCAGGTCGACGTCGAGGCCCTGTGGGCCAACATGGACATCATCGACTGCATCGCCACCGACCACGCCCCGCACACCCTGGCCGAGAAGGACGGACCCAACCCGCCGCCCGGCTTCCCCGGCCTTGAGACCGCCCTGCCCCTCATGCTCACCGCCGTCAACCAGGGTACCGCGCACCATGCACATTTGTGTAGACTTGACAGTGTATTAATGTGCACTTCTATATATGTAATAGGACGTATCACGTTGGAAGATGTGATCGCCAAGATGTACACCAACCCCAAGCGCATCTTCAACCTGCCCGATCAGGAGGTATGCAATATATGTACACTGTATAAATATCACGTTAACCAAAGAGTAGCGGTGCGTTGTAGGAGCTGACATTCTTTGAATTTCTGGGTACACAGGACACGTACGTGGTGGTGAACATGGACGACAAGTGGACCGTGCCCAAGGCCATGGCCCACTCTAAGTGCGGCTGGACCCCGTTCGCCGGCATGGAGCTGCAGGGCCGCGTCGTGCGCGTCGTGCTGCGCGGCAAGACCGCCATGCTCGACGGCACCGTCTACTCGCTCCCCGGCGAGGGACGCAACGTATGCGCCGCGGGCGCCGCCCGGCCTCGCCCGGCCGCCGTCTCTGCTGGGCTCTCGGCTACCGCCGCTCCCGTCGTCTCGACCAAGCCCGCCGTCGCCACGCCGTCGCCCGTCGCCCAGCGGCCCCAGATCGCGATCACGCCGCCGGCCATGCGACGCGTGCCGTCGGCTGCCCAACCGGCCCTGGCCGGCGCCGCCGAGCTGCAGCCGCTGGCGCAGGCCCAGCAGCAGCAACCGAAGGCGCTTGCCGAGAGGCGCAACTCGGCGCTGTCGCAGGAGATCTTCACCCACAGCGGCGCCCTGCCTCCGCGCTTCACCGCCAAGCACGTGACGTCGGTCAAGCAGTTCACTCGCGACGACCTCCGTTACCTCTTCTCCGTCGCCCACGACATGCGGTACGCGCGCTGCTCTCTGCGTCTTTTACACGCATTCTCAAAATTCTTCATCTTTTCCTTTCGCATTTTCTCATTTCTATTTCTTCCTTTCTCTGTGCAGGATGATGGTGAAGAAGACAGGATCGTGGGACCTGCTCAAGGGCAAGGTGCTGGCCAACGTGTTCTACGAGCCGTCGACCCGCACCTCGTCGTCGTTCCATGCGGCCATGCTGCGTCTGGGCGGCACGGTGATCTCGGTCAACGAGAGCTCGTCGTCGGTGGCCAAGGGCGAGTCCCTGCCCGACACTATCCGCACCCTCGAGTGCTACTCGGACCTCATCGTGCTCCGCCACCCGCAGGCCGGCGCCGCCCAACTCGCCGCCTCCCACGCGCGCGTGCCCATCATCAACGCCGGCGATGGCATCGGCGAACACCCCACCCAGGTACTTTACCATTCGACACGACACACACGATACACACCCACCGCACACGCACACGTCTGACGCAACACGCAACGCGTGTGTGTGCAGGCTCTGCTCGATGCGTTCACGATTCGTGAGGAGCTGGGCACGATCAACGGGCTGCGCATCACGATGGTGGGCGACCTCAAGAACGGCCGCACCGTGCACTCGCTCGTGCACCTCCTCTCGCTCTACAGCATCGCCCAGCTCAACTACGTCTCGCCCGAGTCCCTCAAGATGCCCTCCGCCATCCTCGACGAGCTCGACAAGAAGGTTCGCTCCAACAACGAAACAACACGACACACACACACACAACGTACACACACAACAAATGTGAAATCTGATCGTGTTACGTCGTGTGTCGTGCGCGTTGTGTCTCGAGCAGGGCATTCCGCAGAGGGAGTGCAGGTCGCTGGAGGAGGCGCTGCCCCACACCGACGTGCTCTACGTGACGCGCATCCAAAAGGAGCGATTCGCCAGCGAGGAGGAGTACCTCGCCGTCAAGGGTACACCCCACACACAACATACCAGCGTGCCCACCAACATTCCGCTGCGGCTCACCGAAAACGATTGGTTTTGCCCTTCATCGCGCAGGCACGTACGTGGTCACACCCGAGATGCTGTCGCACGCCAAGAGCAACATGGTCGTCATGCACCCCCTCCCGCGCGTCGACGAAATCAGCCCCGAGATCGACAGGTGCGCGCCTCTCCCTCTGTTGTTGACGACGATGAAGATGACGATGACTCTTTTTATACTCACCTTGCCTCATCTTCGCATCTCTGCAGCGATCCCCGCGCGGCGTACTTCCGACAGATGGAGAACGGGATGTACATTCGCATGGCCCTCCTTGCCACCATCCTCAACTCCAACTTCTCTTCCTAATCCTACTCGAGTACACCCCCAAACAAAACAAAACAAACAAAACAAACCACAATGGTGGAATAAATCCTTTTTTTTCCAGCTTCGTGTGGGTTGCATCAAGGTAGAACGCGATGCTGAGACAACGTGCTGAGAGGAATTTGATGAGTGTGGTGAGAGCACGTGTGGCTTTCTAGAGCAGGAGACCGGCGGCGTTGGCGAGCGGGTCGGCGCCCACCTGCTCGGCGGCGGCCATGGCCGGGTGGGCAGCGGGCTCGCTGCTGGGCTGCGCCACATGCTTCTTGGGGATCGAGTAGTAGGAGTGCTCCTTCAACCACCTACCCACAACACATATGCGGACGTGGTTGATGATTGAGAAAGAGGCCCCTTTGGCCATTAGAAGAAGAGAAAGAGCAGAGAGCAGAGAACGAACCTGTAGAGGTCGTCGGCCTCGCGGGTCAGCCAGTAGCCGAGGGGCGAGGCGGGCTTCTTTTCGGAGCTGCGGCATCCCTTGTAGAGGGCTATGGTCGGGTAGCCCGACACCACGCCCATCGGACACTCGTTTTCTGCACCGCGGTCGAGTTGGTGATGATGTGAGGTCTTAAGGAGTGATGTTGACCTTTAATTTTTTCACTAAACATGCATGACAACGTACCGGAACAGTCGATCTTGGCGACGATCAGGGAAGAGACGTGGCTCACCATGTCCAGCAGCTTGGGCATCTCCACGTCCAGGAACTCCCTGACCATGACCACCACCTGTCGTTGGCCCCATAGGAAAACGCCATCATGTTCATTGGGGTAGCGCACGTACTTGGAGTAGGGGCACGAGGGACCGTAGAAGAGGACGATCACGTCCTTGGACCACTCCTGCGTCACCTGCTTGAAGTTGTCTGTGTTGAGGGTGTACAGCGTTCCCGGCTTGTTCTCCTATTGTTGTTGTTGTCGTTATCGTTGTAGCCGTGGTGATGTCAGGTTCTCCACTGACAACAAGTCTGGTGGTCGGAGGCAGAGCGCACCACGGCACCTCCGGTGCGGCGGTAGGGCTTGAGCCGGCCGTCCTCCCACTTGCTCAGCCACTCCTTGAGCGCCGCCAGGCTGAGCTCACCGTCGAACTTGTACCTGTCATGATATTATTATAAATATTATTTCGTTGTTTCGGGGCAGTGTTGCATGGCAGATCAATAATGAGACATGTAACCGTGGCGGGCAAGGCGTGTAGGTACGAGGTGGCCAGGTCTTGGAGGACAACTAAGGGCAGGGGGATCTGCAGGGTGGTGGGGTTGTGGAACTTGACGTGCAGCTCGGGGAAGTGGCCAACGTGGCCCACGGCATAGCTGAAGGACTTGTTGCGCCCCCGGGCGTCGGCAATGGCGTCCCACCGGCGCAGGAAGTAGTTCTCCCACGTATGCTCCTCGTCGAGGGTCATATTGATCAGGGCGTAGAGCAGGGTGCTATTGTGGGTTTGGTGGAGGCTCTGTGTGTTGTGTTGTTTGGGCCAGATGTGATAACAATGAGCTCCCATTGGTCCGTCAACTGGGCACTATAGTGGGACGTGCGTACGGTCATGATCCCCACCTCGGCCATGGGGTACTTGGCTCGGTTGGTGCTGATATGGGTCGCCAGGGCCTCTGTGTAACGCAATATGATGTCACCTTCGGCTACTCATGCATAAGTCAAAGTGGCATTAGCGCACCGGCGTTGAATTCATCGACTTCGTAGGGCACCACACTGTCGCCGCCGTCGGTAATGATGAAGAGAGCGGGGGTCTTCTTGACCTTGAACATCTTCTTCAGCTGTGGGCTGGTACTGCGGCCCACCGTCAGGCCGTGCTCGGCCATGGGCACTTGCGAGATGAACTGCAGGAACACGTGTCGTAATGCTGTTGGTGGGACGAAACAAGAACAACCATCATGAAGAACATCATTAGCATTGTGCTGCTACGCACGTCGGTGAGCATGGAGGTGAGCTCCTTGTCGCCCGGCGTGGAGAATCCAAGCAGCACCACCTGGTTTCTGTTGAGAGACAAGTGAGGAGTTTGCGACTACGTGGGCCAAGTTGGAAGAAGCAAGAAGAAGGCAGTACTGTACCGGCGGAGGATGAGATCGAGGTTGTGTTCATTGACGTCGGTGATGGAGAGTCGCCTCTTGGCCTTGCCCTCCCTCGACACCTTGGTTGGATTGCCGCGCGCGTCGAACACTACATCTTCCTTTCTCCTGGCTGCTTCGGCAGATTCGAGGCAGGCCAACACAACGACAGCTACCGCCAAGAGAACCAGAAGCGTCATGTGCGTCTTCATCTTCATGTTCAGCGGCTGCTGGTTCAAGTGCAGCCCTGGGGGTTACGTCACAGGACTGTCGCTTTTAGGTAGAAAAGAAATAGAACAAGAATTGTGCGGGAAGAGAGGAAAATCAGAAAACGCGGGAGTTTGAGATTATTCAATTTGCAACGTTGGGACCCAAATGCCCGATGGCAGGGCGTGGTTTGAGATGTGCACGATGCGGGAGCTACAACCTGACGCAAGATGAAGAGGGCTTTTACGTTTGTGATGAATGTTACACACAATCGCAGGTATTTTTTTCCCAATTAGATGCATTCGTCAGTACTCGGGCTCTGGCACTGAATCAATTTTGTGATGGTGCAGGACTACGTGCAACAAGAGCTGGACTCATATGACACCTACACCAACTCCGTACGAAGGAGGGTCACCGTACACGGCACGGAAGAGGGAGACGCACGCCCAGCAAAACGCCCGTTGATTGTCCCCACCCGTGCGTAGCTGCCACGCCACCTGGTTGTGCTGAGGTGCTACACGTCGCTTAACACTCACATGCAATCTATGTATATGTATATGTATATGTATATGTCTCTACGTAGAGAAAGAGGAGCAGGAGGTAAGACTCGAAGACGCCTACCCAGGAGCCGAGGGCACGTACCTCGACTACTTCCAAGACCTGCTACTTCGCCAGGTACGTAGAAGACGAAGAAGACCCCTAGAAGTCGAGAAGCGTACGACGACGGCTGATGCTGATGATGATGATGGTGATGGCATGCTACGCGACCAAGGTGGAGGCGCTGGTATCCGAGTGCGGCGTCAGTCCGCTGTTGCCGGGCGTGGTGCGCAAGCTGTGGTTCCGCTACCTCACCACGCGCGAGGGCCAGGTCGCCAACAACGAAGCCTATCGAAGCCGGCTCGCCAACCGCAGTTCGACACCCCATCACCACCTTTGTCGTGCGCTATACTCGACTAACTTGCGTTTGTCTGGCGTGCGTGCGGTGCGTGCGGTGCGTGGCCCTCTGGCTCTTACTTTTTAGCGGCCAAGGCGAAGGCGAAGAGGAAGAAGGGGGTGGAGGGGGTGGAGGCGGAACCCAGCCAGGGTGATGCGGTGACGGAGCAGGACCTGGAGCAGAGCAAGACGTGGCTCGACGAGATGGGCCTCACCTCGCTCCTCTCCCCGTCGCCCTCCCAGCAAGACGAGAACGCGTGGCTCGTCGGCCAGGACAACGACGACGACGACAACAACAACGACAAAGGTCTGCAGAAGGAGGAGGAGAAGCCCGCGAAACCGGGGCGGAAGCGGAAACGCGAAGGCGACGGTGATTACGAGCCCGACGAGAAGAAGGAGAGACGACGTAAGGAGGGGACGAAATCCATGCAATCGCACGTACGTGACACACACACACACACACACAACACGTGTTTGGCTAACACGGACAACCCAACGCGCGTGTGTCGTGATGGTTGGCGCGTCGTCGATGACATGTCCAACAGGTTAAGCGGGCAAGGCTAGAAAACGGCGAAGAGGAGGATGAGGAAGAAGGCAAGGCGAACAAGAAGAAACCGAAGACGGCCGGCGAGTGGAAGCGCACCATCGAGACCGCAGACGCGCTGCCGCAGGTGACCGCCACGCTGACCTTCAACTATGTGGCCTGCAACATCCTCCAGGAACCCGTCGTCGCCCACGACTTGATTCGGTGAGGTTGCCACGCGTCATGCGCGTACCACATGACACGCACGACCTGACATGCACGACACACAGCGCACGGCGTAGACTGACGTAAGACTTGCGCAGGTGGGTTCGAAGCGGGCGTCTGCCGTACGAGGAGGTCTACAGCCTGAAGGACTTCAAGGACGCTCAGTCCTTTGAAGTGCGACCCCTGGTACCAGCCCTATCTCTTTCGTTCTTTTTAACGTTTCTCTGACCGTGCTCGGATGATGGCCTCAGCACCCAGTCACGCAGGACAAGCTGGAGTACCAGGCCTACAATCTCATCAACTACTTCGGCATCGAGCAGGAGGTACCATCATACCACGCTCTCTGTCCATTGCGTACACCCCCGTGTAACCACGACACGACACCCAACACGCGATCCGCGACGCCTTTGCGCGACGGTGCAGGCACCACCTCCCTTCTATCCCACGCTCTGTCGGTTCGTCGAGGAGCTGCACCTGCCGCCGTCCCTCGGCCTCTTCATCCACCACATCTTCCAGCGTACGTTGCCCTCTGCTTTATCTATGCTTGAATCATAGAGAGCCGCTCACAAACGGCCAACCATATCAAGTCGCGAGTGAGAAGAAAGAGGAGAGGGTCATGAAGTTGCTCTACGGCCGATCAAACGGTATGTAAACAAAATAGAGGAATATGTTTGGAACATTAACATACGCTTGGTTCGACATGCCGCTACATTATTACATGCTCAAGCTTGACGCACGCATCACTCACAGATGGGCCGCACTACATGGAGCGCGCGCTGGGGGCGATCCTGGTTGCGCTCAAGCTGGTCTACGGCAGCGGCGACGAGCCGGCCCATCCGCACGACCAGTACCGGGCGTTCGTCTTCCGCCAGAGCACCGCCACGCGCGGCCGGCCACGCACGAGAGGCCCCGCTGCTGCCGTGGACCCGTGGTACGCCCTGCCGGGCCCGGCCGCCGGCACGCTGCTCAACGAGATGCCGCCCTTCGACGCGTGGAAGCACCGCATGCGCAACCTCGTCTTCGGGCCTCTTCCGCGCGGCCAGATTCCCTACTTCCCCAGGTGAGCGTCACAGCCTCGTCGTCTATCGCCGTCTTCATCGTCATCACGATCTCACACAGGTGTGTGCGGTGGCGCGTGCGTGTGCGTGCGTGCGTGCGGTGGCGCGTGTGTGCGTGTGTGCGTGTGTGCGTGTAGTGATTTCTGGCGGATGGGGCCGCATAACCTGAAAGACTACGTCGCCTACACCCAGGCCCTCTGGGGACTCGAGCCGCCAACACGTGCGTGTGCCTCACATTCCATTGCTCACATATTCCAACATATATTGATCTATGCACATATCAAACATTTATTGATCTCTCACACGCTCTGCTCTCTTTCGACCTGCCCACCGCCGTCTAGATCTGAAGCCCGTGGTGCAGCAGCTGCAGGCCAGCTACGCGGACCGCGAAGAGAAGGCCGAAGACGACGACAAGGAGGAGGAGGAGGAGGAAGGCGAGACCGCGCAACGCCCCAGCCATCGACGATCGCCCTCCGCCGGCACCGGCGCCGAAGAGCCGTCAACGGCCAGTCAGGCTGCGCAGCCCTCGCCCACCCCGCCCGTGCTGCCGGCCAGCGAGTATGTGACCTACTACTCCGGTGCGGCCACCACCACCACACGCGCGACACGGCCTTGCCAGCTGTTGAGTGACCAGTACGCTTGGGGGGGGGAGGCGTACAGGGATTGTGCGCACCACCGAGGACTGGCAGCGCGCCGGCCTCCACCCCAACTACCGCACCATCGTGGAGCTGGTGGCTGCCTTCTACGAACAGTACGTTAAACATACAGGCACTCTACGACTCACGCCCCAGGAAGAAGTCCCTCCCACCTGTGTTGCCAATTCTCACACACGACACACACACGACACACACACGACACACACACGACACACACACGACACGCCGCCCAACAACAGGCGACCGCACAATCTGCACAATGTGGCGGTCACCCTCGAGGGCGTCATGGGCCTGCGCGCGAAAAAAAGAAGATAAAGAACGAAGGCCAAAGCACTCAGTCGCGTGTATAGGGGTGGTCAAGCAGGCAAGTGGCGGGCGGTGGTGGTGAGGGGGGGAGATCCAATTAGGCGGAGGGGCGGGATCTCAGGAGCACGGGGAAGGACACGTCGAGGGAGATGCCCTCGATGCCGGCCGTCAGCCTCTGGCCGGGCTTCACCGGACCCACGCCGGACGGAGTGCCTAAGTACGCCGCACGCCACGAATGAGTGAGTGCTGTGTGTGCCGTGTGGCATGACTCGACGTCGCAGCGTACCGGTGAGGATGAGGTCGCCCTCCTCCAGGGTCATGATGCTGCTGATGTGCGACACCAGGAAAGGAATCCTGGAAAACAAACACACATGACACAACACACACGTCAGCGCGAGCAACAGCACAATGGGGGGGACAGCGCGTGTACGAGAAGATCATGTCCTTGGTGGACCCGTTCTGGCGGAGCTCGTCGTCGACCTTGAGCCAGAGGGTGGTGTCCTCGGGGTGGGGCAGCTCCTCCTTGGCGATGAAGCGGGACACCGGGCAGAACGTGTCGTAGCCCTTGGCCACGGACCAGGGCAGGCCCTTGTTCTTGGCCTCGTTCTGGAGACCGCGGGCGGTCATATCGATGGCCAGCGCATAGCCTGCGCACATACGACACGCGACACACGACACACACACACACACACACACGACACGACACGACACGACACGACACGACATACACCACACACACGACACACACTCGACACACATACACGACACACATACACGACACACACACAGCGATCAGCGCCGCCCATAGAGGAGGAAGTGGTCTCGCGCGAGAGATGCGGCGGGCGCACCTCCGATGTGGTCCATGGCGGCGGCCTCTGGGATGTCACGGCCTCGCTTACCGATCACCAGGCCCAGCTCGACTGCCACAAACGACAAACGCCGTGCGTGCCGAAGATGTTGAGTTGACACACTGTGAGTCGGGTAGAGTAGTGGCCGTGGTGGTGTGGTACCCTCGTGGTGGGAGTCGTCCGCGGCGGCGGCGGGCAGCTCGACGGGGCTTCCGTGCGTCACCAGCGACGACGGCGGCTTGAGGAAGAGCACCGGCGTCTAACCGATAATAAGTACACCAAAAAAGTTGTTTGTTTATGTTTACAATTATTTTCTTGTTTATTATTATTGTGGTTCGTACCTGCGGCACGGCGTTGCCGAGCTCCTTGGCGTGCTCCGCGTAGTTGCTGGAGGAGTGGGGACATGACATGATGTCTTCTATTAGATATTCCATTGCGAATTGTTATGAATACACGCCAAGGTGCATGCAAGCCGTACCGGCCAACGCATACGACCTTGCGGCACCACTGGTGGAAGCTTGCCAATCCTCGCTGCTGCATTCTGCGACTACAAAGATTATCTCAACTGTTTTGTAAATCTTTTCAAAATATTGCTAATTTTGCTTGCGTCAATCTCTGATTTATGAGTGGTTGGCGGAATTTGTGGCAAATTAATGAGTTTATCGTAAAAGCACGACCCGCAGGAGCTCCACAAACCCGCCTTTGTGCTACAACAATCCACATCTCTCCAGATTGTGGATCGCAACTGCCAAAGGAGAGAGAAAGATGAAGTTGGTGACGTTCCTGCTGTGGGGTTTGATTGCCATCTTGGTGTTCCCCATCTCGTGTTTCTGCGCCTTCCTCTGGATTCTCTTCTCCTGCTGCTCGCCCTGCTTCTCCGAATGCGGTGCCGTACTTGAAGCCATGTGGAAGGGTACCCACTCCCCTGTGACCTGTTGTATCCTTGTTTTGTGGGAAGATTATAAAAAAGAAATTGATCATGAAGACTGATTATGATGAATGAGTTGTTATTAATAATTTGTATTGTTTCATCAATCCAGGAACCACGCTGGTGCAGTACTGCTGCATTAAGGCCATGGGCGGTGAACCCGGAGGAGCCAACAAGGGTGGCGGCGGCGGCGGTCACTAGAGAGCGAAGGAGAAGGAGACCAACAACTACGCCCAGCCAAGAAGAAGATGAAGATGAAGAAGATGAAGGTGCAAAACACGAGGCGACTAGAAAAACAGGTGTACAAAAACAAGGGCTCGACGCACTCACACGAGCGGCCTGATGTCAACGTTGACATCACATTACGAGCGGGGTGCTGGGGACTTGGTCTTGGCTGTGGGGCTTTAGACGACGCTGGGCGTGGAGGCGTCGATGACCTTGTCGAAGATGTCGAAGAGGTTGCCCGAGATGAAGTTGTTGTCGACGATGTTGACGAGGAAGTAGGTGTCGTGGATCTCCTTGATCAGCTCACGCGAGACCGAGCCCTCCTCGTAGGCATTGCCCCACTGCGTCTCCCACAGCGTGAAGGCCTCGTCCTTCCACACGAGGAACGCCGCAGCATCCACCACCGTGGGCTGAACCACCTCCTAATCGACGTTCATCCAAACGACGCGACGAACAAGTCACGTGCATTAGATATGTTGATGTGTGGATGTGTTGGATGTGTTGATGTGTTGATAGGTTTAAAGTCGGCCGGAGAGATGTAAGAAGAAGAGGGTACCTTGCCGGGGAAGACGCCCCATGTGACGGCGGCGGTGCCCTTGGTGTTGGCGACGGACTCACCCTTGACGTTGACGACGTGGTAGGAGAGGGTGGGGAAGTTGACCATCTGGGCCAGCAGCTTGTCCTTGTTCTCCGGCGAGCAGAAGAACTCGAGGTACTCCTTCTGGTACACATAGCCTGCACCACGACACACACACGACACACACACGACACACACTAATCAGCAGCTGAACACATCCAAGCCTGGAGCGTAGAAAATGTGCGGAAGTCGTCAGAAGAAGAACGCACCACCAGGGCCGCCCCAACCGAAGAGCTTGTCGGACGAGTCGGCGGCGTTGACGCGCGGCTGGGAGTTGATGGTGAGGAAGCCGGCGCGGTTGATCTTCATGAGCTGCTGCTGGATGACCGACGTCTCGGCCGCGATGGCGGTGTCGACCCAGGGCAGGCGGGTGACCTTGCCCTCGCAGTGGCCCACGAACACGTTGATGATGTCCTCCACCTTTTCGGGCGCCACGCCCCACTGCTTGCTGTAGTTGCTCCTCGGCGGCGCCATCGAGCCCAAGTGCCAGTCCTTCAGCTCGCCGAACGCCGGCGACCGCGAGTCGCCCCATCGGCCGTTGGGGAAATCGTCCCACGACGCCGTACTGTTGTTCATTGGAGGGGGCCGGCCGCTCAGCTCAGCTCAGCGATTGGAGTGGAGTGGAGTGGAGTGGAGTGGAGTGGAGTGGAGTGGAGCTGACGACGTACCGAGACATGTACGATCGGGGTCGGTTGGCCCAGAAGATGGGGCGCACGTCCTCCTTCTCCTTCCGGTTGGTGTAGGCAGACTACGCGTGTGTGTCGACAAAAGAGGAAAAAGAACGAATGAGCTCGCGGTAAAGCGAACGCGAAAGCGAAGAGCGAGAGAGCGCGTACGGAACGCCAGGGGAGGGCGCGGGAGGGGCGAGAAGCGGCGATGAGGTCGAGGTCCTCGAGGATCTGGGTGACGGCCTTCTCGAGGTTGAGCGTGTAGAAGTGAACGCCGGGCGTGCCGGCAGCCAGCAGGTCGCGGCACATCTGCACGCACAGGTCCACGCCGTACTTCTTCACCGCCGAGTCGTCGTCCTGGATGGGCTCGAGGGCCTGCACACGCACAACCACATCACGAACCAACCACGAACCAATCGAGAAAAGTCAGCGAACGCTCACACTCTTTTCGTTTCTTCACTAGAGGCAGTCGTGTGCCGTGCGGCGTACCTTGTTGATGTGCTCGGGGATGAAGGTCTTACAAAGGCTGGTCATGCGCCTGAATCCGCCGTAGGTCTGGATGGGCATCATACCGGGGATGATGGGACAGTTGATGCCGAGGGCACGACAGTCGTTGACAAACTTGAGGAAGAGCGAGGTGTCGTAGAAGAGCTGCGTGATGATGAAATCGGCACCGGCGTCGATCTTGGCCTTCAGGTGCTCCAGGTCCTTGTCGCGGCTCTCCGAGTCGAGGTGCATCTCGGGGTAGCCTGTCGGTAGGCTGTCCGTGAGCAAAGAAAGAAAAAGAAAGAAAAAGAAAGAAAGAAGCTGGAGGCGCCGAGACGACAACGCACCGGCAACGCAGATGCCGAAGAAGTCGCCGTACTCGGCCCGGATGTAGCGCACCAGGTCGGCCGCGTGGGCAAAGCCTCCCTCGACTGGACAGCAGCACGTGCATTAGTTCCGGGCCAGCTTGAAGCGGTCAAAACGCCAACGCACATAAACAATAACAAATAAATAATAATAATAATAATAATACAAATAATAATTGGACTTTTGGCTTTCGGAGCCGTACCCTTCTTCCACTCTTCGCCTCGGGGAGGGTCTGCCGGCAAAACGAGAGAAAATTAGACCGGGAAGGGCCAAGCTGCTTGTCGGGGGGAAGAGAGTACCGCCGCGGAGGGCAAGGATGTTCTGGATGCCGGCGGCCTTGGCTTGGCGGAGGGCGTCGTCGATCTCGGCACGCGGCATGTTGGTGCAGGTGAGATGCATCATGGTCTCCAGGCCGCAATACTTCTGGGCGGTGGCGCAAATCTCCAGAGTCTTCTGTGCCGTGCTGCCGCCGGCACCCCACGTCACATCAATCCACTCCGGCTCGAACGAGGCCATGCGATCGAGTCGCTCGAACAAGTTGATCACGCCTTGTGCATGGGAATGGAATGGAATGAAATTAATGTGAGCATACAATTAATGCCGCTACTCGAGATTAATGTGATTTCATATAACAAAGCGAGCAAGCCGTTGAGTGTATGCTCCCACATCAAGGCGTTGCTGAATTGGAACTTGCAACGTCAAGGAAGCGGCTTTACCTTCATCGGTCTTGGGCGGGAAGTACTCGAAGGAGAACATGGTGCGCTTCTCCTCGATGGCGGCGTTGATCTTATCAATAATCTTCATCTTGTACAGAGCTCAAAGGAGGGTTGATCGTGAGTGGGGTTTGCGAGCGAACAATCGCGTACTACGCTGGCTTCGGCAAATGCACTAAATCCTTGCGGGCCACTTTTCCTTCTGGCTTTCCGTTTCTCGCTCCATTCCGGCCTCGACCATTTTTTGCTCACTTTCCGCCGTTTTTATTTCCGGTAATAAAGTATAAATAATAAATAATAAACAGCAAAGAAGAGAAAACTATGTATTGGTGTGTTGTGTGCGTTGTTATCTACATAATGCAACAGGAAGAGGGGAAGGAGGAAGAGGAAGATAAGAGGCGCCCGCGTTTGTACATGGGAAGAAAATCAGCGCAGGAGGACTGAAAAGTGGACCACCGCGAGAGGCGCCGACTACGGGAAGACGCCCTCGTCCTCCTCGCCGTCCGAGATGTCGCTGTAGGAACTGATGTCCTCGCTCATGTCGCTCTCGGACTTGGCCTCCAGGGCCTCCTCCGTCGCGTACTTCTTCACGTACTCTGCGCTCGCGAGACAAGTGGCCCACACCACGGTGATCGTGAGTCTCAGCACGCAACGCCAACTACTACTTCTACAACTACCACTACAGCATCTTGCAGAGGCCTAGATGATGGCACGAACCTTTGACGGTGGACTTGTAGCGCTCGGGATCGCGGAGCAGGAGGGCGGCGGCCTCGCCGTTGAGAGGGTCGCTCGGGTTGGGGTAGAGCAGCAGCTGCGGGAGGAACACTTCGAATATGTTGATGAGATCTGCGCCGCAAGGGTAGAACAGTTAAAACCAGTCAGGTCAGGTCAGGTCAGGTCGAGCCAACAGCTATAGTCGCGCGCCGCGCCAAGACTTGCCACAGCAGTTTCGCCGACTTTAAAGCGCACCAAAGGTGGTGGAATGGTGTGTTGATGAGGTGGATTGGTGGAGGAGAGGAGGGGCACGAACCGAACATGGGGCTCCAGGTCTGGTTGATGACGTCGAGGCACACCGACCCCGACCTGTAAATATATACAGTCAGCAAACTGCCACCAACGAGTCTGCTGCGGCGCGAGGCGTCGCGTTTGTGTGCTTCAGGCGGTGGTGGGTGGGAGAAGGGTGCGCACGCTTCGTCCACGTTGGGGTGGTAGATCTTGTTGTCGAATCCAATGGAGGGCGACTTGTAGGGGTAGGCCTGCGGCAGCTCTACCCGCACACGCCATATGCCGCCTTCATACGGACCTGCATTGCGCGGAGAAAGAGAGAGAGATGCAAAGTACAAGATGAGAAGTGAGTAGGAGCTGCCTGGCATCTTCCAAGAACTTTTGTGCCACGTCAGCAAAGTAGCCTGCGCAGCACAGGATGGATCGACGTACTCTCCTTGGGTCCGTTGAACTTGACGTTGAACTCGGTCATGCAGTCGCCTGGCATGGTTACTTCGTACTCGCTCATCATGCTTCACATTGCTCGAGAGGATCAGGATATAATGCAGATGCACTTTAATGAGGAAGTAGAGGGGGGGACGTACAGCTTCATAACATCAGTTTCCTTGCGCCTGTTGGGGGACGACATCTTCGTTGGCTTGCTGGGGGTGGGCGGTTTTTACAGAATGTACAGCGGGAAGCTTGGGTTCGTGAGTTGTGTGGTGCTTGTGTGAAGTTGCGGTCAATAAGATCAATGAGATGCTTGCTTGCGGTTGATTGATGAGAAAAGGGTGCGGGTCTCCACACAAGTAAGGTACGGCAGGCGAAACAACTGATCAAAACAACCGCTTCCCGCAAACCACCAGCCCCCACAAGAAGCAAAGCTGGAAATTTCATGTCGTCGATTTTCAAAGCAAAGGAAGAAAATGTGGAGAAATTCTGGATGCATTGGGCCAATAGGACACTTTATACAACCGAGTAGAGAAAATCGCCATAAGTGTAGTCGATCACCGAGGTTGATTATTTATCTTCCCGCCATGGCACAGCACGCCGGCGTGGGCGAGCAATGGGACCTGGCCGGCAAGGTTGCGGTCGTCACGGGTGGTTCTTCAGGTACCACTGCTCTGCCCCCTTTTCAACCAGGTGGGGAGGCGTTCCCAACGCGTGCCTGACGACACGCCTCGTGGGCCAGGCATCGGTAAGGCGGTGGCAGAGGCGCTGGTGCAGGAGGGCGCACGCGTCGTGGTGGCCGACCTGCAGGAACCCACCTCGCCCGAGCTCAAGTCCAGCGCCATCGTCTTCTCCAAGTGCGACGTCACTCGCGCTGAAGGTACGAAAAGGAGTTGAGCTGTGGGGGCTTGCCCGACGGTGGGACTGACGCGTCCGCACCACCACCACCGCCACGGCAGACATTGCGGCGGCGATCGCCACAGCCAAGAAGAAGTGGGGCAGGTTCGACATCATGGTCAACAACGCTGGTACCTCTTACTCGTGCTCGTTCCATAGTCGTAGCATCGACTGAGCCGTGCCTTCTCTGTACTGTGCTTGTGCGTGTGTCGCGTCCCCACAGGCATTTCGGGCGGCCTGGGCTTCGCATTCCCTTTCCAGCAGTCCGCAGCCGTGTGGCGCAAGTGCGTGGCCGTTCCCACCATGAGCGTCAGCCCGCACACCACATCACAGAGCTAATTGCGTCTATTCACTGGGTGCACACACAGGGTGGTGGACATCAACTTGACCGCTGTGATTGGTACCTTCGCGCTCACAATCATGTCTGGATGTCGCAAGTGCAACCAACCACGTGTGTCGTGTGTGTCGTGTGTGTTGTGTCGTGTGTGCTTTGTTGCACGTGTGCTAGAGGGCACCCAGCAAGCCATTTGCGCCATGGCGGACAACGAGAAGGGCGGTGTGGTAATCAACGTATCGTCGATGGGCGGCCTCTTGCCCATGCCCCAGTCCCCCGTGTACGCCGCCGCCAAGGCCGGCGTGGTGAACTTCACCCGCTCCCTGGCCGCTTTCGGCAAGTCCAACGGCATCCGCGTCAACGCCATCTGGTGCCGTCATCCATCTCTTTTTCCTGGTTACGTTCTCCGCGCGCGTGACTGACGCACGACACACGCAACACGACACACGACACACAACACGCAACACGCACCAGCCCGACGTTCACTGATACGCCGCTCGTGCGCGAGAGCCCCGACGAAGTGGTGGAGGGCCTCAAGCGGGCCATTGGGGGCAGTCTGCTGACGCCGCCGGAGGTGGCGCGGGGCGTGGTGGAGCTGGCGACCGACCCCGGGCTTGCTGGCGCTGTCATGCGGGTAACGGTGCGCGGTGGCCGTGACCTGTGGCAGCCCTCGACGGCTCCCTCGCCCAAGTCAGCGAAGTCTCACGTGGCTGCCCGTCTGTGATCTCCCATTGGCCAGATTTTAAATCCCAGCCAACCAAAACGCATTTCTTCGAGCTGTCCCTTCGTGACCCAGCGACCAACAACTCACACCAGCTCACCAGCAGCACAGAACCAGAACAAACACAAAGCATCAAAGCAAAGAACATTGAACAGAGCAAGGTGGAGGGCTGCACAAAAACAAAGAAGAAGCACAAGGAAAAGGAAAAGGAAAAAGCGTTGTGTAGAGCATGGAGTCAGTGGAAACGAGTGTGCTGAGCTTGGGCGCCAGAAGGAGGAAGACAAGAAGAATGAGGGGGAAGGAGGAGAGGGGCTCAAGGGGGTGGGCCTCTACAAGGCTGTGCGCGTGTTCAAGGAGCTTGACCAAATTGCCGAGGAGCAGCAGCACAAACTGGGCCTCGACCACCAGCACCACTTCGAAGACGACAACGCGATCCTTCTCCCGCTCGAGCAAGTGTGGACGCACGATCAGCTCCACTACGAGGGCACCCACGCCCTCGACCGCACCATCCACAAGGTCCTACACGTTCTTTCTTATTATTATTCTGTCTTTGGCCGCTACGCGCTTCTTCTCGCTCACTTGCCACCCCCATGCGGCTGCTTCTATGTGTGGACCATGTAGGTTGGGCTCAAGCAAGGGCAGGAGGTACTGGACGTGGGGTCAGGGCTGGGCGGCCCGGCCCGCTATCTGGCGCACAAGGCTGGGGTGCGCGTCGTGGGAGGTACGACGGGAAGGCGCTGCTTGCTGGGCTCGGCTGAGGGCAAGCTGCTCACCTCACGACGGAGCAGTGGAGCTGCAGGAGGACATGTGCGCCGCCGCCTGCAAGATCACCTCGCTCACCGAGCTGCGGAACAGCGACCACGTACGGTTTGTGCAGGGCGACTTCCTTCATGTACGTGTCACCCATGTCAACCGTGTGTGTGGGTGCTAACGCTGAACAGAAAGAGACCATTCACATGCATGACCTTTACTATTGTGTCTGTACCGAACAGATGGGGGACGAAAGTCTGACGAAGTACACGACGCGGGGAGAGGGCTTCGATTGTGTGATGTCCATCCTCACGGTGTTGCACATCGAGGCCAAGGCCGACCTGTTCGCCCGCTGCTGCCGCCTGCTCAAACCGGGAGGCGCACTCTACCTCGAAGACTACTATGAAGCAGGTAGAGCCGCTCGCAGCCAATGCCACCTCTATTGTTCTCACACACGATACAGGAGAAATGAATCAGCACACGAAGCAAGCGCTGGAGGAGCAGGTGGGGTGCGCGATGCCCATCCCCACGAAGGACCGGTACCTGGAGCTCCTAGGCCAAGCCGGTTTCGTCGACGTCGAGTTCGAGGACGTGACCTCGAGCGTGCGTGCATCTCCCCCACACAACCCATGGCTGCTCTCCTCCTCTTGCTAACGTGTGCGGTGTCGCCGATGTGTGAAGTGGTGGGAGTTCGTGCGAGAGCGAGCGAACCAGTACCGCGCCAACCTCGATCGACACAAGCGGGTGCAGGGCGACCATGATCACGTGGAGAGCCTGGACGCGTTCTACCAGACCGTGGCTCAGCTCTTCGATCCCTCGCGCCGTACCGGGCTGGGCGGCGTTGTAATCACTTGCCGGCGGCCCCTCCACCACGCCAGCTGCTCATGAGCCCTACCCTTATCAATTATTGCTTTTTTTTCACATCATCTACAACACCATCTTTATCATCATCATCTACGCCTGGGCGACTGGGCTAACAATTCAAATGGTGTGAATCTCCTTTTATGTACACACGCCACAACTGGCACCGGGGGGGACTAAACTCTTGAAGAGGGCGAAGGGGGGGGGGTTGGCTTTCAGGGTTCGGCTGCTTCCAGCTCGCGCTCTGCTTCTCCATCGTCGTCGATGTTCCTCTTTCGCTTGCGCAGGCCCTGGTCTGGGGTATTGCCGCAGCCAATAATAACGGCCTTGTCGGTACCTTCAACATCGTCGTCGCGGGCCGTGTTGGCGTGGCGGGTCTCTTCTAGCTTCTGCCCCTGGGCCGAGTGCTGGTGGTGGGGCGGCACCTCCTCGAGCCGAACGAAGCCGACGCAGAAGAGGAAGAACAGCGCGGCCCCGAAGAGCAGGCACGGGTCTGCGAAGAAGGTATCGGCTCGAGTCGCAACCGTGGCCAGCGGCATCATGATCGAGAGAGCCACCAGGAATGACTTGACGTGGTTCAACATCATGGTTGAAGCAGGAGCTGGAGGAGTGTGGTGATGTGGCGGTGTTGCAGTTTAGCTGGTCTGGCTGCGAAAGAAGAAGTACAAACGAACTAACGGCCTCCCGGTCGTCCCGCCCGGGCGTGGGGATCCCCTGCCCAAATCCCAACCCTGAGTTGCCATTGGTCAGGTGTGTTGTTCCCTATTGCGTTTCCTGGTCTCGTTGCGGTACGGTGGAACGCCCAAAATGGGACAAATTCCAATCAGGCCAGAGGTTTGAGTCAAAGCCGCTGCAGCACGACTGGGCCAACCAACTTGGACGTGGTGCAAGTGGTAGTTTAAACGTCGTCCAAGCCAACCATCTTTTTATGGATCGCTTCACTTTGGCGGAACACCACTGTTCCTGTTTACTCCCCCACACACAACGGGAGCTGGTACCAGAGGCTCTGGTTCGCCCTGGCCAGGTATTCTGGCAGGCCTGGAGTCGGCAGCCTGAATCAAGGGCGGGTCAAGCAGCAGGCCCATCACCGGCAAGCTGGTTCATTCCACTCGCTCGTTCCTTTGACAGGGCTTCAGGCGTGAGACCGTTCAAGCTGAACCACACGACACGAGCGGGAAGACTCGCGGTCGACGTCAATCCCCAGCGTGCAGCGCCGCTCCTTGAGTCTGCATACACGCTGGTGGCCGTAACACCTGCTGCTTGCCGCCGGTGTCATTGATATCGGATGCAGTCGTTCGAGGCTGTACGACGGTCGACACCGTGGTGCGGCTGGTTTGAACAGAGAAGTGAGAGTTGCAAGTTCTTGGTCGTGGTTGTTCGCGTGAGGGGAGGAAAAAGAAAGGCGGGGGCGACGGTGTTTGTTTTGGTGTGAAGAAGTTTAGTTGCCCCTCTGATTCATACAGGTTAGGAGGCAGCTTACTGCTTCTTGGCGGCCACCCTGGCGTCGTTCTCCTTCTTGTGGAACTCCTTGGTGAGCTTCCTGAGCTCCTGACGGACCACGCGGGACTTCTCCTTCTTGGCGAGCATGATCTTGAAGCGGTCGAAATCGTTGAGGGCAGCCCTCTTCTTGCGGAGGGCGATCTTCTTAGCCCACGAGGTGGCCTCCCACTTCTCCTGGATGCCGGCCTCAGTGTAAGCCTTGACGAGGGACTTCAGGCGGGGCGACTTCTGGATCTTGATCTTGAGGTCGGTCAGGGCGAGCCTCTTGAAGGGAATAGCCTGCCTCTGGACACCAGTGATGCTGGAAGGACCATCGATGAAGGCCTAAATTGATAGCAATTCGTCAGCGATTATGGTCCCGGCCGAGCAAATGGGCAAGATGATGGCGTACTCTGTTCTGGTCAAGAACGTCAATGATGACGCAGAGCTTACCGGCGTCGGGGCCGTAGTTGATGACGGCAACGCGGCCGATCTCGACGAAACGCTTGAACACCTATAAGGTACAAATGAATGCAAAGAAAAGATCAGAACCAGTCCTTGGGTTATACAACTCCTTCCCATTCAAGCCTATCGATTCAATCGATCAAGCCCGCCCCACATTGAGAACCACGAGCCCGTACCATTGTGACAGGGAGGGATGGCCGATACGACTTGCGGCGAGGGGAGAGAAAGGAGAAAGGGAGAAAAGAAAAAATGAGCGCAATGGGATTTATCCAGCCTCCAGAGTTTTTGCTGACGTCGACATGACGTGGCAACCTCGGGCGGGGGGGTGACGACGTGGAGTGGCGCTAGCCTTGCAGAGACACACAAGCGTACATCATCGCATTTTCTGGAAGTAGGCGAGTTGAGCCCACTCGATTTCTCGCATCACTCTCCTCGCCATCACGTAAGGGGGCATTCCACGCTTCTTGAATTGCGCAAACGATCTCTGGAGGGCGTGAGGGTAAACCGACGATGAATCCCGAAAAGAAGAATGATGATGAAGGTTTGCCCTCCCCCTCTTCTTAGTGGAATCGCGTGTTGTCATGCGGCAAGTGGAGAGGAAGAAGACATTGAGGCTCATTTCGAGTCAGGCCATGTGAGTCTTTCAGTGCCTAATTGTCGCTCCTTTTGTGGCGCCACCAGCCTACGATCCCTTCATGGGAGTGGACAAAGGTTCGGTGCTCCAGGAAAAGAGGATCTTCAACGAGAGCCCGATCAATCCGCGCAAATGCTGCCACCTCATTACCAAGATCCTCTACCTTCTCGGTCAGGGCCAGACTTTCACCAAAACAGAGGCCACCGACCTCTTCTTCGCCACTACCATGCTTTTCCAATCTACTGATGTACATCCCTCCCAATCCGCCTCTACTTCTTGGAGGTCGACGCCGTCATCTCATGATTGTTCTTTGCTTCTTTGCTCCCGGTCGACCGCAGGTGAACTTGCGTCGCATGGTCTATCTCGTGCTCAAGGAGCTCCTGCCGTTGGCCGAAGACGTCATCATCGTCATCAGCTGCCTCACTAAGGACATGAACAGCAAGACCGACCTCTACAGGTGCGTAGCCGCCTCCTTCTTCCTCTACGCGACCTCCTTCCGCGCCTTGGGCTCAACGCCGCCCGGTTCTTCTGGTTGTTCTCTTCCTTTCTCCTCTTCTCTACTCCTCTTCTCTTCTCAGGGCCAACGCCATCCGCGTGCTCTGCAAGATCAACGACGTCGCCATGCTGGGCCAGGCCGAGCGCTACCTGAAGCAGGCCATCGTCGATCGCGAGGCCTACGTGGCCAGCGCCGCTCTCGTCTCGGGCATGCACCTCATGAAGGGCTCTCCCGCTGGCGTTGACATCGTACGCGTTCTTCTTTTCTTCTGCTTCTTCTTGTCACCTCCTGCTTCTTCATTCATCTCAATGGCGAGCTCACCACACGAGGCGTGCAGGTGAAGCGGTGGTTCAGTGAAGTGCAGAGCGCGGTGAAGAGCAAGTCGACCATGGTGCAGTACCACGCGCTGGGCCTGCTCCACCAGATCAAGCGCAACGACCGCCTGGCCGTCTCCAAGCTGGTGTCGGAGATGACCCGCAGCCCTGTGCGCTCGCACTACGCGCACTGCCTCCTCATCCGATACACATGCCAGGTGCTCGAAGACGAGTCCGACGACACGTACAGCCTCCTCCCCCCCAACCGCCCTCTTAAGTAAGCCATCATCAGAAGGCTCACACCATCGTCGCCCCGTCTTCTTAACATTCAGGGAGCGCGGTCGTCTGTACGACTACCTGGAGAGCTGCCTGCGACACAAGAGCGAAGTGGTGATCTACGAGGCGGCGCGGGGCATCTGCGGCCTGCGTACGGTGTCCTCGAAGGAGCTGACGCCGGCGGTGGCGGTGCTGCAGATGTTCCTGAGCTCGCCCAAGGCCAGCCTCAGGTTCGCGGCCGTGCGCACCCTCAACAAGGTGGCCTCGACCCACCCGCTCTCGGTCACGGTGTGCAACCCGGACATGGAGAACCTGATCGGCGACGTGAACCGCTCCATCGCCACGCTGGCCATCACCGCCCTGCTCAAGACGGGCGCTGAGACCACGGTCGACCGCCTGATGAAGCAGATCACCAACTTCATCAACGACATCTCCGATGAGTTCAAGATCGTCGTTGTGGACGCCATCAAGACCCTGTGCCTCAAGTACAAGCAGAAGCACCGCACCCTCATGACCTCTCTCGCCAACATGCTCCGCGACGAGGGCGGCTACCAGTACAAGAAGGCCATCGTCGACGCCATGCTCACCATCATCGCCGCCCTTCCCGAGGCCAAGGAGCCCGGCCTCGCCCACCTCTGCGAGTTCATCGAGGTACTGTTGCCCGCCCCACCACACCCACACCACACTCTCGCCCTCGGTCGTCAACTGATGATGATGATGGTGACGTGGCAACAACACCAACAGGACTGCGAGTTCACGCAGCTGTCGACGCGGGTGCTGAACCTGCTCGGACGGGAGGGACCGACGACGTCGTCGCCCTCCAAGTACATCCGATACATCTACAACCGCCTCACACTCGAGAGCGCCAACGTGCGCGCCGCGGCCCTCTCGGCGCTGGCCAAGTTTGCGCTGGGCCTGCCCGCCCTGCGTCCGTCGATCTCGATCCTCCTCTCGCGCTGCCTGCACGACAGCGACGACGAGGTGCGCGACCGGGCCACCCTCTACCTGCGCCTCCTGCAGCAGGACCAGGACCTCGCCCAGACGCTCATCCTCGACTCGCTGCCGGTGCCGCTCGACAACCTCGAGCGGTGCCTCAAGGAGTACGCCGCCAACCCGTCGGCGCAGCCGTTCGACATCGCCGTCGTGCCGGTCACGCCCATCGCGCCCGAGCCGTCCGAGCTGCTGCGAAGCAAGTACGGGTCGTCGCAGGGCTTCAGCCCCGTGTTCAAGCCCGACGCCGACAGGCCGGCCGCCGCGCAGCTGCCCGCCATTCCGGAGCTGGCGGCGCTCGGGCCGGTGTTCAAGTCGTCGGCGCCGCAGCAGCTGACCGAGTCGGAGACCGAGTATGTGGTCAACTGCGTGAAGCACATCTTTGCCGAGCACGTCGTGTTCCAGTTCAACTGCACCAACACGCTCGACGCCCAGGTGCTGGAGAACGTCGTCGTCAAGATGGACGCCTCGAGCGCGCCCGGCTTCAGGGTCGAGTGGGAGCTCGAGGCCAGCAGCCTCGTCTACGGCGTGCCCGGCGCCGCCTACGTGTGCGCCAGCCACGACCCCGAGGCCTACCCGACGGGCTCCTTTGGCAACGTGCTCAAGTTCCAGGTCAAGGACGTCGACCCGGCCACGGGCGAGGCCGACGAGACCGGCTACGAGGACCAGTACCCGCTCGACAACCTCGACGTCACCGTCGCCGACTACATGAAGAAGACCTACTGCACCTCGTTCAAGGACGAGTGGGCCGCGCTGGGCGAGGACAACGAGCTCGTCGAGATCTTTGCCCTCTCCACCATGAAGTCACTCAAGGACGCCGTCAACGAGATCATCGACTTCCTCGGCATGCAGGCCTGCGACAAGACCGAGGTCGTCCCGCCCAAGCGCACCAAGCACATCCTCCTCCTCAGCGGCTCCTTCGTCGACGGCAACGCGCCCGCCCTCGTCCGCATCCGCATGAAGATGGACGACTCGGCCCCCGGCGTCTCCATGGAGCTCACCGTCCGCTCCACCAGCCCGCTCGCCTCCCGCCTCCTCTCCTCCGCCTTCTAAACATGTTCCTCCTCCTTCTCTTCTTTCTCTTCTTGTTCTCACCGCCCCTTTCCTCTTTGCTTCACCTGTCCATTGCTGCTTCCTAGCACCCAACCACAACAACAAACAAGGCCTGCTTGAAGAAGAACGAGAAATGGCGCGAGAATCGGACAGGGAAAATATAGTTTCTTTTAAAAAGAAAAGAAAAAGGCAAACGAGGAGGGCCACGAAGAGGAGTGAGCGAGATGGCGATGGAGGGTTCACGGCGGCTGAAGGAGGCTCTGTTCGGGCGAGCACCAGGGTCTACGACGATAGCTACTTCCGCAGTGGATGGTACAAGTGGGATCACATCGTCTTCTACTTCTTCTGTAAAGCCCTCGATCTCGCTGGCGCGGGGGGCGCGGGTGCGGTACGGCTGCGGGGGCTGTGGGGCGTGGAGCGGGCTGGCGGGGGCCACCACCACCGGTGGTGGGGCTGCGGGGGTCTCCGACGAGGGGGCGGGCTACTGGTGCGGCGACTGCGGGGCCGTGCGCTGCGGTGCGCGCTGCGTGACGGCCGAGGTCGAGGCCCAGTACTGCGGGCAGTGCCTCGACAACGTCACTTCCTACGACGCCGCCCTCTTCCGCCATCGCTGCAAGAAGTGCTTCCGCTGCCCGGCCTGCCTCGCCCCGCTCTCCTTCGCCCAGCAGCTCGCCCGCGTAGCGGACCAGCCCACCACCACCGCCTCTGCCGCTACGCCGACCACGGGCGCTACCGCCCCACAGAGGGTGGTCTACCTCCACTGCTCCTTCTGTCGTTGGAACTCGCTCGCCCTGCCCTCGCCCCTCCACGCCGATTCCCCCACTGCCCTCGTCAGTACGACCCTCCCTCTCTTTATATTCTATTTTTCTTTTATTTATTTCTTTTATTTATTTCTTTTGTTTATTATTTGTTGTCTGGCGTAGTGCTTGCTATTTTATTTTTATTATTAAAAAACTGGCGCTGACGTGTCGTGTAGCGTCGTTCATCAAGCGCGAGCGAGGGGACGAGAGCCAGAAGCGCGTGGCGGAGCAAGTAGAGGCCTTCCACCGCGAACACAGGGAGGCGCGCCTACGTGCCCGTGCCTCCAAACGCTCCACCCACCACCTCCACCACCAGCCCGCGCCCCCACCCCCCTCCTTTGTACGTTTCTCTCTCTCCCAGCTACTACCCCCCGTGTAGCGCCCAGGGGCTCACATTGCAGCGTTCGTTTCGGGGGTCCAGGAGGGCGGACAGAAGGCGCCGCTGGGGCCGATCACCGTCGAGCAGGTCGAGCAGGCGCGCCTGGCCCAGGACGCCAAGCTCTCGCTGGCCGCCGTGAAGCGGGAGTCTCCCCTCCAACTCGCTCCCGACGACACCCTCCCCTCCTATCCCCTCCAAGTCTCCCAGAGTACGTGCAACACACATACCGCACACACGCACACACGCACGCACGCCCGTTTCTATATGTCGAGCTCTCTTACAGTGTGCGTGTGCGTGTCAGCGGCCACGCTGGACCAGCGATTGCTCGATCCCAACCCGGACTGTCGGCTCGTTTCGGAGCTGTCGGCGCAGCGGTGGCTGCTGGGCACGCGCGTCTCCAAGCGGTGTCGACCCTGCGGAAAGCTCCTCATCAAGCCCGACCTCATCGGCGCCAAGACCGACTTCAAGCGGCAGCACGCCGCCCTCTTCTACCTCCCGCTCATCTCCCTCGGTTCGTAGTCGTCTTCTCCCCCCCCCCCACAAACAGCTTCTTGGTCGCCCCGGCTCATCATTTCAATCGGCTTCTTCGCTTTCGCTTTCGTCGTCTTCGTTCTTTGTTCAGAGGAGGTACTGCAGGACGAGGCCTCCGGTTGGTGGGCGTTCCGGGTGGTGTTGGCCAACCCGCCGCAGCGTTCCTCCCACCTACCACTCATCATCACCGCCTCCGTGGTACACTCATCATCATCATCATCTTCATCTTCTTCATCTTCATCTTGGGCGTAGCGATTAGCCTCTGACGCGCTGTTTACAGGAGGGCGCCGGTGAGGTGCAGCCCGCACAACCCGTGGAGACGTTCCTGGGCGTCGCCGACGAGTACGACAAGGTGCCCTTCGCTCTCGTTGATCGCCAGCGGCCTTTGATGTCTTTTGGTTGCTTGGGCGGCTCCTGATGTCGTCCCGTTTGTTGTTGTCGTTGTTGTGTGTCGTGTGTGTGTGTAGTTTTGGGAGACGGACGTGTACGGTGAGCTGTCCGAGCGAGACCGAAAGCAGAACGAGGGCGTCGTGCTGCACCGCCACCTCAACAAGCTCGCCCTCCGATACCGCGTCGGCCCGCTCGCCTCCTCTCACGTCAAGGTAACCTACACGCCCCCGCTCCCGATCATGTTGCTGACCATCATCGTCATCCCCCACCACCATGACCACGCCGATATAGCTCCAATTCAAGATCACGATGGGCCGCACGCCAGCCACCAGCGAGGAGGCCACCATCGCCGCCCTGATCGAGCTCGAGCTGCCCCACGACCAACCTTCGCCGCCATCATCATCGTCGCCTTCCGCTTCATCGCAGTAGCAGCCCCCCCCCCGTCATGAACCCTACCCCCCTAAAGCCAAGATCAAGCAGCCAAGATGGTGTTTCCGTTGACCACATCATACATACGGCTGTCGGTCTTTGCCAAAAGACGCGGTGGGTTGAAGGAGACGATGGTGAGGAGGAGAAGGATCAGGAGGAGGCGGCGGCGTCGCTCCCGTTGCCGGGCTGGGTGAACCTGGAGAGGGCGTCGACCCACGAGGCCAGCTCCTGCTGATCGGTGGTGGCGATGTAGAACACGCGACGAGGCACCTCGAGCTTGAGGGTCGGCCGCTTCATCGACTCGAGCGCCATCACGGTGCCGTTGCGCAGTCGCACGTCGTTGAGCGCCGCGCGCGCCGACGGACTGCTGTAGTACGACAACGTACCGCTCGAGTACAGCACGAACCACTACGCGCGCAGAGAAGGTGGTGGTCAGCACTTGGCCTTGCGAGTAGAGGCGTGACGATGGGTGGCGAGAGTGGGGGGGGGAAGGGTGTAGAGCATCATACCCGTCGCTTCCAGGACTTCCGGTTGTGGCCCTCCTTGCTGAGGTAGCCCTGCTTGACGGTGGCGGCCTCCTGTGTGCTCTCCGCCTCGATGTCTTCCTCTTGTCGCTCGTGTTTCTACAACACACACACACACACAACAAACACAACGCAACGAGACACATACAAAGGGGGCGTGAGTAGGGAGTGGGGAGTGAGCTTGGGGGGAGAGGTGCGTACGGTGGGGCTCTCCGCGATGGCCACGGACCCCGTGAGTTTGCCCACCCGCAGCCCGCTCGCGAAGAGTTTGATGCGGAACGGCCGCGGTTCGGTGCCCTTCACGTCCAGCGATATCACCCCTTGCGCTGTTGTTTGTTTGCACACAACACGCCACCGCCCACTTGTCAGCTGCGCGCTCACAGACCAAGGGAAGAAAGAACGAAGAAACACACCCAAACGACTGGCCGAGTCCTTGGCGGCGCTGTCGTGCACCAGGATCCACATGTGTTGGTTGGCCTGCGCGCACCAAACCACAATGCACGATGCCACCGCCGCACACGAACACGAACACGAACAACGAGACGAGGCGCGTGAGTGATCGGCCGTTGTTCGCTCACCCGTGCACTGAGAGGGCTGGGCCGGGGCGTACCAGCCATGCTCGGCTCGGGCTGATGGTGTGCAGCTGGTGATAACTCCACGTCGCCGTTGTTGTCTGCAAACACGATACGACACACCACACACACACACACACATACACGGCACACACGACACACACACGCCACACGCACACGCCACACACGCCACATACACGGCACACACGACACACGCACGACACACACACACACGACACGTCACGCACGCCACACACCAACACGACATCACCGTGAGGGCGAGGGTTATGTGGGAAATTGGTTGGTTGGGGGGGCAGGAGGGGTGGCGTACGCGTGGTACGGTGATGGTGGGGGATTGGGAAGCGAGGAAGGGAGCGTGGAAGGAGAGGTAGGGGCTGGGGGACTTGACGAGGACCGTGGCGGCGAAGCCCGGCGAGAAGGGCGGCGGCGGCACCAGCGTGAGCGTCACGTCCGTGAGCATCACATCCAGCCCCATCCCGAACCCCTGCTCCAGATTACGAGTCACCGCCATCTCCTGCACCATCTGCGCACACGCACACATCGATCAAACCACCGCACACGCGCACACGCACACGCACACACGACCAACGAGACGAGGTGCGCGAGGACAAGGGGGCGTACATGCATGTCGGGATAGAGGAGGGGGACGGAGTAGACTCCGAAGACGGGCGAATGGTCGGAGGTGGTGAGCTGGTCGCACGAGGCGTACGCGTGGCACTCGACGTTGAAGTTGGGCGGGGTCTTGCACAGGATGCGGTCGCAGTACGACGGCGTTCGCATCTTCTCCTCCGAATAGGTCCGATCCCCCCGATTATACCTACGTGCGTGTCGTGGTGCGTGTCGTGTCGTGTCATTGGTCGGGTTACGCGTGTGTCGTGTCGTGTCGTGTCGTGCGCAGGTACCGATAGGAGGGAGCGAAGCGGATGGGTGGTTCGGTGAAGCCGGCGAAGCAGCGTTTGTGTTTGCGCTCGATGAGGAGCTGGTCGCCCTCGCAGAGCTCGTCCCACCGCTCGGCGGCGATGAGCCGGAGCACCTCGGCCCGGCCCGTGTTGATGCGGTAGTTGAGGTCCCCGAAGAAGAAGAGCGCGTGGAAGTGGTTCGTCAGATCGAACGAGCTGTCCGTCAGCCGCAGATGGTTCACGATCGTCCGATAGTTCTCGTTCCGCGCATACACCCTCTCATCCCTTCCCAGACGACCGCAACACACCGCAACACACCGCACCGCACACACCGGCAGATGAGTGGCCGAGGGGGTAGAATGTGAGGAATGCTGGGGGGGAGGGTACCTGGCGGCGAGGTGGGAGCCGACGAAGCAGAGGGAGGTCTCGATGAACTTGAGGGCGATGCCGAGGCCGCCCTTGTTGCCGATCACGTTGCCGATGCCCGTGGGCACCGAGCCCGTCGTGACGCCCGAGATCCGGTGCCGGTGCTCGCGCCGCACCAGCACCATCAGCCGCATCATCATCAACGACTGCGTCGCCACCATCACGTAATCCTCGCCCAGTTGCGCCTGTACGGTGGCTCAGACACCACACTGTCACCAATAGCGCACACACGCGTTCCACCGCACACTCACGACCGCACACGCACGACCGCACACGCACACGCATAGGGTACCTGGACCAGTTTGAAGAGATCGGTTTCGGAGTTGACCTCCTGGGCGGAGATGGCGTAGAGGTCGTAGTTGGCCTCGGGCTGCAGCCACGGGCTCAGGCACTTTTGCGGTGGCGCGTTGCCCATGTTCCACGTGCCCACGAACACCTCCACCGAGTCTCCGCCGCCCCGGTCCCTGCGCACCGCCCACGCGGCTGGCGCGCCCCCAGACCCAGACCCACCGATTGGAGACGATGATGAGGGATCAGCCAGACGGAATGCGAGGAATAATACGTAAAAAAAGAAAAAGAAAGAGAAGTGAAGGTGCGGTACCCTCGTAAAAGCGTTCGAGCTGTTCGCGGGAGGGCAGGAGGAGGCGCTCGAACTTCTCCCGTCCGCTCCACAGCAGTTTGAGCTTCTTCTCGTTCACGTGCGACCGCAAGACCTGCAACCACACACGCACGCACACACAACGTGTCAGATCGCACTCGCACGTGCGAGTGTGGTCCATACCTGGAGGAGGGTGTGGTGGGGCCGTTGGAAGGTGGGCTTGCGGCCGTCGGGGTAGCGGTAGCGTAGGGTGCGGCCGGGGAAGTCCACCTCGATCACGAGCGGCTTCTTGCGGGTGCCCCGGCCCACCACCTTCTCCACCACAAACGGCAGACACACGTCGCAGTTCTTTCCACCAAAGCCATGTCCGACGTCAGGCGCCACCTTAAGTGAAAGTGGGTGGTGTGGGGTGGATCGTACCCTGCGGGTGAGAATGACGTCGGTGGGAGCGGCGACAGACTTGACCTCGAAGGGCGGCTGGGAGGCGGCGAGTTGCCCCCGCGGCGAGCGGGGCTCGAGGAGGCGGGGCGAATGGTGGTCCACCTCATCATCGATGGTGGCCCACCGGCCGCCGCTTCTGTGGCGCGTGCGGCTGATCGACATGTAGGGGGGCAGTTTCAGAAAGCTGCGGGCGTCGCCTATGGTCTGGAAGCCCATGCTGGACCCGCCGCCGCCCTCTGCAGAAGAAGTCGTTTGTTGTGACTGGGCGGACGAGGGCTGCCACATCGGATGAAGATTACGGTGATGACTGTCTACTCTTTTCTCTTTTGATGATGATAGTTACCACGGCGATGTTGATGTTGTTGGTGTGTCCCGGTCTATTTGGTTTGGAGTGTGGTGACGACCACCCACCCAAGCCTGGCCCAGTTTGGGAGAGGGGCGTTTTCCGCTACTTGTTAGGTAACCGTGAACTGAAAGGAAAGGGAAAAAAGAGAAAAAGATGGGGAATGGGAAAACGTGCGGGAAAAAGACAGCCACACGCGACCGTGGTGCCCGTCCTGGACGACGACCTGGCACGCAGAGCTGTGAACATATGTTCATTCCTGGACTACATGAGCTGATGACAAGCATGATGGTCAACGTTGGAGGAGAGGAAGTGGGCGCACGCTCGCCACACTCACGTTGATGTGAGTGACCCATGAGAGCTGGTGCCTAGGTGATCGTGTAGAGGCGCGGATCGTCCTGGAGCTTGTAGAGGTTTGGCCCCACCTTGGCGAGCAGGTCACTCACGTCGGGGCAGATGATGGTCGCCACTGCGAGCCGCTGCTCTGCACCCCGCACGTAGTGCAGCTTCCGTTTCCGCGGGTCATTCTCAAACCACCGCACCTGACACACGACACATGACACACGACACACACACACAACAATCCAACACATCTTTAGTCCCTGAGGCAGCAGGAAAAGAGCCCGAGGTGAGTACCTGCACAGTCCGTTGCCCCTTCCTCTTGTCGTGAACCACCTCGGCGAGCCAAAACCGATCCCCACTCGCTGGCTGGACATATGCCCAATTTATGACGATGCCGCCATGAGGTGTGAGACAACAACAAGGACGTGGTGTGTGTCGTGTGTCACGTGTCGTGTGTCGTGTGTCGTGTGTCGTGTGTCGTGTGTCGTGTGTCGTGTGTGGTTACCTCAGGCAGACAACTGATGATGGTGCCCTCGGTGAGTGTCCATTGGCGCGGGTCGTCCTCGACATGGGCCGACGGGGCGGGCACCGCGCCCTTGCTGCGGCACGCCTCGCACTGCCAGCTCTTCAGCTGCGCCGCCTTGGCCTGCACCATTTGTTGGAATGATGAGCAGGTGAGCTATAGTAGTGGTGGTAGAAGTACCTTGCTTAGACCGACGCATCCGGCGTGAGACCAGGAGGTGCACGAGTCGCATTGGATCATGAGACCCTCGGCCTTGGTCTTCCCACACTTGCAGGCCTGCACCAGCCTCCCCCCCCCAAAGAAGGCGGCGCAAGTTAGTGCAACTTGGCCCCACCGGGGTGGGGGCGGAATGAGAGGGAGACGGAGGAGGCTCAGGAGCAGGAGGAGGGGTGGTAGATACGCACCGCGCCTTTGGTCGGGGTGGAGCTGCCAGCATTGTTGCCATTGGTGGCCGTACCGCTCGCGGTCTCCTTCTCTTCCTCCTTTCCGTTCTTCTTCTGCTTATCCGCCCCGTTTGTCTCATTCTCTTCCTCGTCCTCCTCCTCTTTTTCCTCTTCTTCCTCGTCCTTCGCCTTTTCTTCATTCTTCTCTTCCTTCTCCTTCTCCTTTTCTTCTTCTTCTTCTTCCTCCTCCTCCTCGTCTTCTTCCAGTTCCTCCTCCTCCTCGTCTTCCTCCTTCTCCTCTTCGTCTTCATCCTGGGAATCGGGCACTTTGGCGATGGCCGGCGCTGACTTGGCGGAATCGGCTGTGGGGTCCTTGCGCGGTCGCTTCGCGACGGGCGGGGCAGTGTCCGCCGACCCCGACCCGGCGGCCTGCTCGCGCGTCGTTGCCGGCGCCGCCGCTGATGCCGTTGTCCGCTGGTCGGCCTCTCCTCTCGGTCTGGTGTTGTACCCTGTTGTTGATTTTTTTTAATGTTGGTTTTACGTAAACAGCGGCAGTGTGCATACAGCATATGGCGAGGGCGATCAGAGTTCGCTCTCCTCGATCAGCACGAGCGATCAGAGTCTCAATAATGGCGTACCGGACTTGTAGAAGCGATAGATGCAGACGCATTCGCTGAGCTGCTTCGTGGCGCCGGTGCGCGTGCGTCCGCCTCGCTCGTCGAACGTGATCAAATCGCCGTCGCTGAAGAGGGAGATGACAAGCACGTGTGAGGCCCATCACGAGAAGAAGACACAAGAGGCAACAACAAGAATGAGCCCATGGTACTACCTTAGGACCGCGCCTATACGATCCCCAGCAGAATGAGAACGCGGATAGTAGTACAAGCACAAGCACAAAGAAGCCCACACCATGACGTCGTCGTCATCAGCGCATGGTCAAGAAGGGCTACAACCAGCAATCAATTGGGGAGGGTGGAGGGTGGCGAGCGCGTACGGCCGACTTTCTTTCCGTTGACGAAGATGCCGTTGACCGACTTGAGGTCCTCCAGCACCCACGCGTCGGCATCGGCGTGGTAGGTGAGCATGGCGTGCCGCCGCGACACCAGCAGCGGGCGTCTCGGCGAGTCCAGCCATCTGTCACGCCATCATGAGCGTATTAGTCGTCGTTAGCAGCAAACTGTTTCGCGTTGGCGTCCCAAGCGAGTACACGAAGAGAGAAGGGGGAGATGACGAGGGGGGGACGCACAGATCAACCGAAGGGCGCAGACGCCCGATTAATATAGTGGGGGAAGCAGGAGGGGCGGACAGGCGGAGCGGGACGCAGGCAGGTACGCCTGGCTCTCCCACCATGTCGGATCCGCTCACATTTTCCAACCACGCCCCCGTCCATTCATCATCTCTCGAATCCACAGTCTGGGCCGCGGCCTCCTTTTCGCCCTCTCGCGCTTCACTCGCCCCGACCGTAGAGGAACTCTTCCTTTTCATCTTCTTCTCCCTCTACGCGCTCAACGATTCTATCGCGAAAGATGATAAGAAAATGAAACAATAACAAGAACTTTATGGATTGCCTCCACCACAACACTAAAAGGTCTCCAGGGAGCTGGTCGACCTGTCGATCTCGATGACCTCATCCATCTCCCTGTCCCTCTCCTTGCCCTTCTCCTGCAGGTGCTGCTTGTCTTCGAGAAGCGCCGACAACCTCCTGGCATCGATGCGGTCCCTCACAGCCTGCGGCATGACATGACGAAATGTAGTGGTGCAGCAGGGTCAGCCACCATGCTCTGCGTATTCGCAGCTGAGGAAGCCGGGTGTGCACCTTGACCAGGTTCATGGTGGAGGTGAGAAGAAGCAGGCCGCTGGTGGCCAGGAACACCTTGCGTTCATCGGCGATGGGCAGATTGAGCAGACCCCAGGCAGTCAGCGAGATCGAGGCGCCAAACGCCAGCCACGAATGCAGCACCCACCCGGCGCTGCCTCCAATGCTGGACACGATCGTCTCGCCCACCTCCGGCCCACCCTCTGCACATCACAGCAAAGCGCCGCGGTGAGCTGACCCCTCCACGGCAACAGTGGAGAAGCAAGTGGTGGCATACGGGTCTTGATGATGCCGGCGTCGACGAGGTGCTTCACGCTGTTGGCCTCCTGCAAGTCCCGCATGGTCTTGGCCAGGGTGAAGGCGCTGGCGGTCATGAAGGTGAAGCCCATCCCCAGGAACGCCTTCCTTTCATCTGCGAGAGCTCCCACCTCAGCCAGTGAGGTTGGGAAGTAGAGGCAGAAGAAGAGGAGAGGAAATAGTACGGTCGAGGTGCATGTTGATAAGTCCCCAGCTCGTTGCTGCCACGCCAGCAGCGAAAGAGGCCCACACGCCCAAGTAGTGTGTAGTGGAGCCCCTATACCTCCAAGAGAGGGGACATTGAAGTCAAGGCACACATCAATGCTCGAGGTAAGTAGAACGAAAGGTAATGCACAACTCCTACTTCCATGATGAGGTACCGTAGACAGCTGAGCACGAGGGGGCTCATCATGCCCCACCTCTTGGCCGACTCCTCCCAGCCGGCCATGTGGGCCGTCTCCTTGCCGAGCGTGTAGAGGTTGGTGGAACGTTCTACGCTTGCCATGATCGCTGGATGTTCGTCTTTTTGAGTGTAAGATGTGCGCTTGTGAGGTTGTTGGATCGATGTGACCCGCCCACGGCCCCACGCCTGCGGCAGACCGATCGTGGGTGTGATGGAAGGTCGGGATGCGTACGGCTTTCTGCTTGAACCAAGCCGGAATTCCCGCTTTTCACACGAGAATGAACAGAATTCCTGCGTGCCAGACATAGCCTGCATTCCGATCATGCCTGTGACTAAACACGGACAACACCGGCGCCTCTGCCGGCTCCCTTGCTGTTTAGCGAGAGAGAGGAGTCAGCAGGAGCAACATGGAGAACCCCTACACGCAGCAACCGCCCTTCGACAACGGGTCGTCGACCGGCTACCCAGCACAGCAGTCGCAGTACGCCCCCGAATCTCACAACCTGCCGCCCGTGCCGCAGCAGCAGCACTACACGGACCCTGGGGCGGAGGCCCATGGGCCGGGCTGCGGCGGGTGTGGGCGTTGCGCGGGGTGCGGGACATGGCTGGCGACGAGCGGGGCGGGCCAGCTGCTGGCCGACCTCACCGGCCACCTCTGCCGTTCGCGCCCCCTACGCCCGCTCCCCTCCGCGCTCTCCTTCCTTTCGGTGCGGGCCGACGCTGCCAACGCCGCCACCGCCGCCCTACGTCGCCACCCGTCCTTCTCCCTCCCCGCCTCCTCCTCCTTATCCCTCCCACGCGCCTCGCTACTCGCCGTGCGCCCCCCGCCCTCCTTTTGTTTTATTATTATTATTGTTATTTGTTTGTATTTATTTATTATTTATTTGAAAAACTGATGGTGATGTTATCGCGGTGGTTGCTGGATGGACAGGAGGAAGACGGACAAGAGCGCCCGAGCAAGGTCCCGAAGCAGCACCACGACTACCACCAGCAGCACGCAGGCCTTCCAGCGCCGACTGGCAGCGCGCCGGAGGTGCAGGCCAACCGCGTCATCTTCGTTGGTGCCACACATGCTCCCGCTTTGTTCTCATTTCCGTTGTTCCGCTGCTTGGCCAGCGACGCAGCCAACCGATCGGTCGATTGCTCACCGCCGCGTTGTCTCGACGCGACACCACGACACAACACAACACAGAGCCGATGGAGGGAGAGGGCGGCGATGGCGCGTCGGCTGGTCTGGAGAGTGCACCGGACGCGGCGGAGAACTTGCACTTCGAGGGGTTCGAGACCGTCAACTTTGACACCAACGCCTTCGCCACCCCGGAGCCCGTGCCACTTCCCCACTCCTCCTCCTCCTCCTCTTCATCATCTTCGTCTTCGTCCTCCTCTGCCTCGGCCGCTTTCAAGCGCCGCCCATCGATCGCCCTCCCCTCGCCTATCCCCCTCACCTGTACGCCCCCTTCGCTTTCGCTCTCTTTCTTCGCTCCTTCGCTGACCGGGGGGGATCGTGTGCGCACAGCGGAGGAGCAGGCTGGGCGGCGGCGACGCGCCATTTTCGGTGAATCGGTGGAGCCGGCGGGCCTGGAGGCCTCCATCGCATCCCTCCCGCGGCCCCACCCTAAGAGGTGCCATCCCCCCCGACTTTGCGGTGCCATTTCCTTTTATTTATTTCGAAGCTCACGCACCGGTGAGCGCTGTAATGTGTTGGGGGGGACTGGGGTGCCCACAGTGCGGAGACGCAGCAGGCCCTCGAGCAGGCGCTCAAGACCAACGTCATGTTCTCCCACCTCGAGCGGTACCGCCACCCGCGGCCTTCTCTTATCGACGATTCACCACCAGCGACCTACTCCCAGAGTGCAACGACTGACGCGCTTGCGAACAGGGACGACCGAGCGGAGCTGTTCGACGCCATGTTCGAGGTGCGCTATGGCCCCGGCGACACCATCATCAACCAAGGTGTCCAACCACACCATGTGTGTTTTGTGTGTGGTGGTGTGTGTGGTGTGTGCGGTGTGTGCGGTGTGTGGTGTTGATAGGCTCACCGCGTGTCCGCGGCGCACGTGATAGGTGATGAGGGAGACAACTTCTATGTGGTGGAGTCCGGCACGTGCGAAGTGTGGAAGTCCATCGACGGGAACGAGCCCGAGCTCGTCCTCACCATCGCCGAGGGCGGCAGCTTCGGCGAGCTCGCCCTCATCTACGGCACACAGCGCGCCGCCAGCGTCAAGGTCTGCCCTCCCCTCCCCCCGCCCGTCTCTCCGCTTCTTTCTTCTTTCTTCGTTCTTATTCGACTCACCACCGGCCATACCAGGCGAGGACGGCGGTGGTGCTGTGGGCCATCCACCGCTCGACCTACCGGCGGGTGCTGATGGGAGCCACCCTGCGGAAACGCTCCCTCTACGAGTCCTTCCTCAAGAACGTGCCCATCCTCGGTATCCCCCTCCCCCCAATTCTTTTCGTTCTTCTTCGCTTTCTTTCTTCTTCGCTTTCTCTCGGCGGCCAAAGAGCGAAGGAGGGTAGGTGCGACGTTGGTGTGTCGGACTCACCTGAGGTGTCCCGGGGGGGGGGCGGTGTGCAGCCCCGCTGGAGCGCTACGAGCGATTGATGGTGGCCGACGCCCTCGAGCCGGAAATATTCGATGACGGCGCGTCTATCATCACCCAGGGCGAGGTGGGCGACGCCTTCTACATCATCGTCGAGGTACGTACCTCGCCAGCGAGCTGGTTGCGTGCGTGCGTGCGTGGCTAACACGACGTCGCGTCCACATCACAGGGCCAAGTGCGGGTCACGCAGGGCGAGGAGGAGGTGGCCCGGCTCGGGGCCTCAGCCTATTTTGGTACCCCCTCTGTCCACGTCCCCCCCCCACGTTGGCTTCCGCCATTGTTGTAAAGGACCCTTCAATTCGAATGACGCCGACAATGGGCCGCCGCGTGCAGGGGAGATCGCGCTCCTCACCAACCAGCCGCGCCGCGCCACCGTACGTTGCACTCACTCACCCGCCTCTACGCGTCGTGGCCCTGACCTCATGTGGACGAATGCGTGGGGGGGGGTCGTGGTCGTGGTCGCCACACAGGTGGCGGCGGTGGGTGCGACTAAGTGTGCGAAGATCTCGCGCAAGAAGTTCTTCCGGGTGATGGGTCCGTGCCAGGACGTCCTCAAGCACAACATGCTCCGCCTCTACCCTCAGTACGCCGGCCAGCTCTGAGTCCTGCCCACCACCACCGTCGTCGTGGTCGTCGTCGTGTGCCCCTCTCTCCGCCTTGCCAATGTATGTTTTAGTACGCCCGCGCTCCCTCTCTCTCTCTCTCCTCTCTCTCGCGGTTGTATGTACAGCGGGTGCTGGGCGTGCCTCACGGGCACAAGTTGGCCACGGCGTCGGTGGTGGAGAAGACCCCCACGGGCAGGCCCTGCTCGTCGGTCACGTACACCTGTAGGCGCCCACGCCCACACACGACGCGCGTGTGGCCTCTGTCAGAGATGTGGGGAGAGCGAGGAGGCGGGAGGTGGTGCGAGGAGGGTAGTGCCCTGTGCACGCGGTGGCTGTGGAGAAGGTGCAGGGCCTCCGTGAGGGTGGCGCTGGGCCTGCACGTCACCGGGTCCTTGGGCAGCTCCTGCGTAGCGCTGAGGAAGGCGCCCACGTTGAGGCGCAGCAGCTCGGCCGCGTTCTCGGGTGTGAGGCACTGCGACACGACACGACACGCAGGTGAGGTGGGTGATCGAAGCGGGACGGGAGGCCGGGGAGGGAGTACGCGCAGGTCGGCGAGGGAGAGGTTGGCCACGACGCGCCCGCGGTCGTCGACCACGGCGACGCCGCTCTTGTCCTCACCAACGAAGCGCCGCAGGGCGTCGGGCATGGGCTCTGCGTGGACCAGACATTTCAGCTACAGTTGTGGCAGCTGGCTGAGGCGCCTCACGTACCGTCGCGCTTGACGGTCACCACGCGGGAGCCACACTCAAGCTGACTCACGGGCTTCGCCATCAACTGCAACGGATCCCCCAATCACGAGATGGCGATGAGGCGACATGAACGTTGCAGAACAAGCAAGCACAGAAGGATGTACGTCGGCGGGGAGGTGCTTGATATGGCGTAGCGCCCACGACACCACGCTCGATTGCCTAAAAGAGGAGCAAAGAGTTTGACTTGGCAACACCGAGTAGGGGAAGGGGAGGCGAGTGGAGGAAGACGAGAGAAAGAGAATGTACGAGAGGAGGGCGAGGGGGGCATCGGTGGCCTGGTCGAGCACGAGGAGGCGTCGAGCGCGAGACTGCTTGAGCGCACGTACGCCTTCCACGAATGGGGCGTCGTTGTAGATGAAGGGCAGGCCTGCTGCTCCTCCCTCCTTTGCGCCTGAACGCAGAATGAAATGGTGAGCCATCTTTCTTCTTCGCAGGAAGCATCGAGTAGAGGGCGGAGGGCGGTACTGCCGGCGATGAGGCGCACGGGGGTGTTGAACACCTCGGGACGGCCGGCGCTCTCCACGATGGCGAGGGCCAGGTCCATGAGGTCCACCATCCTCGCTGAGCGGAGAGAGCGGGCCGAGTGGTCCTCCAGGACGGGCGCCCCCGAGATCTTTAAGCCTGTGCATGTAGAACGAGCGTGTAGGAGAACAAAAAACAGTCGCTCTTGTACCTACACGCTGCCTGACCACTTTGGGACTCAAGGAGGAGCAAGTAGTGGAAGAAGAGGAGGCGCTTATAGTACCTTGCAGCTTGCGTAGGGCGATAGCGAGAGTGTCGTCGGGGCGTAGGGACATGAGCACGAACTCGGCGTCGCGTTGGGAAGGCAGCACCTCACGCACGGCATCACCCACGGTTACTTGGTCCATCGCTGCTCGGTTGCTTGTTGCTGTCGGTTGTTGGGTTGTTGTTTGTTTGTTGGCTTTGCGGCCCTGGTCGTGGGTGCTGGCAAAATAAAGAGTGGTTGCTTTCTCGCAGAGTGTTTGCGACCAATTGGCAGAAGTTCACGCGAAAAACAGCACCATCTTGTGAAAGACTGAGCCTACGAGCCGAGTTGACGTGAAACCACAACAATTTACAACACCATTCTTTCCTTCAGTGAAACAGAATGTCCCTGCTGTGGCTTTGCCAATGCGTGTCGCAGAGTGAATAAAAAGATGGATGAGACCACCACACCTCCAGAGTTGCTCCTGACGAGCTTGGATGCCAACGTGCAGGCCTGCGTGCTGCGCTACCTCGCGCCGGCCGACCTCGCCAAAGTACGCCCCCCCCCAACTCAACTAAACTCGTCACACACACCACACTCACACCACACCTCCACGCTGTCACCTCGGAACTAATTTGTGCGGTGGTGGTTTGGTGGGGGGACAGGTGGCGAGGACGTGCCGGGGGCTGGCGCGCGAGGCGGCGAGCGACGTCGTGTGGTGCACCCACTTCCTCCGCCGCTTCGGGCTCGATTTTTGGGGCGAAGCCGCCGGTCGCCACCCCTACCACGTACGTTCCTTCACTGTGTGTGTTGTGTGTGTGTTGTGCGGCGTGTGCGGCAGTTAAAGTTGTCTACAATGGTCGGTTGTGCCCAACAAGTCGGTGCCGGAGGAGACGAACGAGTGGCGGGAGCTGAGCGCCGACGACGTCTTCACGGCCTTCTCTGCGCGCCTCGCCTCGGCCCCTCCGAGCGCCCACGCCACAGCAGCTGGCCGCGACCAGGGCGATGACGACGACCACAAGGAGGAGGAGGAGAAGCACCACGACATGGCCCGCGCATTGTGCGAGTTCGCCCAGCGGCATGGCACGCACCAGGGCTACGGCGGATGGAAGCACGCCTACCTACGGTTCGACGCCACACGATACACGACGCACGACACACACGACACACGCACCAGATCTTTATCGGTGGTGTTGCAGGATGCACAAGATGGTAGAGGTGTTGACGAAGCGGACGGATGAGGGGCTGCTAGTTGCCGGCCTGCCCGCATTCGACGCCCTCTCCGCCATCGCCAGCTCGATCCGAGACGAGAAGCTGGTGGTGTCCGAGCTGGGCACCAGCGTGGAAGAGGACCTGGTCAGCCCCTATGGTATGCCATGTGTACACGCCATGAACGTGTGCGTCGTGCGTTGAGTTTGTCGTGTGTGTCGTGTGCCGTTGAGACAAGCTGTGTGCTGCGTGCGTGTGCGATCAGGGGAGTGTCGGGTGATACGCATTGCCGGGAATCGCTTCATCTGGGCGAATGGTCAAACCGCCACCGTCCCGCACGACACCACCATCTGCGTCATCCGCAAGCCCAGGTGCGACCGTGCATATGTCGTTTATATATTATACATATATAGTCTACATATATAGTTCTATACATTAGATACAAATATATTGATGTTTAGTTGTGTCACCAGGAACTGGTTCAAGGGTCCCCGTGAGCTATTCCGTGGCTTTGGCTTGGCCCAGGGTTCGATCAAACTGGTCTACGTCGTGGACGGATCAAAGGTGGAGCGCAGCGACGCCTACCAGGATCGCGTACGCACGAGCGAGTCTCTCACATCCCCACGGAAGCATGCTCACAGGACACGCACGACACCGACGCGAAAACCACACACACACACACACACACGACACACACACGGAAAACACACACGCCAGGCGTATCGCGAGCTGCATGGCGTGCTGGGGGAAGGCAAAGGCCGATTCTTCCCCACCATGCCCATCCTGATGTGCCTCCTCAACACCGAACTGGCCAACGAGCTCCCCATCATGGAGCGCCTACGGGTGCGTGTCGTGTGTGCGTGCGCGTGCGTCGTGTGCAGCACTGACCACACACACACACACACACACACACACACACACACACCACAGATTCCTCGCTATGTGGAGCCGCACCACCACTGCCCGTTCTACGATGGAGCCGTCTTTGTCGGGGTGGTCTCATTCGCCCTGCCGGACAAGCACGTCGACCGGCCGACCCAGGCGGCGCTTTTTGGCAGCGACGACGAGGAGGAGGACGCCGTCGACTGGGAGGCCGAGGCCGACCGGCAGAGCAAGGTGGCCAACGGCCTCGCCTGGCTGCTCGTCACGAGTACCCGCATCGCCCGCGACCCTCCGCTCCTCCTGTGTGCCCTCCGCGGTGACACAAACCCCCGCACCTTT